TATCCACTGAGTTCTTCCCTGCCTTGTTATTGATGGAGTGTCGTAGCTGTCGTGGATGCTGGGGTATAAAATCGGCTTAATATCCTTTGCTTCTTGGACTTTTTTTTTTTATTTTCTATCCAAGCGATCTCTATTCAAAGCTAAACAACTACTTTCTACTTTTCTATCCTTTTAAGGTCTATCCTTATTATCTATTCATCATGGGCCCCTGCTCCTGCAACTGCTGCTCCGGCGACTGCAACTCTTGCTCTTGCTCCACCTGCAAGGTATGTTCCTCTCTCCCTTCTTGATATAGGTCCACGGTTGCACCTTGTAGCGCGGAGATACCCGGGGCGAAAGATATGCTAACTGCCCTTCCAGCACTAAGCCGGCTAACACGCCTTCATCACCGCCATCCTCCAATTCAACGACCCATACCAGACCGGGACTCCCACTGCTGTCGAACTAGGCCGGAGCCGGCGTCTTTCATGTCAAACTTATGAGATGTCTTTGTTATGACCGTTATTGAGTTGGTTGATTGTTAGGGCCTCGGGCCTTTCGGGTGGGGTGTTAAGTTAATAGGTTGATGTTCGACCTCGTGTACGTTGTGATTTTGTCGAGCCTAGTGCCCTAGTGCTCTATTTCTATATGCTATACATATACTGGTTATATCGTACTTTTGTTCTCTTGTATCCGTGCAGAGCTTTGTAACAACGCCCTGCTCCAGATTACACACGGATTATTTCTCAGCCCTTAATCCTAATGCCAAGATTGACGTAACTGTATACAGTCAGATCCAAAGAGACCCTTAAAAGTATTGCCAGTCATTGACGCTACTGCTTATTTACTTGTATCGTAATGGATGGTACATTCGATATATTTGACCTCGCCAGAAATAGGAACCATATCTCAAATTAGCGTTACTTGTTAGGGGTTTGCTCATATGCTAGGCTTTTTGATAACAAAATAGATGTACTACAGATATCACATTTTGTGTCTGCTCACAGTAAAGAATAATGGCCTTTAGTTGCAGCCATAGCCCGAGATACCTTAGGTTATGATAGCACTCATGTTTAAACGTGCTCAAGTAGCTCGAGCGCCTTGCCGACCTGGCCGTCGGCTTCGTATGCTATAGCAAGCAGATTCTGGGATACAAGTCGGCTAGTATCCTCTTCAGATAGCATCCTCTCTCGCACTGTAACAACATGCTTAACTAGCTTGATCGCTTTGTCGAACTGGCTGTCGGCTTGATACACCCTAGCGTGCTCATACTGGAACGCTAGTTGGTCAGGGTCTTTTCTTTCACCGCAACCACATGCTCAAGCTGCTTAACTGCTTTACCGATCCGGCCGTCATGCGGTCATAATGATATGCACGAGCGAGCTCCTGCTGAGTTGTCCCCTACCTAGTGGCTTTCGATCCATCGATAGTGATCTTCAAGACAGGTGACAGCCTTCCTAGTCCGGGCATCTGCCAATAGGCAATGTGAAGCCTCAAAACGAAGCTCTGACCTGCCCTCCATATGCTGCCCAGCACTTCCTTAAGAACCAGAGAGATATCTGTAAAAGGGTCTTCAATAACTCGCGGTTTGTATGATCATCAGACGGAAAGACCCTTACCATATGACGTCCTGCTCGCTCGATTGTCTCTTCCGTGGATCCTTATTATCGAACCCATATTTAGCTAGAAAAGCATAGCCACACAATGTGCCTATAGGCGCACTGTTTGCTCGTGTGGCTTCGGTCCATAGAGGAGTGAATGTGGAGTCGCCTTCGGCTCGATGCACGAGATGAATAATAATAGGTGTGCTGCAGCTTTGTCCGATCTCTAGATCTGCTAAAAGGAGCCCAGCTAGGTAGAAGCCATGGCATTCCGCGAGCCCCTATAACGAGTATTATTGTGAAATTATCTGCTTATAAGCCTAACCGTATCACTGTTAGTGCCGCGCAACAATTCGAAGTATTTTAAAAATAGAAAATGCCTACCGCGTTCATGTAGGCTGTCGCTTATGTGCTCGCTAAAGGCAAAAAGTTGAGCTTTTTAAGAGCTACACCGTTTCTTCTTATCTTAAAATAAGCCTCTTTAGATGCCCGACTTTCCCAAGACACTCGTCGCCTCTTGCAAATCCATTTCCTAAAGTTTGACGATGATAGTGACCCTAAATAACACTGCTATCTCTCAAGAGTGAGTAGCGATGAGCGTCACACAGATCTCGCTCTCTAGAAGATACCAGCTTATTCCTAGCTGCCCTAAGACCCCGAAGAGCAAATCTATGTCGTCCTCATTTTCCACAATAAGAGGCTAGGGTCCGGCTGAAGTAAGCTTAGATGTCGTCGTACTAACTTAAGAAGACTTGAGATGCCACGAATTCCACCGTTATCAAGCGAGAAGATCCTCAGCGGCTCGCAAGAGTCCGTCATTTTGGCTGCCGGGTGGTCTTTCAGTTAGCGAAACGTATGGCGATCAATAGTGCCTAGAACAGAAGCCCGACTCAATCTGATGGAAGATACCTAGAAACTGCCCAGGTGTGGTTTGCTGAGTGTCAGCGCTGCCCCGCGCCCTCGCATGATCCCTATCGAGGCTATCCTTGGGAATGCTTAGTTATAGCAATGGTTCATGGAAAACATGCTAGGTAACCAATTTAGCAACAGAGAGGCGGAGTGTTTGCAGTGGCAAGTTTGGCGCCATTTGGTTGCAAAGGGAGGGAAGGTTGCTGAGGGATGTTGCTATAAAAGGGCGACAGGAAGGCACCACATGTTTGTTCCGTATCACACCATTCACTTGTTGAAATAAGGGCCTATCGGGGTTAGTATCATCTTGGTATTAGGGTTTGGGAAACAAGAGAGTATAATGGCGCAAGACGTGATACATGTATAACGTTAATCAATTCTTAACTTGACGTTAGGTGGATATCAGGATGAGAATAATTGATGGGCGCTCAAAGTGCAATCGATTTCAACTCGTGATATGCATATACAGAGGTAACGACAAATCTAGATCTGATTTTACAACTCGTCTTTCGAGCGAGGTGCACCGTTTGCTCCTTCCTCGCCATCAGTACAGACAGCCGGCGAGGTAACGCGCATGGAGTACACGCACTTCTCGTCTTCTGCCGTCTTCAAGATCTCATTTTCCTCACCACACTCCAAGATGACTTTGGTGGAGCGGTTCGGTCCGTTCCAGCAGGACTGGCCACGGGTGTACTCAATCACGGTCTTTTCAACAGTAATGACTTCGCCAGCCTCGTTGACTTCCTCCACGCTGGTGGTTCCAACGTGGGAGAATCTGCCCATGGACACGGAATTGCTTCCCTTTCTCTGGTTCTGCTTTGTAGACTGTAGGAAACAGTGCTCGTAGGTGTACTCGCCGGCATCCTGGGTAATGCAGAGCCCCTTGAGGGCGCGGAAGATAGAGCCAGGGCCGTAGTCAGTCTCAAGATCCGCACGCTGGTCACGCAGCTTGTTCTTCAGATCGGCCACAGAGTCCTGTGCAGACTTTAGAGCATCACGTGCTTGAGTCACGGCCTTGGATTCCGAAGAAGAGTCCTCATCGGACTTGGCCACGATGCCGCTGTTTTCAAGGAAGCTCTTGACTGAGAGGACCTTGTCTTCAATGAAGCTAACAAGCGATGGCGGGAGATAAGCGGCCAACTTGTAAACTGTAGTTCCCCGTAAGCCAGATGTGCTGTGCTACAAAAGACAAAAATAACTTACCTAAATCAGAGTCCTGACAGCCATCTTCCTCATTCTCCCAGTGCTCCCAGTTAACACCGCTTTCCTCGCCATCAACCTTAACAATCTCATCCAAGTCACGGTCCTGGGCACTGTTTGTGTCGTCGGTGGTATCCTCCCTAGCAGCGTAGTCCTCATAGCTTCGCACCGCGCGCTTGACGCCCTCATCGTTAAAGTTAGGGTTATATTCAACCTTGACCTTGGACAAAATGTCCTCGAGCTCCTTCACCCGCTCACGGGTTTCATCCCGCTGGCGACGCACATCCACAAGCGCATTCCGCAGCTCATCAATGCGGCCTTTAGCGAGGTTAGCGAGTGCATTAACCTTGCCCTTGCCCTTGCCACCTCCAGAACGAACAACCTTGCGCTCCTGCTCCTGGACGGTCTTCAGATCAGCCTCGAGGCTCTGTTCCTTTACCTCGGCACCTTGAATCTCAGCCTCGAGGCTAACAATGTGATCCTGGATCTCTTGCTGCTGGCGACCAGCATCGACAAGGAGATCCTTCTTCTTCCTCAAAGCAACAGTCATAGACTTTTGGCGCTGCTCTTCCTGCTTCCGCCATTGCTTGCCAATCTCCTTGCAACGATCCTCGCACTTCGTTCCACCAACACGGGCCCATTCATCGCTGCCATCGCAGCATTGCTCATAGTCGCAAATTGCATCATTGATTCGTTGGAAGGGAATGTAAGATGGCTTGTGGCCCTTGTTCTTGCAGTAAAATCCGGGCAGGGCGAGGGCGATGTCCAGGTCGCTATTGCCGGGTCGGTCTGCCACTATCTGTGGCGAGTTGCGTGAGATATGTGCGCATGCAGCTGTGCCGGGCTCGTCGCTTCCATCAGGGCAGTCACAGAAATCATCATTGACGGCCGAGAAGGGAATTTGGACCGAAGGGTTCGAGATACAGGTAAATGTCGGCGAGTCCTGGTAGAATTTCGCAACTACATATCCCTTGTTAGTATGATGATTTAAATAAAAGAAGCAACTCGATATCGTAGATCTCTCCGTTGCATCACCAGCAGTTCGGGAGGTGGAGATATAGTCAGGGTCCAAATACTTACACTCCGGGCCTACACCACGAGGGCGAGCAGACTTATCACTAGCCTGGGCCGTCGACGCAGTCGCAGCCAGCAACAAAAGCAAGTCAGAGGACTTCATGTTTGAGGCATTGAGCTTTGTTTATGGTGCGGAGAGAGCTTCTGGCCAGATGTTGATACCCGCCGGTAACCGCTGAGTCAGCCCCGCTATCTTTGCGCTTTATCGTGGCGAGATTCATCCTCAACTTCGCCAACATGGGTAACGACGGTGGAAGGTAAGCTCTATGCCTTGGATAATATTTGAAACACAGCATATCTAACAAATGACTTTCTAGTATCCCAACCCGGCGCGAGCTCGTCCGCGAAGCAGCCCGTACCCCGAGTACGGCGCAAGTAAAAGAAGCCCAGCGCGAACAGCAAGAACACTCCTGGACAACCTGCCCACTGTCGCACAAGGCACTGTCCCGACCAATAGTCTCTGACTCGGTCGGGAACCTCTACAACAAAGACGCCGTCCTCCAGTTCCTGCTTCCCGGCGACGATGGCGAGGGAATCAGTTCTAAGGCCGACTGCGAGGAGATCCTATCCGGGCGAGTAAAGTCGCTCCGGGATGTTGTCGAGCTGAAGTTCGAAGTTGATACCGAGCGCACAGAGCATCCTTCGGACCGTGCCCATGCGCCTCGTGAGCGCGGCGAGGGCTGGATCTGCCCTATCACCGCGAAGCCATTGGGGCCCGGTGTGAAATCGGTGTACCTGGTACCGTGCGGGCATGTCTTTGCGGAGGAGGCTATTCGACAGCTTAAGGGCGATAAATGTTTGCAGGTAAGACTTGCTTTAGTTGCGTGTTGCGGATATAACAGCTGACTTTTATGTGTCTCTCTAGTGCAACGAATCCTATGCTGAAGAGAATATCATCCCCATTCTTACCACCAAAGAAGATGATAAGAAGCGCCTCATTGCGCGGGGTCACAAACTTGCTGAGCAGGCTCTCACACATTCTCTTAAGAAAGCTCCCGGTTCGAAGAAGCGCAAGAAGCACGCTACCGCTGACGGTACGGCGGATGTCACTGCAGACGCTGCCGGGTTTGTTTCTAAACAGACATCTGACGTCAAAAGCCGGAGTAACACTTCAGCGCCGGTCCCTAACGGCGCTTCTGGAAATGGCATCAAGAATGCTGCTACTTCCTCTCTCACTGCCCGTGTATTGGCGGAGGAGAGTGAGAAGAAGAAGCGCCGGAAGGGTAATGAGAATATCGACAGTCTCTTTTCCAAGAAGGACGGGGCGTCGAAGAATGGCGATTTCATGACCAGAGGTTTTTCTATTCCTTCTGCTGCGCGGAGGTAGATTGTTAGACTGGAAGAGAATGCCTTTGTGTTCTCTATTTTACCGTTATGGCCACGGAGTTGTGTCGGACTTTGCAATTTCTCACCCGCGAAGACTATGAAGAAGCTATTGAAAGCGACCTGTCTACCTCGGACGATCCAGTCGAAAGAAGAAAGAATAGCAAGGCTATAGCCTCAATTCTCTTATTCTGTGCTGATGAAGTCCAAATACAAATATCCGATTATACTAGCGCTTTCAATAGCTTCATCATAGTCTTCGCGGGTGAGAATTGCTTTGATATAGGTCTTTTGATTTATTCTATGATTGACAGCGACTATGAAATTTTGATATTCATCATCCCAGGATGGAAAATGGATATCTCTCTACCCTCCAACTTGGCTTGATAAGATGGGAAAAAAATCAAAATGCAAATTTAATCAACAGTTCTAATATACAGAAGGTTGCTTCGATAGAGACAAAAATATCTCCAAACTTCTTCATAGGCAAATAAATCAGTTCGCCTTCAACTCCAACTCCTCTGCCGCCTGCTTCTTCTGCAGCTTAATCCACTCCTTCCTCTTTCCAAGAGGGTGGCTGATCAGACCGTTCTCGTAGAGCGAAGTGACAATGACCTTCTTACGGCCAACATCTTCATCATTGTCCTGGCGGGTCCGGCGTGTGTCGTAGATTTTGACATTGGATAGCTTTTCGGTGCCCATCTTAGCCATCTGCTCATGGAGACGCACGGGTGTCATCTTGGTTGACTGCTTAATCAACTCCTTGTAAGCAGCGATAGCCTCTCCGACAGTGGTGGCAGTGGTAGAAGAGTAAATCGCATCGGGGATACGCAGGCCGGTGAGTTTGGAAAGGCGAGTAAAGAACTGCGAGATTTAGTTAGTGAAATTCACCCAGCAAATGGAAACCGGAAAGGGAAACAAACGGCAAACTTCATTGCTGGGTCATTCAACGGCAGAGATGACATGGTGCTCTCATTCCTCTTCCCGAGCTTTCCACCTTCCCAATAGCGATCCTTTCTCAACTTGCCTTCAGAGCTCAATTGAAAGAATATACTCTCCTTCGGGGTGTCTGGCTTGCCAATTGCCCCGAAAAAGGCAAGGAGTCTGTCCCGTGTTCCCCTGCCCGCAAATCGAAGGCGATCACCCCATTCTGCGGACTCGCCCTCCACACTGCAGTGTTTGAAATTGCTTCGCACATAGCCGAAACGTTGTTCATAGTCTTCCATGGCGGAATAATTTTTACCGACCATGCTCATCACACTAAACTCGATGACAACCTGGTGAAGAGCTTGCTCCAACGGTAGCGGCCACTTGGTCTTGTACCATCTGTGAAATCAAGAGCTATTGTCAGCAACGTCCATCATAAAATCATGCCACGATGCGAGAGGCACGGCTTGCAAAAACTGGATCAAACATACGGCTTGACTTTGTCTGCCTTGGTTGCGCCATTGATAATCCATTCTTTATCCTTGGTGTAACCAACTCTGGGCATGTTGTTCCAGTCTAGGCTCTGAAGGTCCATGTCATCGGGGAATGGTGTCTCCTCTTCTCCTTTACCCGGGGAAAGGCCTGTGGTTTCAGCCGCAGGTTCTTCCTGGGGTATGAGCTGACTTCCGGAGTAGGGGTCTGCAGGGCCTGGTGGCTTGTCTGTGCCCCAGAGCTTGCGCCGGGTGCGTTCAAGTAATCCGGGGGAGTCGGAGGCATTGCGGAGGAATTGCTGGTTGAGCGGCGAGATGCGTGGTGTGGCTCCTACTCTGCAGCTGGAGCAGACGTATTTTGCCTCCCGCAGAGGGAGGCGCATTGATGGCCTCATTGTGTGTGCGGGCGCAAAGGATGTTTGATCGAGCGGACTTGGGCTTGCACGGAGAAACAAATCTGAGAAAGTCGGGTCACGTGAGATGGGATTTCGATGCTTGGCATTTTTGGCTCTCAGCACTTCAAGTCTAATATAAATTGGACTTATTGCGGAATCAATAAACGAAGATGTTGAAATCATATTTTATCCTTTCTTTCCTTTCTATGTCGAAGCTCAATTTTGAATAGCAGGCCTTATCGCCGAGGAGTATATAACACATGTCCCTTCACAGACAAGCAAGGCAGCAGACTGAGAAAAAGAGGCCATGCAGCAGTATCGTATGATGTATCTTACATTTTAGATCGCGGAAAATAGAAGAATTGCAATATACCCCTGTAATACGACATTGTGTTAATTCCAAACATGTTCGGGTGTACCGGTCATAGTCGGACTTGAGAGATCATCAATCAGTTACTTATGAAGCTATATAACCACTCTCCTCACCTGCTCGAACAACACATCTGACATCCACGCTACATCCATCTTGTTACCCAGCCACACATATACTCACCCACACCCACAAAGATATACATATCCTACCCACCATGCCAGCCCCATACAACGCGGACACTACAACAACCGAACTAGTCACCGACTACAAAGCCCTAATAGAAAACAAAATCATCCTAACAACAGGAGTTACCCCAGGCTCCCTAGGCGGATCTTTCGTCCAATCCCTCGCAAAAGCAGAACCCGCCTGTCTCATCCTAGCAGGTCGCAACACCGCCAAACTAGAGCAATGCGTGAGCGATCTGCAAACCGCGAACCCCAAGCTGAAAACTCGTACTTTGCAAATTGATCTCGGGTCTTTGAAGAGTGTTCGAAGTGCGGCAGACCAGGTTAATAGCTGGTCTGATATCCCTGCTATCGATGTCCTCGTCAATAACGCTGGTATCATGGCTACTGAATATGGTCTTTCGGAGGATGGAGTCGAGTCTCAGTTTGCAACTAATCATCTTGGACCGTTCCTATTCACGAATTTGATTATGGGGAAGATTTTCAGGTCCGAGTCTCCGAGGGTTGTTATGGTTACTAGCGATGGACATCGGTTGAGTCCTGTTCGGTTCGATGATTATAATTTTGACGTGAGTGGTCTTTTTACCACTATTTTCTTTCATTCCTTAGGAATGTTTCTATCTGCTTATATCTGTACTAACAACTCTCATTCTCTTCTCTTCTAGGGTGGCAAGACATACAACAAATGGGTAGCTTACGGCCAAGCAAAAACAGCCAATATGCTAATGGCACTTTCTCTATCCTCCAAATTGGGTATCAAGAAAGGGCTTCTTGCATTCAGTCTGCATCCTGGTGTGATCTTTACCAATCTTGGCAGTCATCTAGATTGGAGTGGCGACGTTGGACTACGTTAGTATCTCATGACTTATCCCATGATAGTTGCGTCAGTATCAGAGCTAACCGTCTATATTTATATGGAGCAGAATCTATCGATAGACAACTTGGCAATCGCGAGGGGTGGGCTGAGTTTAATCTCAAAACTCTGGAGCGTGGTGCTGCTACTCATGTCTATGCGGCATTTGATCCTGCTCTCAAAGGTGCGTCCTGTCAACATGAGATTGTTGCTAGGAGCTGATCTGTTTTCACAGCAAACAACGGCGCCTATGTTATTGACTGCCATGTCGCTGACCGGTTGGTTGATACTGTCAAGTCGTGGGGGACTAGCAGTTTTGAGGCAGAAAGGTTATGGAAGTTGAGTGAGGAATTAGTTGGCGAGGAGTTTGCTTACTAGCCTCAGGGGCAAAATTACATCCATATATATGATATAGGGGAAGAAGAATTGAACTTATACGATTAAGAAGAAAACCATTCATTGTATGTGAACTGTAATTTACATGCACATGCACCGCTGATATCGTACGAAATAGAAACACAGAAACAGCCCATTTTAGACAATGCAAGATCTAAGCTTATTCGCGGACGAACATGCCAGCCATACCCATACCAGTACCAATGCACATACTGATAACACCAACCTCCTGGCCACTGCGCTCCATCTCAGGCAGCAGAGTAGCCAGCTGGCGGGCACCAGTAGCACCGAGAGGGTGACCGATAGCAATGGCACCACCGTTGGGGTTAACCTTAGCCTGGTCGATGCCGAGCTTGCGAACACTGTATAGAGCCTGCGAAGCGAAAGCCTCGTTGATCTCCCAGACACCAACCTCGGGAACCTTGACATCAACGGACTGCAGGAGCTTGGGGATGGCAACAGCAGGACCGACACCCATCTCATCGGGGGCACAGCCCGCAACGGCAGAGGCGACCCAGCGGGCCTTGATGGAGCCGGAGAGACCGAGCTCCTCGGCGGTAGAACGACGCATCAACAGGGCAGCAGCGGCACCGTCGCTGACCTGCGAGCTGTTGCCGGCGGTGCTGGCACCATCCGCGGAGAAAGCGGGCTTGAGAGCGCTGACCTTCTCGAGGGTCAGGCCGTGGCGGATACCATCGTCCTGGGAAATGGTGACGTCCTTGGCTGGGGCATCGGGGTTCTCGGGGTCGAGCGTCTTGGTGGTGACGGAGATGATCTCAGAGTCGAAGCGGCCAGCCTTCTGGGCGGCGGAGGCCTTGGCGTGGGACTCGACGGCGAAGGCGTCCTGGTCGGCGCGAGAGACGCCGTAGCGCGAGGCGACGTTCTCGGAGGTGATGCCCATGGGCATGATACAGTCACGGGCGTCCTGGGAGTAGGACTCCTTCAGCTCAGGCCAGAGCACGGTGGGGATGGCGCGCGAGCCGTAGTTGCGGGTCATGGACTCCATACCACCGCCGACACCGACGTTGATGGCGCCGGCGCGGATCCCATTGGCAATGGTTGTGATCGCGGCCAGACCGGAGGAGCACTGGCGGTTGATCGTGTTGAAGGGCACGGAATGGGGAAATCCGGCGTGGATCTGGCCCATACGGCCGGCTTTGGCGCCGCCCAGTTCTTGCAGGACAGATCCGATCAGGACATCGTCGATCTGGGCCGGGTCGAGGTTGGGGTTTGCCTCCAGTGTTGCGCGGAGCACGTTGGTCAGGAGCTCTTCTGGGTAGGCGTCCTTGAAACCGCCCTTCTTGGCGCGTGTTACGGGTGTACGCAGGGAAGAGAGAATGACAATGTCATTAGGCGACTTCTGGAGCACCTGGCGGAGACCTCTGGGAATTGGAGAGGCCATTGTGTATGGACGCTCGGAGTTAAGGTATTCCGAGGATCTGGAGTATTTCGGGTCTTTCTCGGCGATGTTAGTCTCGATGTCAATGATGAGCTTCACGAAAGCTTACATATGTACAAGATGGAATGGAGAGAAATAGGCAACTGACTCTAGAGAGAACTCCGGGGCTCAAGAAATACTTATAGGAAAATGCCGGGCAGAATTCCGGGGTCGGAAGTCGTCTGGTTGTCCAGTACCGCTGCCCGGCATTGAAGATCGGCTAAGTGGTCTTCCGCTGTGGGGGACTATACCCCATTTGCCACTCTCTAGTTGCAATGTTATTTGCATGTTTTCTTGGGATATCGAGGCTCCAGAAATAGGAATGCACTTGCATAACCTGAATACTTCTACAAAATGCACACGAACTTGAACAATGCAAATATTCATGGTCAATGCCAGATCGGGTGCTTATGTCACCATATTCCCGCTGTTCGGATCGGCTCCCGAAGCAAAGATTGAAAGCCGAAGATTAGATCGAATGATGCCATTGAGATATTCTCATATTCGAAGATTGCTGAAGCCTATCAATAGTTCCATATCTTCTTCTCAGTGCATGATAGCCCACTTCGCCAGGCACTCAGCCTCCTGGTTGTTCTCCTTGGGCACAAGCCAGAACTTGACCTCAACAACTCTCTCCAGCACAGTGATACCAGCCTCCACCAGCTTAAACAAGTCAGCATTGGCAACAGTCACACCCTTGCAAGTCTTCCATCCAGCCTCCTTCCACTTAGGCAGCCACTCGGTGATGCCACGAACCAGATACTCGGAATCGGTCTTGATGATGAAAGTACGCAGAGGCACGAGCTCGTTTCCCTTGCGAGACAGCTTCAGTCGCTCATTCATAATGCTAGTTGCGTTGCGTAGGGCCCGCAGGCAAGCGGTCAACACAGCGATTTGGTTTGTATGAGCCTTGCCGGTGATGGCATGTGAGACGTTCTCTAGATTGTTGACGCCGTAGTACAATCCGAAGGAGGAGCGCGTAACTTTCTTCTCCGTGATGCAGGCTCCATGGATCGCAAGGAGGAGGGAGTCCTCGTGGCCCTCGAATTGCTTGCAGGTTGGGCATGTGCTGGTCGATGCTGGACAGGCAACGCACATCCAGGCGCCGATTTCTACTTCGATGTCTTTCAGGCTGAATCTGGGTGGGTATTCATTCTCTGCGATAAAGCGGCGGCCTTTAAGTGTCACCTTGTCTTTGCCGTCATCTCCAGAGGGCTTCGTGTTGGATGGGGCGAAAGAATGGTGGGTGTGCATAGTGGAGCTGTGCCAGCAATCATCGCCCTGGGTAACCTGTTTTGGTCAGCTTGAAGTGCGACAGACATTGTACCTTGGATTGAAGTAAATGATGTGGAGTAGTGTAGATCAGAGGCCAAGATGTTTACCATGGGGGTTTGAGGACCCTGAGTGGCCTGAAAAGCATGAGCGGGCTGAGTTGGCTGACCTGTTTGGGTCTCCTTTGTGTCCCTGTTTCTAAGTCTCCTCGGAAGAGAAGGAATGGTGTTCGAAGCCATGGTGAGCTTGGACACAGGCGACGTAGAGGGGAGTAGTGTGAGAAGATGGGCAGCAAAGTGCAGGGGTGAAGCAGAATTTCAGAGAAGGGAGACTGAGGAGAGAGGACAACGTTAGGAGCGAGAACGTCAAGGACCATGGAAAATAGAAACGAAAACAAAAAGTGAGGGAACAAAATTCCAGTGACCTGCCTTTTCACCTGGAGCTGGTGACAAAAAAAGAGGGCACCACTATGGGCTAACACACGTGCACTCTCACCTTTGCAATTGAATATTCACTAGGAACCACACTATTAGAGAGATCCTCACCTTCTAGCATCGTAAAATATGATTTATACGTGAATGCATGTTTAAAGCGCGAACAAAGAGCTATAGGTTGCCCTAAAACATAAGAACATCGGAGGCATGACAAGTGTTTGGGGGTAAATATATTTATATTTACAATTAAACATCCTACGTCTAAGACTGCTAGAGACGCTGAAAGGTAGACATCCTATGTAGGGATCAGTTAACACCAGGACAGTCCCTACTATGAGTCGATCATTATGCACTGTAACGATCGTGGTAACCCCAAACCAGGCAACATTCAACCATTAAAAGGCCGTATTGGGACAGGAAACTACAATATTGCACATCGAATATTGAGAGGAATTGAGAGAAAAGAAAGAAGGAGAAGAATGAAAGACCATGAAACCGCATCATGGTCATGGTCTCATAAATCATATCAACGCAAAATGTGGCTATAATGACCAGGATCCTGTAGGCGGAAAAGCTCGCAGGAGTTCTGTCAAGCCTATCCAAACAATACACATTACTCGAAACTGAAATGCCCATTCAAATCAGCACCAGATCTCGGGCTCGATACATATTCAATTCGAAGACTATTTCCTTCGTGCAAAGAGGGGCAACGAGTCACATTTCAGTCTGTCGAACGAGGGCCTGACGGAAATTGCAGAAGCTGTCTGGTGTTACCTTCCCGAGTGACCTATTTCGACCACATCATGCCAATCTGCCACTTATAGCCGATACAACCCTCTCAATTCTGATAATAATGAAATGGCAGGGAAGTAAAAGGTAAATGAAAGGCAACTGATAGACAGGGGGTCATACCTTGGCTTCATAGTTGTGCTCGTCGGTCAGTGTCATCACTCCGCGCTTGATGTCGGTCATGTTAAAGTCGACAAAATGTTAGACTTTCCGAGGTTAGGAGTGCGAAGAAGGAAAGAAAAAGGAAAAAAGAAAGTTGAGAGCTTGCTTGAATATATAGCTGTCTATTCTAGATTGATAATGACAATATATAAATGTGTCTACGTGTGAAATTTAAAGAACTGTTAGCTGAACACCCCATTGCTATAGACACTGTTTTTCTAGAGGGGTTTAGCGTATTCATATATATCCAAAGGATGTAGGATGTATAAGTGCGCTTCCTTTGCCATCGTTTCGATAAATCAGTACCTTTTCAATGCTTTTTATGTCATAGAAGACGGATATCATAACTGCGAGTACCTTAAACTGTACAAATTAAACAGGCAGGTCCAGGTAGAGCGTGCATTTATCGAACTTTTAATAGAGCAAGTGGATTAAAGGGTGGGTTGCGTTGCTCTCTATAGGTAGAATGACAAAAAGAGGTTGGTTAGACTTTGAGATATATTTAGGGTGTTGAATTATCAATCCCCTATATTTAATAGAAAAGACTTGTTTGTTGTTCTTTCATCAAGAACTATTCGCCAATTGTTTACTTTAGAGCTAGATTGCAAAATGACGCCATACCTAATACGGCTGAAGACGTGTATTCTAATTCACAATCCTCGATCTATGGCAGGGAGTCTGCTCAAGATCTGCACTCCTTGTACTTTACGCCTTGATTCAGTTCTAAGTTCCATAGTCGAGATGAGTCACCACCTGATGCATAGGGGATGTGATGTATAGATCCAGGGGTATATTCCCCTACATCGGTCACATCATAATAAATCATAGAACATGCTAGAAGGCAAACATGGCTACACAGTCAACATGCGTGAAACCAAGAGCAGAGTGATATACGATTTCTTGCATGTTGTGTGGTCATCTCCTGTCTCCCGATTGGCTCATATGCGCCTATGACTAGATCTGACTATAGTACAGGGATAGCAGATTTGCCTCCAGAAACTTAAAGAAACTTAAGAGGAAAATACAAGGCACATATTATTGGATAAATATGACCGGAAGCAAGTAGTCAATAGAACAGTAAATATAGCTGCAGCTGTAGGGGGGCTACAAATAGGTCGATCGTCGACCCGATCTCGGCCCACTTTTGCTTCTTAATTTTTGTTTCTTCCTCTTCTCCTCTCTCATCCTCGGCCCCAGTATTTGTGAGTCACAACCCTTGCATTTAAATACCTTTGGTATCTCCTCGTCAATTGTGCTGATAATATACCTTGGAATTGCTAGTCTTGAACTGTCGAGCACGCACAATGCCTCTCATCAACACCACAGAAGTCAACGAGGACACTCGTGGTATGTGGACACTGTCTGATCCAGTTTATCTGTAATGCTCATCAATTCTGTTAGTCCTTGGATACGACCCATTGCTGTCGCCGCAATTCCTGCAGACTGAGATCCCCGCCGTGAGTCAAATTTTTTCTGCACCCCGCACTGCGCGATTGACCGCATTTTGAACACCAAACTGACAGCAATTGCTTCAATCAGCCTGCCCGTGCCACCGAGACCGTCCGCTCTGGTCGTAACCAGGCAGTCGAGATTATCGAGCAGCGCGATGACCGTCTACTGGTCGTCGTTGGACCCTGCTCCATTCACGACCCGGACACTGCCCTCGAGTACGCCCGTCGCCTGAAGGAACTCTCAACAAAATTAGAGAAGGACCTCTGCGTCATCATGCGCGCCTACCTGGAGAAGCCCCGCACAACAGTCGGCTGGAAGGGTCTGATCAACGACCCCGACATCGACGAGACCTACAACATCAACAAGGGTCTCCGCGTGTCCCGTAAGCTGTACACCGACCTGACCAGTACCGGTCTGCCCATCGCCAGCGAGATGCTGGACACCATCTCCCCGCAGTACCTGGCGGACCTGATCTCGCTGGGCGCGATCGGCGCCCGTACAACCGAGTCCCAGCTGCACCGCGAGCTGGCCTCCGGTCTGTCCTTCCCCATCGGCTACAAGAACGGCACAGATGGCAACCTGACCGTGGCCGTCGACGCCATTGGCGCCGCCTCGCACCCGCACCGCTTCCTCGGTGTGACCAAGCAGGGTCTGGCCGCCATCACAAAGACCTCGGGCAACGAGCACGGCTTCGTGATCCTGCGCGGCGGCAACAGAGGCACCAACTATGACCGGGCCAGCATCAAGACTGCACGCGAGGCCCTCCGCGCCAAGAAGCAGCGTGAGGTCCTCATGGTCGACTGCTCCCACGGCAACTCCAACAAGAACCACCTCAACCAGCCCCTCGTGGCCAAGGAGGTCTCCGACCAGCTCCGTGAGGGCGAGTCTGGTATCATCGGTGTCATGATCGAGTCCAACATCTACGAGGGTAACCAGAAGGTTCCCCCCGAGGGACCTGCCGCTCTCCACCGTGGTGTCAGCATCACTGATGCTTGCATCAACTGGGAGATGACGGTTGATGTTCTGGAGGATCTGGCCGATGGTGTTCGTGCCCGTCGTGCTGCCCGTAAAGCAGGTCCCAACGGCTCGCAATAAGCAAGTCGTTACCTTCCTAGGCGAATCGCTTGTCTGGATTCCACGGCTTGTCCTTGCGATGGTGAGGCGGGTGTGGTAAAATAAAAATATGCCTTCATTTCGGTGCCTGTTGTTTTTCTTAGGGTTTCAGCGGTTTCCTTTGTAATTTTCTTCTCCTGCCATGTGCTGTGATCATGTGTGAATGAGTCTTTGGTGCCCAGTCAGAATATGAAAGATTTTCATTTCTGTGAACTTTTTCACCAGTAAATGTTGACTGGCAATGGGCCATAGTAGGAAAGTAAGATAGGTAAAAATAACAGTGGGAAAGTTAAACTGAGGACTCTTAAATGTCCAAGGGCCAACACTCTATAAGAACGGTTTTTACCTGCTCCACTGTGTGCATGGGCCAGGGGAAAGCGCTCTTCCGGCGCGTTGGGGCACTCATTTGTGGAATTAGTACGACAAATCAAAGTCAGAGGCGTTCATTTCGGTGAAGATCTGTAGTAATTTATTATGCTTTATAGTTTTAGGTTACTTGTATAGACAGCAGCTATAGAAAGTTACTGTACTTCGTGTATTGATATCTGAAAATTGGAGTAGAAATGAGAACAGATAGGAGCAGATCTATGTACTGTACACGATATACATTGAGGCCCGCCCATACACTCCTTTCAGAGTATAAGGAAGGCCATACTGACTAGGAACACATTCCAGAAGAGAAGCTGGGAAAGGAAATCAAACGCCGTAAACCCCCTGGGAAGATGGAAGCAGGCCGCGAGATAAGTCTGCGACTTGCCATGCAATAGAAAAGATTGTTGCAGATGGCGAAGAGTGAGGATTAGAGAGGACAGAGAACAGATGGATCTGGTTTGGAAGCATCATGGGTGTTTGCCTGGTGGTAGACGGTGAGGTCAGATCAGATCCGAGGACGGGCCATGTCTCTCCACACATCCATTTTGTTCTCCCGTCCTTTCATTTTGGTTACTTTAAGCTGACAGTTGCTCCCATCTACCGCCCTGTCAACCAGCTAGTCCAGCCCTTTGTCTTGGCCTTTGCGGCTTCTTCCGCGTTCTCGGCCATCACATCCAACTGGCCGGGCAAGGGCACGCCGGTCTTTGCGGCGGAGGCATCGATGGCCTGCTTGGCCAGCACCGCCTCTGTGACACTGCTCTGGGGCTGCTCGGTTGATGCGGCGGCTGGGACAGCACCAGTATCCTCCATATTCAGCTTCTCGAAGAGGAAGCGCTTGGCCTTGGCCCACGGCTTTTGTGCCTTATCCTCCTCGCGCTTCTGCCTCACAATCTCACCAATGCTCTCCTTCTTCACAAGTTCCTGTTGCTCCTCGGTTGCGCTGCCGTTGGCGACGGCGAGCTGGGCCTGGTTGAGAGTCTCGAGTTCGCGTTCGATCCAGAGGGTGCGCTGACGACGGTTATAGAGCGTAAGTGAGATCATCGAGTAGACTGTAAGGACACCGCAAACACCTATTTGAATCAAGAATAATCAGCATATGGTCGGGTATCAGTGGGTGTTGTTGGTTGTCATCTCGGGTATGGGCTGATGCATTCATGGCTTCAACCGATAACCTCCACAAGGCAGAAAACATACCCGACGCGGCAATCAATGTGTATACCATTCCCTTGTGAGCCTTGTTGGCAAACCTCCGACCAGACTCAATCCACCGATCCGCACCCGTCCCAAGAGCCTGAGCCCTCTTCGCAGCCCGTGCCTGCGCGCGGAGTCGTTCCACCTTCTCCTTGGGGGTCTCCGGTTTCCCATCGGGGCCGGTATGTTGTGGTGATTGTGTCTTCTGGTTGGCTTTCTTGCTCTTTCCGATATCCGCTGTCTGGAAACCGCCGGTCTTGGAGTTGGCGTAGGGCCCTGTGGCCGTGAACCGCGTTGCGTCTGCGGCGGATCGGGACATCGTTGCGCGTTCCCGTGTTCGGTGGGAGACCTGTAGATCGTCTAATGGAATCCAAAATAGTACCTGTGACAACTTGGCCAGATGCAATTGATGTGTTTGTGGGGGTGGGCTCTGGGCGTTGGCGAAAACCGGGGATTTGCAGGTTGAAGGTAAATTTTCAGCACGGGAGATGCGCCAAGACATTCAACAGCCTTATCGACAGACCTCCTTCGAGTTGCCTTTGTACATCTACAAATATCCGATATATCAAATAGTATAGATCTCGCTTGCTTTCTGCTTGCTATCTGCAGGTTTGTTTTCATCTATAGATAACCTTTACTCCGGTTCCCATTTCTTCCCATCCTCAACCCTCAATCAAGTGCCACCAACAACATGGCGGATGATCTATACAATTCCTCCGACCTCAACTCGGTCCTCCGTACTCTGTCTAGCTTAGCTCCTCAAGGCAGCTCTCAGACGATACCACAAGCCCATCAACTCTCTACCCCTGCTCCGTTGCACCGCTCAGAAAAGGCACGCCAGCCGCAACCCCGGCCACCGCGACCTTCCAATGGCCCCGCTGATTCATCCAATATCACGACTTGGCCTGCTGCATTACGCTATATCATGCGCACTGTGGGCCAGAATGAAGAAACTCAACATCGCATCCGCGGAATGATTCGAAGCCAACATCACCATGAACGGCAATGGTTCAATGCTCGCGAGGCATTGATAAAACAGCAACGAGGGCGCCCTGAGAAACAGAAGGAGCTCGATGCAGTTCTGTGAGTATTCTTTCATTCTCAATCTTCTGTCTGTTTTCTTTCGGTTTTCTTTGGTCCCTCCTCGATATTTCCATCTCGTTTTAGTCTTGTCATGGTTTTCTCCTGTCTTCTTTTTCCAATCATTTATCTTGAATCTTTCACTAATGTCCAACAGCCGATCAATCGGTGCTCCGGTGGATACAAAAGAGGCGGATACAGTACGTTCTTACTTCCACATCTACTCAGCTCTTTCTCACGTCATCTTTAAGCTGCCCTACTATCAACTTGCTGACTGATAGATCAGGCCGAGCAAGATTTTGCTGCAGAAGTAGCAGCCTATGATACCAAAGTCTATAGGGCTGCTTCCCAGATGACAGACGCGCTGATATCTGAACTACGTGGTCTCGGTATACCCTTCTTTAAGATCCGTACAGATTTGATTCAGGATTCCCCGAGTGGGACAGGGACTCCTGGTTCTAGTGTTGCCCAAATACAAGAACCTGATCTCACCGGAGTCTCGTCGCAAATCACAAAATCCGAGCTTGTGAAATTGCAACAACGCATGCTAGAACTGTTGGAGGATCTGTGCAAGGAGTGATATTCTTTTTTTTTTTTTTTTTTTTTTTTTTTTTTTTTTTTTTTTCATTGCTATCATCTCCCCTTTCTCTTCATACAGTGTTCGTTGTGCGCGCGAAGTATCCGACTGATGTCCACTATGAGGCCACTGTGTGACAGTAAACCTCAAGAGCAACAGAGAGTTCGAAACTCCCGCGATATTGTCATCGCTCTCGGGATGCTCTCTTGCTTTCTTCAAATTCATTTTCAAGTCAAAGTCTCGGTTCACTTTCCGGTCGAACCGAACTGAAAAATCCAACGTGGCCCAGAACACTTGCTTGTGTTTTTACAGCGAAAGTTTTCTCTAAATATGAGCCAGCTGAGTTCAAGCACGAGGATTTGGATCTTGTACTCGATGCTCCAATGTGTTTGCCGCAGTTGGACGCCCAAATGGGAATATCTTCAATGATAAGATATCTATCTTTTTTTCGAGACCAAGACCAATTCCACGATACAAATTACGGAAGCGCAATAACAATTCATTGAATCGAGACTCTTGAAGTTAGGATATATCCATGAATTCCTGCATAGCATATAGTCAAGCCATCCATTGTATCTATGCTCTTTCGTATTGTATTCATACTTCTTTTATCCCGGTGAAGTTCTCACCTGGGCCGCAATGTCCACATATCGCACTGCTTAGGTGGTCTCGTTTCACAGTCTCAGAAATGGAACATAATTATACCAAGATATTTGAATCAATATAAATGACTGGGACTCCTATATTCGATAGAACGGGTGATGTAATAGGGACTCGGCTGTAGGGCATACCGCCCGGCGGCAAACGCCGATCCACCCGGGCTTTGACGTACGCTTCACCTTGCATTCATCCTGAACATGACAACGAGAACCAAGATAAGTGGTCTCGCATCTCTTGCTTGCACAGAGTGCAGAAAGCAGCATCTCAAATGCGATGCTAGCAAACCATCGTGTTCACGATGTGTACAGAACGGGTTACTCTGCCAATATCTACCGTCTCGCCGAGGCGGACGCAAGAAATCCCGAAATGAAACTCCATATCAACGTCCTTCAATTTCGCAAAATCAGGCCAATGTCAGTGTTGATAATAATCTTCGGAAGTATTTTACTAATGAATTTTCAGGCCAGATATCAGTCTTCCGTCTCTGTTGTGCCAATCACCCCTGTGCAGGTCACACCAGAGAACACACCACAGACCGGCAGGCAGACGGGGCTAAGTATTTCCACCGAATCAGCTCCATGGCCTGTGATGATTACGGGGAATTCTCCAGTGCAAGAAAATGTTGAACCTGCAAGCAAACCTCCACTTTACGATGAACGACTACCTCGGTTGTACTACGAGAATTTCCATGTCGCCCATCCCGTCTTGGTGCCCAGCTCATTGTATAATGATCGGAACTACCCTCATTTCCTGCAGATGGCAGTGAATTTTGTGGGCTCTCACTATGTTGCATCTATCTCCAGCCAGCAACACAAGGATCAAGTTGTTGCCGAGTTGAAAACCAACCCGGATCGATCGCCTTGTATGGTCCAGGCTTGGCTGATCTATTCCATTGCTCTCTATGCTCGCGATGAATGGCAAGAAGCACAAGAGGCTTTCTCTAATAGCATTGACATTGCTTTGGAGCTTGGCATGAACCGATGGTCGTTCGCTTCATCGGCGAACCCGGAAAGGTCCATCGAAGCAGAGAGCATGAGAAGGACATGGTGGGAACTTTATGTTACCGATATCTTCATGGCAGTCTCATTGAAGACAACAACACTTCGGTGTAGCACTGTCTCGCCGGAGGTGGGCTTGCCTTGCGAGGAGTCTGCATATAATAGCGGATGTGAAGTTACAAAACCTCGAATGATGATCGAGTTCAAGCGGAGGATTCTCGCTGCAGAAGACCCAGTCTTTTCATCATTCAGCTATCGCATTGAGGCCACGACCATCCTTTGCCGAGTTCTTATTCTAAATCGACTACGAGACTGTCACCGCGATCATCTTCAGGCCATCGAAAATGCACTAGTGAGCTGGATCAACCACCTTCCACCAAAGAAACTCGACATTCTTGATTCATATGGTAACGTCGATGAAATGATGTTCCAAGCACACTTGACAATAGCATACGCTGCCATGCTCCTACACCTCCCACGCAGCGACCTTCCATCTGTATTATCCCAATCCCAGCCCGATGAGCGATTCTGGCCCGGTCTTTCAGGCCAACTCTCATCAACATTCACCCGCTTAGTTCACAGCATCAAAGCAACCGAGGCCTCAAGGCGAATCTCCGACTCTATTTCTGTCTGTCCAAACGTCCCAAAGCACACACCTTTTATAATCCCCGCCTTGGCCCTCTGCGGACTCATCCAACTCGCCACTTCGACCAGCCATTCAGAGGAATGTTTCGATCACCATTGCAATCGAGTCACCCTCATCTTAGGGTGTCTCAAAAGCACACAACGGACCTGGATACTAGCCGAGTCCGTATACCATGGTCTCCGATCTTCTGCATCGGACATTCTCTCCGACTCCATGGCGAAATGGAACGCCGAGCCTCTACATAGATTCATGCCAGCAGTCTCGACGCCGAATGTGCAGGAAAGACCAAGCTCGAGTGCAAATCAGGTCACGACTATGACATACGGACAAGAGTTCACACCGCCAGAGTTTACTTCAACATTTATCGATCCTACTTGTTACAATGCTTCATTCTTCAGTGCTATCCCTGATTTTGATATCAATTAGCGGGTATACCTGGGAGCGGAGACAGTGTTTCTGTACTAATATGATCTATGTACATCAGTTACCTCACAATTAAAAGTATACATCAGCTGACTACGTAGTCACGCAGACCAGGTGCATATTAAAACTCGGAATAAATGCTGACAATACGTAATAACAGGGGCCTGAACTTCAGTCAGAAGTTCCGATTTGCAGGCTTGTTCAGTCGCCGAAGGTTGACCTGGGTCGCCGACCGAGCCGTCAATCATTGGTGTTGATTGGTCACTACTTAAATAAACTTCCCCACTCGGCGATCCAGTTGGAACCTTCACGCGCATGTTGTACGTATATTTCGAGGCGCTACTTGCATTGACTAAACCCGTAGATCAAGTTATCTTGCTAAATGTTCTTATTGCGGTGAATCTGGTTGATATCGTCGGGACTCTGATTGGATGTGTCCCTATTTCAGTAATCTGCAAGACCCATGCACCTTCTTCTACTTCACGAGATAACTTCGGCTACTTCTACTACATTGTAGCGGTGTCACCGAGTATTCCTCCATCTGGTCTTTTGTTTGAATTGACTAAATACCCGGGTGTAACCGGGGTTGATCTGCGCATCTTTAGTCTAATTTAGACATGTTTTCTACCTCATTCTTCACCGTCCACGATTGACCGCCGGAGGAGAGTATACATCATGCTTAGACCTCAGCTGAGTCCTTATCAATGTCGATTGCATTACCAGCTCACCTGGTGCATCATCAGTTGTACAATACTTGTACTAGGTTCGACTGCAGGCTGCACACTATGGCGTTATCAATTCTCTCTATGGCGTTATTAGTTCATAGTCAAAACTTCCCTGATTCAAACGTGGGTTGGTTCGGTCTTGGAACTCTCTGCTAACTATGAATTCTTTAAGTCTTTGAATTAATATGGAAATATACTCATCTTGAGATTATAGCTACAGCCAAGAGAGATATGCCAAGCGCCACAGTAACATAAACATGGGGATGCATACTCCCAATCCCACCGCCAGACGCCAATCCCCGTCCTTCTCGAAATAAGCAAATCAACTGTCGTCTGCAGAAACAACGGTAAGGCCTTTGAAAACCGTTGGCCGAGACTGCAATGGGTCCGCGGCCCTGGAATGCAAGGTATTGAATGAATCGGCGATTGAAACGGGCATTCAGGGGAATGCTAGAATATGCAGCATGATCTCAGAGATAACAGATCTCAACCACAAGTCCTCTTCATATAATTTCTCCTATATCTGTTCACAGTCTCCAACCTCCATTCCTAACTCCACACCTCATCCATCAATCATCACAATGTCATACGCCGTCATTCCCACACTGCCCCTAAACACGGGTCTATCACCAGGCTACAAGCACTACACACCGCAATACAACCTAGAGGACCTTGTACATGATATCAAAGCACACCTAGGAGAGAGCGGCGGCATTTCTTCAGCAGACGTGGATAACGAATACCTCATTTCTCTGGCAAAGAAATACATCTCAGACCCAAACGACTGGGCCCGCTATTTCTACAACGACCCCAGCAAGGCCTACACCCGCAATGCAATTGAGAACATCAACCAGAAGGCAAATATTGTGAGTGACGTTCTCAGTCATATTCGGTTGCTATCATCAGTCTAACCCAATATCCCAGCTCCTCCTCGTCTGGAACCCCGGGAAAGGCTCCCCCATCCACGACCATGCCAATGCCCATTGCATCATGAAGATCTTGGCTGGCACATTGCAAGAGACTGTCTATGACATCCCCGATCAGGGGTCGGATTGTCCGGGTCCTTTGGATATCAAGTCTGATTCGAGGCATACGATGAACGACGTCGCTTATATCTCTGATGATATTGGCTTGCATCGGGTTTATAACCCGAGTAGTGACCAAGTTGCTGTTTCTCTTCACTGTGAGTTCTGCACCGAGAATTTTAAGCCTCTTTCTTGGTGCTTGGTGCTAACAGATGCTTCTCTAGTGTACACTCCTCCCAATGCTGCCGACTATGGGTACAACATCTACAATGAGAAAACAGGCAAGGCGAGTTTCGTACCCCAGGCTCATTCTGTTCCGCAGAAAGAATGAACTCGACTCATTTTGGGTGTTTATTGGCGCATGGCAAGGGAGTTCTTTTTCTTTTTCTTTTTTGGTTCTCTATTTCTCCTTTCCTTTTTTTCCCATGAGCAACAAGCATGTCTGATAGCTTGATTTTCCACTTCAACCGGTTTCGACGAAAGCGATTTTGCTGGTATACCCTTAACGAAATAATGACACTTCTTACGATGACTCCAAATCCTATCAAGACTCAATACAATATGACGTAAATCGCTAGAAAAGGCAAACTCTGCTCTCCATTGAGAACAGGCTTCTGACCTTACGACGAAGAGTAGGTCAATGCTTCATTATATGAAAGTTTTTCTATGTGATTAAGTACATAGCACACCAGGAAGGGGTCGGTTTGCTTAGTGGACTCATTGTAAGTCTCCGAAAACCAGAGCATCATTCAGTCATCAGGTTGAATGCCGTGTGTCGGGAACTTCCAGATCACGTCCCTGTTGATACTTCCATGTCTTCCTTCTTGTGCTTTTTTGTGCCTTTTCCCCAGTCGTGAGGGCTCCATGAAAGATCTTGTTGATGTCATCCTTCTACTCCTCGTCAATCTCACAATCCTTGTCATAGTTCGAGCTAAAGTGTATTGATTATATAGCCATGCAATGATATTATACACTCAATGCTAAGTTGGATGAAAGCGACAAAGAAAAAGTGGTAAGGCCGAGGAAGGAGACAATGAAGAAGGATGATGAACTAGCTATTGAGGGGCATGAACTTTATATTTATAGCTCGCAGACCTAGGGCTAGCAACCAACCAACAAGGCCTGATACTTGAAACCCAAGGTAACATATTGGCTGCCAAAAAGTCAACTTTGAGTGATCTGAAACTGAATGGTTTTACGACTTTGTGAGAGTATTGTCCTTTTCATTGTAACGAATGGTAATCTTAGTCTGGTAAACAAACGTGAGGTCTAAATGATATAGAGACAAATTGATTGAAGTGGCATTGACTACTCTCAGTGACGATTAACAATGAACGTATGATCTAAACTGACAATCGCACATATGCCTATAAAATCTGCTAAACCCGGGCCTAGCTATCGGGACATGCCAAAAACCGATGGGGGCGAAGATCAGACAAATCTTCAAGAGGCTCCGCAGTCCCTGGGATATCGGGGTTCGGATGTAATACTCCGCGCTGGTTATGGCCTGTGATTGGTGGACCTCTCGGATTTTGGACCCTCGGCGCTCGGCGGGTTTTGCACCGATAGACATAGTTCTGAGTTTATGGATTTGGCACCTTAAGTATAAATTGATCATGGATTCATTTATTTTGTTTGATTTTAGTCTTTAAATCTCATGTCTTTCAAGATCATGTCTAGAGCTCGCCTTCTTCCACGGTATTTAACAACAAAGTCTGCCTCGGCCTTTATTGTACTCGGCTTAGGGGCCTACTGCACTCGATCTTTTATTCTACCGACTGGCCATGCAGAATCAAATGAACCTCCAAAGGTGTTCTCTGGGTTTGGTTTTACTACGCTACGACTGCAAAGTGCGAAAGATGTGAACCATAACACGAAACGACTGGTCTTCGAGTTTCCAGACCAGAATGCCAAAAGCGGATTGACACTGACATGTATGGACACCAATATGATGAATTAACTCTCGAGATGTATCTTCTAACACACTGCAGCGGCCCTTCTCACAATCAGCCGTCCAGAAGGACGATGGCTCCCCGTACTACGTCCATATACACCTATCAGCGATCTAGGTATATCTCATCCAACCCCATACCCCGACACAAGTACATGAAATTAACAAAAACACCAGACCAACGCGGCAACATCGAGCTAATGGTCAAAAAATACCCAAATGGCAAAGCCAGCAGTCACCTCCACTCTCTCGTCCCAGGAGACACCCTCACATTCGCAGCAGCCATCAAAGGCGAGTCCTGGACACCTAACAAGCATCCCCAGATCTACGCCATAGCCGGTGGAGCGGGTATCACACCTATTTACCAGCTAGTTCAGGGTATCCTCAATAACCCAGAGGACAAGACGAAGATCAGGCTTGTGTTCGGTGTCAATACGGAACAGGATTTGCTTCTTAGGGAGGAACTTAAGGATTTCAAGACTCGGTTCCCGGATCGGTTTGATTATCTTTATACTGTTAGTCATCCAATTGAAGAGGCTGGGAGTGGGAATGGGGAGGCTAGGAAGGGTTATGTTACTGAGGAGCTTTTGAGGGGTGTTGTTACGGCTGATGGAGATGCGAGGGTCTTTGTCTGTGGACCCCCTACTATGGAGGAGGCTTTGGCTGGATCTTGGGGAAAGGACGGTATTTTGGCGAAGCTTGGGTTTAGGAAGGATCAGGTTTGTAAGTTTTAGTTCATGGGTGTTTGTTTTATGCATGTATATTAGAGGTGTTTGGGTGATTATATTATATTTGATTTGGTTTTCTCTCCATCGGTTCTTATCTAGAGTCTATGGATCTTGAAATGAGAGATCGTAGCAACAGATATGGTAAAGGTATCCTAAAAGCCAAGGCATTTTAACTGTCCAGTAGGATGACATGAGTGATGGCCTTGGGCATTTGGTATGAAAGTTTAGCCGAAGTATTCCCAAATCCGTTAGCCCTTTACCAGTAGAGGCCCACGTAGTCTAACATAAACTACATATACATGTACATCCAAGAAACAAATAAGTAGCTTATTTCTTATGATTTCAACGTCCCACCAACCTATAATCTAGCAAACGTTAACCAGAACCAGTATCTGCTTCAGTAAATAATGACGCGGCTTCCCCTCTAGGACCGACCCGTCGTCAGCCTGAGCCACGTACTCTTCATAAAGTCAATCCTATTTAGTTAATCATTTCTCTATTCGACAGGTAGCCAGACACACCAGTGTATGAACAACCTTATCAATCTTTCCATGTTGGGTAATGAACAGTGCCAATCAACACAATTTTCCTGATGCTTAGCTCCCACCATGTCCCCACAATTCTGCTACACAGTCTCCATTGGCGCCGTCCCAAAACGGGAGCTGTCACAATCATATGCCGTAGTGAGCGGTGTGGATAAATGAAAAGACCAGATAGGAGAAATTATCGTAAGAGTGGAAGAGAATACCGTGGGAGGAGAAACATAGACAGAAACAAAACAATAATTGACTTTAAACCCTAAGCTATGTTACAACCCTGAACCTGCCCAAACCCAGCCATCCAGAACAAGATATATGTCCAGCTAGAGCACATGTATCAGATCAAAAGCCAAGCGACGCTAAACAGCAGACCGAACCGTCGTGTCAACTAAAGCACAAAGCTTGGATAGTACTGTAGTGGATCCATGCTGTAAAGTAGAAAGCGAGCGAGGATCAATACCTCGTGCGTAATGTCTATCCACAGATCAACAAGGATGGAACGTGAAGCAAACACGAAACAAAGTCTCAAAGATAAGATCAGTTCGACTGCAGTAGAATGCAGGTACAGTGTGTATCAGGATAGGACAGGATAGTATAGTAAATATATTCACACTATATACAGACATGGATTTCGTAAAGTAGACGAAACCAGCCCCAAGGCGGATCCCCGGATAGAATAATATTACACAAGAATTGAGAACAGAACCTTGATGTAGTGTAGGTTAGTTCGAGTCCCCAGCAGAAAAGTCAAAACAGAAGGAAAAGAAAACAAACGTCGCACACAAGCACAGCCTGGCGATGTCCATAGGTGATATGATAATACCAAAAATGAAAACAAAAACAAAAACAAAAATAACGCCTAATTGGGGTATGATATGCATGGAACGATCATGACCTGGTTGATATATACCAGTGGCCTCAGCTATCCTCTCTTTTCTTCTGTCTTTCAGTCTTTCGGTTTTCTTTCTCTTTTTCTTTCTTTCTCGGGCCAAAGACGTGGTATGTGGTTGATTTTGTGTCCAAATTGCAAACCCAACTCCGTAGTGATACAGGTCGCAGCTGGAAAGGGGTCAAAACGATACAGATGCAGAAACGTAGATGCAGACGCAGAAATCAGGCACAATATGCAATGCTAATCATGCAGGATGGAAAGCGAAGGAGCGAAACGCTTTACTCCCGGGGAGCGGAGGTGAGGTGGATCTCTTCTGTGGGAAGTCCCTCCTCGGAGGGGACGTGCTGGTAAGAGCGCGAGCGGCGAGCGCGGATAACGCGCCAGATTGCGTAGCCTGCACCGCCGAGGGTGCAGACTACCAGGATGAAGATTAGGAGACTGCCTACGCCGCGGATGATGTCGTAGGCCATGTAGACTGCTTTGGCGACTTCCTTTGCGTCGGCGTACTGGGAGTTGCTGTGGCTGCTAGAGCCGCTAGAGCCAGTCGAGGTGCCGTCGTTAATTAGGTCAGCTGATTCATCGCCGCTGACGGCGTTGCTGTCGCTGTCGCTGTCAGAGCTGCTGCCGGAGGAAGAGCCTAGGTTCTTGATGGCTGCGGCGATGATGGATGGGTCGTCGGGGCTAGGTCCGGAGGCGTTTCCCTCCCAGCCAGCACTCTTCCAGTTGGTGGGGATTTCGGTACGCACGGTCATGGAGGTATGCATGACATTGCCGTCGGCATCAATAGCCTGGGCAGAAACCCAGTCCATGTAGCCGTCGGCGATGAACATGGTCTCGAAGTCGGTCTTGTTGACGGAGCCGATGAACACGGGTTCGCCGCGGTCGTAGGCCTGCGCATAGAAGTTCCATTTGACGACATCGGTTGCTCCGTTCCAGCTGACGTAGAGGAGGGTTGTGGTGTCCTCTTCGTCGGTTCCGTAGACGGATGCGACCAGGTCGGGCGGGGCAGATGGGCGGCCGGTGAATTCGCCCTTAAAAGAGCGGTAGGTCGAGTACCGCTCGGAAGCGAAGCGGGCGGTCATTAGAAGATCGCCATTCGAGGCGTGCTCGCTGGAATAGCCGCGCTCACTCCATCCGACGAAGATGTTCTCGTTGGGGAGGACACGCACGCTACCACGGAGTCGGGTGAGACCGCTGTCAGGGCGGTTGATACGGCGGATCACTCTGGCAGTCATGGGAACGACGGCGGTGTCCAGCTCGATAATCAAAGCGGCTGAGACATTCTCGTCGTTGCCCCGTTCGTCGGAAGCGTTGTTCAGGACTGAGATAACATGGTGGGTGCCGTTCGAAGAGACAAACTTAACATCGTGCTGCTTGGAGAAGGTGAAGTCCTGGTCGAAGTTGCTCTCCAATCCACCCAGCCGCCAGACGATGTTTCCATCCTGGCCAGAAATCAAGTAGATAGTGTTGGTGAAACGTAAGGAGATCAGATAGTCACCGGCCTCATTCTTGTCGACTGCGTTGATGTGCACGTAATCCCAACCGGGCTCTCCGGCGGGGTTGTCCCACGCGTTGAACATGTTCGATTCATGCAAGGCAATCTTGTCGTACGAGTCCCACTGGACAAGAACTTCGCTAGTCTCAACGTCCAACTCGACAAACCCACCAGTCGTCACCCAACTCTCTTCCGTAGGGCGACCGAAATCTGCCATGTTGACCACCTGGCTCCGGTAGGTACAGGCCAGAGCAGTCTTTCCACCGTCCATAATGTTGAACTCGTGCATGTTGAAGTCATGGAGCTCATTGACAACCTGGACCTCCTTCTCCACCTCATACTTGTTGTTCACAATAGCACCATGGCCCTTCTTTGAATTGTCGAATTCCCACCCCACAATAAACGACAGATGCGGGTCGTCATCGATATTGTGCACCGGCTTGAAATCGAAAGTATTGTGGTTGTCGTACAAGGGCGATCCAGCCCAGATCAAGACCTGTTGCGCGGGACGTCAGTTGCATGTTGACCGGGGGTCTTGGGGGCCAAGACCTACGCCGTTGTCATCGTAGATATAGGGTCCGACTTGGTACTGCTGGTACTTCTGGGTGGGATGTTCCGGAGAGATCTGACCGTACGGCGCGACGAACCAGTAGCCAGGGGCCATGCGCTCGCGGTCGTAGTAGGTGATTTCCCATTTCAAGGCTCGGACCTCTGGGAGCTATACGGACGTCAGGATGAAACACGGTAAAGAAAGGCAGTATTCAGCCCTACCGTCACAAAGGACATCAAGTCCGCATCATGACGCTCGGCAACGACATTACTCGAGAACAGGAGTAATAGCGCACCCCAGAACATAGTGAATTGAAGGAATGGATAGGAAGGAAGATCTCCCAAAAAGCGAAAAAACGGAGAAAAGCAAGAATGAAGGGGGGAAGATCCCACAGCCTTAATTCCAGAGGGGCTAAGAGAAAAGGGTATAGAGGAAAACAGAGGGCCGCGACGCTCAGCGTCAACGTAACAATTCACTCTTGGCATTTCGGGTGGAGAAGGCACATGAGTCCACAGCGGAGAGTTCCTCTCCTCTCGTATCTCGTCGTTCCGTATAGCGCTGGTTCCACTGCCTTATCCTGGTTGGGTCTGACATTCCCTCGCATGTCTGGAGAGATCCATCCGCTTCTTGGACTCCTGAAGGCTGAACGTCTCTGATGGCGTGGCTTTTGCGCCACTGCGCGTCTCGGAGTCGGCCTTGTTTTCCCTAATCAGCCTGGACTTGGGCTTTACCATTCAGCCGATGCAGATGTGATTAGCAGAGAACAATTAAAGCATCCAGGGGGAGAGTCTTGGCACTCTATCCGAACCTGGTAAGGATATCATTTTCAGGAGATGAGTTCCAGTGATTGACTGATTGACACGGCTGAGGAAAACCTTTTCCGCTCTCCTTCCTTTTTGTTTGTTTTTTTCTTTATTTTTTCATGTTTTTTTTTGTCTGTGGCTTCTGGGTTTCCACTCCGAGGCCGGCAGTTGAAATCATAACCGATCCACCCTTGACGTGCCGGCATATTTACAAGTCTTGCAGAAAGTACGGTGAACAGGGCCATTTTCTTGGAATCAGAATTAGTCTACGTTAGCTGAGGCTTCGCCTCAGATCCCATTTAAGCTCGAGAATGGTGTGGCAGTCTAGCCCCACAAACCACGTTTTCTTTGTTTTCTTTTCCAGAGTGGATTGTCACTCCGAAGACGCGTAATCCATGATAGGAGGTTCCCCCAGCGCCTGAGGCTTGTAGAGCACCAACCCGGCCACGGCAATCAGCAACAAACCCTCAGTACCAACAGATCCTTCAAATCCAGCGCCCGCGCCAGCACCTGCTGACAGGCCTGGGCCAGGTTAACCCGGGACAAGTCCGCTGCCCCGTCATGCAAGATTGCGTCAATTGCCAGGGCCCAAGCATGGGGGTTATACAGAACGCCATCGTGAGTATAGACACCACCAGCGGGCATCGTGGCGCAGGCCGACAGGAGATGACATTCGTCACGCCGACGCGGCGCACATCACCCAGAATAGCAGACGCACTGGGTCCAGACATTGGCTGGACGATCTCGTCAAAAGTCGAGTACACCGTCGTGGGCACGTAGGCTGAGTCGCCGCAGTCGCCGCGCAGCGTGCGGATGTACTCCGTGTCCCAGCCCTGCTGCCACAGACACGGTGTGCATAGCACCAGATCCAGCGATGTGCAGACGAGCAACCGGACCAGTGTCCCGTGGAAGCCTGGGCTTATGGCAATGAAGTCTTTCACCAATGCTCGTGTCGAGGGCCAGTATTTCAGTGCCCATTGGGTGTTTAGGCCGTCTTGCGACCATGATATCACGGCTAGGAGTTTGTCGGCGCAGAGTGTCGAGATATAGTTTATGGCATGGGAAACGTACTCGGCGTTCGATGCCCGAAGGAGGTTAAACCATACTGCGTCGATGGGAATGCTGTCGCCTAACTTGCCGAAGTTAAAGTGATATGTTCTCCAGCTGGGATGGCAGTGCCCGGCACGAAAGTCACAGGTGTTCTAGCGCGACCGAACGAGAATGAGTCTGGGATGAAGATTGCTGCTCGAAGTGTATCCTCCAGTGTCGAGTAGGGAGCATCCCCGGCAGCCTTTGGATGGATTTTCCGGGCCGGGGCTGGGTTTTGGTGGGATAGTGAGTTTAGCTCGCTGTCGAGGTATCCATACAAGATTGAAATAACGTCCGGTGGCACGAGACCGGCTTCTGCGATTCCGCTGGCCACATCGAAGATGCTTGGCGTTCCTTTCGATATTATGCTTTGGATTGCTGACAGTGCAGATTCAGGAGATTGTGGTGTCAGGAGTTTGTCGGCCTGGTCGAGGTGCGAGACGAAGCGGCTGATGTACTCCTGGCTACATCTGAGCACCGGACAACGTGTTGAGAAAGTTTATCTTTGCCAAGGCGGAGGATTTACCAGCGGTCAGCGGAGAGCCAAGCACGTCATATATCCAAGTGAACACAAGTAAACTCTTCGTGGCTTGGGTTATGCCGGGTCAACTTGGTCATTTCACCCTATCAGGGGACGCCCCAATTGAAATATTGGCCTTTTGGGGCTTACAAGCAACATCATATCAGGTTTAGGCTCCAAATCGATGGCTTGGGCTGCGTCTTTTCCGAACAAGTAACCATGCAATGTCTGATTTGCTTGTTTCATTGGGCCATTGCCAGAACTATTGGCTTACATTGCCTTGAGCCGAGAATTGGCTTCAGACCGATAGAAGCGAACGTGCAAATCGGGATTCCGACCTATTAGATTCAGGAGGTTTCTTAAAACGGCCCATGCCCAGTTTCAATTTTAGTCCGAGGGCCTGTCTCCCCGCAACATCCCCGCAGATCGTCGTGTGGGGGAATCAGAGCTACGGAATGATAAGATGAACAGGAATGCCATACACTATTCAACACGATAGAACGGTTACAAGTAGAGCTTACAAAATTTGCCATATCTAACTGTTACATAGAATCAAGACCACTGTTTAGTCCCTTGCTTTACAGACCACACAATACTCTGGTTGACATCATTGTAATGAAAGACCTGACTTGAAGAACTTACGAGATAAACACGACGAGGAGGCCACCTGGTCGATCTGCAACCAATGCGTCTACTTCAGCCGGTGGGTATCTATACAGCGAATACGACGCCTAGTATAATCAAATCTTGCCGTGGAGCTTGCAAGATAGACTTTTCATTCACGAAAAGGAGAATCGGATAGATGAGGATATATAGAGCATTCTTGCCCTGATGAGAGAATATCTAACTTCAATAGGGGCGGGCTTGGTGGAGCTGAAGAGCCTCAACTAGCGCAACCAAACCTTGATTAACGCCAAATCAAGGAAATCTTGCAGACTTTGCGAAGGGATGTGAATCTGTAGACTCGAGTATGCTTTGAGTTCAGAATTGCTAGGTCTCCATCTGATCTCAAATGAACTGCGTCCTTGCATAATTTCCAGGGCTCACGGTATGATCAAGGGTTACTTTTCCACTTGAGTGAATTGTGCTCGATGTCTCATCGATCCACTTGCAGCACTGGTCCTTATTAAGCTGTAATTTGGCCTGGAAGATTGTTGTGAGGGACAGGATGTCTTGTCTATGTCGGAGCAAGTGGGAACATCCAAAGCCAGAAGTTAGCATTTAGATCGATAAGGTGGCAGTGTAGATCCATAGATATGAGGCACGTGGTTAATGCCATGACACTAGCCCTGGAAAGGCGAAACATGAACGGAATGTTAAGTGACATAGGGCCGAAGTTGAAGGGAGTTGGAATGATGTTGCCGCAGTATTCGGGCTAGGAGGGTAGTAGTGCAGTTGACAGTACATATGACATCTACAAAATCGAAGGTTTGGGTCTCAGGTAAGTGTATCCGATCCGAAAGACCGAAAAAGTGTTGCAATGAGTGTTTCAAACGTAGAAGATCTTATAGGGAGAGAAGTGTGGAAGGCGAAGTTCCGAGTGTAACGGTAACTTGGACTACCACCGTTGCACTCAAGGGGGTGATTGCGTATGCACCATACGGAATGTATTGACAACAACTGCTATGGAGATAATTGTATGAATCAATTGCAATAGAATTAGAGAGTGCTTAATGCGTATTTACATGGAGCATATTTAATTACAACTCTCTGTCAATATATCAATAATATATGTGTTCCAAAATTGTTGATGTTGAAATACATTACAATACCATACACATTGCGACACCGCAAGGGCAGTGTCACTGGAATGGGCCAATGTTGATCCATGCTTGGGTTGACTTCGCTTCTCTACGGAGTACCTCTCTGTATTCTCTCTTCTTCCTCCAGGTGGGGATTATTGTCTCTGCTACACTCCCACCGAACCCACTCAAACACTACTCCAGTGGGAGTGTCACATCAGCTGCACCCCCGACCCTTATAACTTCTGATATTTCCTCTTTAGTCTTATCCCCATGTTCCCCAGGTAGCTAGGAACTTGGACTCCCTCGATCTTTCCTCCCGATCTCGCTCCCAATCGCCTCTCCTCCCGCCACCATGTCGGCCCCGCTGGTCAAGGTGCTGCACCGATTGCGAGAGCTGTTCCAAAACGTGATCTCGGCCCTCGAAACCATGATCCTCTTCCCCTCCCTCTTCCGCGGCCTCTCGCGTCGACGCCGGAGACCCTTCCTCGGTGCCCATTGGCGACGCCGCACCCTCGATGATTTCGCCGAGGAGGTCGAATCCCTCTGTTCCACACCGCTATCAACGCGCAATATGCTCGACATGTCGGAGAAGATCCGCGTACAGTTCCGCGAGTGCCTACAAACGAGTCCATGTTGCATGCTGCCATCGTACAACCACGTGCTTCCCGCTGGGACGGAGAAGGGCCTCTTTGTGGCTTTGGATGTGGGTGGATCGACATTCCGCGTAGCTTTGATTGAATTGAATGGACGGGACGAGGAAGTGCGGATCCTGAAGGAATCATCGTCTTACATTGATAATGGGGTTAAGATGCTGGAAGGCACTCTGTTTTTCGACTGGATGGCGGAAAGAATTGACACTACGTTGAAGGAGCTCGGATCTGAATATGGTCGCGGCGCTGCGCCGCTGGCGATGGGTCTGTCCTGGTCATTCCCTATCGAGCAGATGTCGCACAGCAGTGGTTTGGTGATTCACATGGGCAAGGGCTTTAAGTGCTCCGAGGGCACACTAGGGCAGGAACTGGGTGGTCTCATCAACGAGTCATGCCGCAAGCGCAACTTGAACGTAGAGATCGCTGCTATTGTGAATGATGGTTCTGCGGCTCTTCTTTCGCGTGCCTACGTCGACTCTAAGACTCGCATGTCTTTGATTCTCGGTACCGGTACCAATGTTGCAATTCATTTCCCCGTACACGGGATCGGTATGTCGAAGTTTGGAACTCGTCCAGAGGGCTGGTTCGACTACGCCAAGCACGTCATTATCAACACCGAGATGAGCATGTTTGGTGGAGATGTATTACCCTTGACCCGATGGGACGACGTGCTGAACCGCACTCACCTGCGTCCCGACTACCAGCCACTCGAATACATGATCACAGGCCGGTATCTGGGCGAGATCGTTCGCCTGATCATCGTCGAGGCCGTCGAGACCGCCCGTCTGTTCAACGGCGAGCTACCGCACTCCATGCGTGAACCCTACTCCTTTGACACAAGCATCGTCGCCTTCCTCGAAGAGGACTCCTCTGTTACTCTTTCCGCCTCCGCCGCCCTCCTGCAAAAGCAACACACCTTCCCTAACCTCCCTTCTATCGAGGACCTCCGCTTCCTCCGCCGCATCTGCCAGGCCGTGTCCCGCCGTGCAGCCGGCTATCTTGCAACAGCCATCCACAGCATGTGGTGCCTACGCAACGAGGTCGAATTCCCAACCTCCACCTCTCTCCACGACTCCCTTGACAAGGAAACACCCGAAATCACAGTCATCGAAAGCGAAGACCACCCCAAGAGCCTATCCATCGCCTGCGACGGCACCGTCATCAATAAATACCCCGGTTTCCGTGACTGCTGCCAGGACTATCTCAATCAGCTGAGCGAGAAATCTCACCCGGGCACCGGCGCCTTGATCCGCCTCAACCCCGCACCAGAGAGTGCCATTCTCGGTGCTGCAGTTGCAGTGGCTGTGGCCGTGGCTGAGAAGTCTGCCCAGCACTAAAGACCGGCTGATCGGACGACCGACATGATTGATGCATGACTTCCACGCTGAGCATAGATCTCGAGCTGTTTTTTTCGTTGTGATTTTCTCTTCTCTCTCCTTTTCTTTATAACCATCTCCCTCGGTCATCGGCGCATGATATGTGATGGGTTTTCTTTTCTCTGCATGGGGCATTCCCCGATGGGAGTCGGTGGAAAGCATTTCACTTCTCCCCTTTTTTTCCCTACCCCCTTTCGACACTTGACTCGCTAGCATTTGCGCGGTGTTTTTTGAATCTTGGAATTCATGGTTTCCTGTGCTTTTTTCCGGCTGGGCGGAGTCCGGTTTAGTTTCTTTGGCCTGTCGTTTCCATGACGGCCTTGTTTATTTCCTTTGAATTCATGGAGGCATATCTGATTTGTCTACCTTCTCTTTATACTTAGGCTAATATGTTTCCCCTTTCTCGTTGAACCTGAATAGGTATAGAATATATCTATAGAGCCTCAACCTTAGCATTCTTCCTCTCTTGACCTCCCTGTTTTTAGGGCGAGACTATCACGGATTCAATTGGGTTATCCGGTCACAAGATCATTGGCTTCGCAGGTAGGCTGAGCCGAAAAAAAATAATACAGGATGTTTCCGCGCTATGATTTTATTTGTGGCGGGGAAAATAAGAACGAAAAAAGTATTGACCGACGCAGGGGTCGAACCTGCAATCTCTTGATTCGTAGTCAAGCGCCTTGCCATTGGGCCAGCCGGCCTAGTTGTTGAGGAAGCGGCCAGAAGTGGCAATATCAGCCTGAATCGCACGATAGAGGTGATGCATAGATTCTACACACCAGAAAATGGTGATTTGGTGGTAGAACTAATAATTATAAATATTTTATGGCTACATTGCTTGTCTAATATATAAAACGGATTCAATATCCATCAAATCGGTCGCTTTATTTTTAGTGTTCACCTCTATCAAAACAATATATATCCCTCAATCTAAACCCAAACATAACACCGCAGATTTACTCATCTGTCGCAGTAGCAGTCTTATCAACACCAATAGTAATATACCCAATCATACCCTTGGTAACATCTTTCCCATCAGCAGGAACAACAGAAACAATGGGGTTATATCCGTTCTCAGTGTCACCACTGAAAACACTATCCACAGCATTGGTCGTGCGGTTAATCTCAGTGTGCGAGGCATACGGCTCAAGAGCCATGATTTTCTGGGATAATGGCTCGTCGAAGTAGATCTGGCCAGTGCTGACCGTGTTGCCGTAGGCCATTGTGCCGTTTCCGCGGATTGTCCAGTCTGTGTGGACCTGGACGTGGATGTGGATTGAGCGTTCGACGTAGAATCCTGGAGTTTGTTAGTAATGACGTTTCTCCCAAAAATAGAAAGAGAGGGAGGGAGAAAGGAGGAAAGAGAAACTCACCAGGGAAAACAGTCTTCATTTCCATCAAGCCATGCTTATCAGTAGGCCACATTCCACGCAAGAAAGTAGTATCATCAGTGTGCAAATCCGCAGTGGCCATATCAGTGACATTAAGCTGCTTGAGCAGCTCTGCAAAAGGCGTGTTAGGCGACAAGCCCGTGAAACTAGAGTACGAGCCGGTTGAATTACAATGCCAGAAATCAACCAGCACACCTTCCAACGGTTCACAGGTCTCCATATCCAAAACACCGACGTCAAGCCAAAGCGGGATGCCGGGCTGGTCCTCGGTCATATCCTGGCGGAGAGTCTGCGATTGCGGCCAGATGTATGGACCCTCTGTGACCTCGGGAGTCAGGACGCAGGTGTCGTTTTGGATGGTGTTGTAGTAGGAGCCTTCGGTTTGGATGTTGTAAGTTGTGTTACTTGTCGATCCTGGGAAACGCTTGTGGAGGTTGCGCTTTATGCGTTTGGCGTTGTAGTTGCCGACGTGATCGGAGCAGCGGGCAGAGAGGTCGTGACGGCGGGATAGTTCGCGTTTGCTGGGCGAGTGGTGAGGGCCTGGGTGGGCTGTTGCCACTGAGGCAATGCCCGCTGCGGCGAGGAGTTTGGTGAAGTGCATCGCTGCGGACTGGTGACTGAAGACTGAGGGCTTTGACTTCAGGGACTACTCGGGGTTTACGGGGGCCTTATATGTGGTTGGGGGTTTGGGAGAGTGCATGTTACTGGATTGAGACATCTATTTTGTCGTACTCTTTTGCGTAAGCTGCGGGAGATGTTGGGACTTGGCAGGCTTTGGACTGTGTTTCCAGATCAATAGTTTCATCATTGAGGAGGACTTGTCCTGGAAGAATTATGGGGTTGTGGAGCTGCTGCAAGGTAGTTTGATGAATGCGGCGGTGATCAATAAACAACTGATTAGACAATATAGCCTGGAAGCGTAGCAGAGGCGTGCTTATTGGATCGTGTACGGTTCGGATGGAATCTAGCGCCGGATATAGGCCGACTTGGCAGGAGAATATTGTAGCCTATATTATGCAGAAGAAAGTGCTTCATGCGGACTCCGCGGCAATCCGAAGAATAACCGGTTGCAGGTAGGTTAGGCTGTGAGGAGAATACGTGTTTAGGGCTAATCGGAAGGAGGTTCGGGACTTTACAACCGCTGACTGATGGCGCCGATCACTTCAAGGATGGAGCTGGTGTGTTTCACTTCAAACATGATTGGCAGAAGACACCCCTGGGATTAGTTATTGCGTGGCTTGTCTCTTGGCAGGCCTGCAGATTGTCACAAATTTCAGTCTAAATGTACTTCGGTTATTGTGGCTTGCCGAAGTGACCCCGGATCCCCAACCGCTTCGGCTTGTGGGGGTATTCCAGGACTATTGCATCATTTCGGGATATTTTCAAGCAACAGTGGAAATGGTGTGCGAAAATAGCAAATCCGTTTATTGAGAGACTATATGTATACTAATGACTATAAAACATAGAAAATACATAGAAATCTACTCCGCAATGGCACGTATATCGCCCAACAACCACCCCTCACGAAGAGGTGTAAGCCTGAGACTTATTCAGAATAATCTCCGCCAAGGCCATCAAAGTCCCACTAGACAAGAGCTCCAGAACTTGTACATTAGCATTGGCCTCCCGAGCAATCCAGTTCCGAATCTCAATCGCCACCAGCGAATCAAGACCCAACGAAGCCACAGTGATCGAAGGATCCATATCCTCCAAGGAGATGACAAGTACCTGTGCCAACTTAGCGGCCAGCGCTTCATAGCACACAAGCAAAGCATTTTCCTTAGATGACGCAGCCTGCAAAGTAACCTGCAGCGGGACGGACGGCCCATCGCGCTGGGAGCTACTACCAAGCTGGCCCTTAGCAGCTTGGTAAAGCACGCTAAATTTGGCGTCTTGAATCCAGAAGTTATTGTCTAGAGAATCCAGCGCCAGTCCAGTGATGCACTGCCCGACACAGGACTGGTTTAGGTCGCCTGTTATGGCGGCAGCAACGAGTGCCAGGACCTCGGATTCATTGATGGCCTGGCTGCCGATGTTTTTCAGGACTTCCTGGCGCCTTTGGGCGTCACTGTCAGCTAAGTAACCGACGTCGCTGACTGCGGCTAGGTCGATTGATGTTCCTGGTAGGCCGAGGGATTGTCGGTATTCCGTGAATCCGTCTAGGAAGACGTTTGCTGCGGAGTATGCTGCTTGTCCGCGGTTACCGATTATGCCGGCCACGGATGAAAGAGCGATGAAGAAGTCCAGTGGGGATTCGATTAGAGTGTTGTGTAAATTCCAGGTTCCTTCTACCTTGCTAGATGCCACGGCTGTAAAGTCGTCCAGAGACATGTTCTCGAACAGCATATCCTAGGGTAGTGTTAGTAACTGGGTATTCGACTGAGCTCATGAATTGGAATATATCACTTACACGCAGTACCATTGCACCCTGGATCACACCTCGCACTGGGGGAAGACCTTTCATCTCCTCCTTGACGAGAGCCTCGACAGATTCTTGACTGCTGACATCGCACGCCTTGACAATGATTCGCACCCCCAAGGGCGCCAGGCTGTCAACCAGGGCCTGCACCTTTTCATTGCTAGTTCCGCGACGGGATACAAGGACAATGTTCCTTGCACCCTTGGTGGCCATCCACTTAGCCATGCTTCTACCTAGACCACCCGTACCACCAATCAAGATGTACGATGCATCCGGATGCAGAAGGGTGGAACTAGTCTTGGGTGCCACAGCCTAGACTTCGTCAGTTATACTTGATTTGAAACTGAAAGGTCTTCTGGCTTACCTTGACGAGATCGCCATCTTGAGGAACAACCACAATCTTGCCCATACTCTTACCAGTCTGCAGAGTACGGAACGCCTTTTCAATATCAGAGATCCGATAAATTGAAAGCGGCAAGATAGGATGAACAGATTTCTCGCGCACCAGCTGACAAACATCACCCATAAGGCGCTTCATCAGCTGTGGTTTGTATTTGGCAACCTTGGTGAGATCGACCGACGCGAACGTGACGTTATTTTCGAACGGCAACATATCCAGTCGAGTATTCTTCGTGATATCAGCCTTACCGATCTCGATAAACCGACCAAATGGCGCCAGGCATTCCCAAGTCTCGCGAAGAAGATCACCGGCAAGAGAATTAATGACAACATCCACACCGACCCCACCAGTCGCTCTCCGAACACCATGAGCAAAGGATGTGTCACGGCTGTAGAAGATGCGATCCTCGGGGATCCCGTATTGAGTCATCAAGAATTGCTTCTTGTCAAGGCTACCGACGGTAACGAAGATATCGGCACCGATCATTTGCGCAAGCATGACGGCTGCTTGCCCAACACCGCCGGCGCCGGCGTGGATCAGGACACGCTCGTCTGGATGCAGCTGACCCAGATCAAACAACGAGTAGTATGCAGTACAGAACACGACAGGGATTGTAGCTGCGACCTCGAAGGACATGGTGTCCGGAATTCCCGCAACACTGGTAGTAGGGCATCGCGCATAGGTCGAGAAACCACCTTCAGGCAACGCCATAACTCTCTGGCCAACCTTGAAGTCCTTCACGTTTGAACCAACGCTCGATATGACACCGCTGCATTCGATTCCGATGTAAGGCTGCGAAAGCTGGCCCATGGTGACAACAATATCTTTGAAGTTGAGACCAGTTGCTTTAACTTCGAGCTCAATTTGATCCTCACCCAATGGGGGTGGGTTGTCCTCCACGAAGTAGAGTGAGTCGAGTGCACCCAGGTTGCCGACTTGGATCTTGAATCGCTGTCCAGGCTGGATGAAGGGTTGAGTTGAGATTGCCATATCGTGAGTCTCATTGTGAACAAATGCATTGGCGTCATCGTCTTCAACAATACGTTGAACAAACAGCTCCGAGCCCTTGGCCTTGAACTCAAAGTCTGTGACAGGCTCAGTACCGTCCGTAGGCCACAGCGAATCAATGGCTGCTAGAATCGGGTTCTCGGGGCTCTCCAGATCTTCAGTCTCAATTCCAAGAGTAGCAATCTTGGCCAGAGTCTCCGAGCGCAAAGTCCGAGTCAAACCGACTGTCATTTGTGCGTCAGGAGAGTTTGTTCGGTAGACCCAAAGCACGGAACGAGCATTCAGCAGGGCCTTTTAAGACCTTCGAACACATCTTCGGTGAGGTGCCTGAGAGAGCTAGCTCCAGTCTGAAGTAGGACAACATGCTTCTCGGAGAAATCTGTTCCACCAAATGTTTTCACGGAAGCTTCCCAGCCAGGGGTCTCAGACAGCAGATTGCTCAGTTTATCGGCAGTTCCATCAGACTTGCCGAAATGACTGACAAACACCTCATGTCGCTTGACAACATTGCCATTGGAATGAGCCGGCTCTCTTGGCTCTGTGTGTCCATTCGTGACCTTTGCTCTATTGACATGACCATCGCCGTTCGGTACTGCCTCACCATCGGATTCTTCGGTCTCATTCTTGGCATTTTCGATCTCGGCCAACGAGTGCCAATCAATCTTGTAGCACAATTTGCGAACCTCTTCACGATGATTATTGGAATTTCTGAGTGGAGTCATGATAAGACCCTCCATCGCAATCAATGCCTCTGTCGAGCCTTCAGGGGTAGCAAACAAATCAAAATGAGTCGGCTCAGGCTTTGGCAGACTGGGACTACCATTGCAGTAGGCTTTGACATATTCACCAGCAGTGGTTGGGAGATTGCGACTGATGCTCAGCTGTTTAATCATCGTTGGCATGTAAAGCGTGTCCAGGTCCATTCGACCCTGACCCTGTCCAAGGATCGGCCAAACAAGATGGAGCAGCCCATCCAGGAACGACGGGTGAACAGTCAGAGGAGACTCGTAGTTTTTTGGCATAACACTTCGCGTGTCCGGGACAAGCAAATCTGCCAACGAACAACAAGAGCTGGCATAACAGTTCTCAAGATCTTGGAACGTAGGACCATATCCAGCCCCCAGGTCACTGAGAACCTGGTACATGTGAGGCATATCAATGTGGTTCACAGCCGATGCGTTCACCTTGGCAACTCGGTTCTCCACGTAATGACTCTGGGCATGAGCACAGTTGCCAATAGCTGCGGCCTGTTGCTTCTGGGCGGTACGGGTTCTGATGAGACCGGTGCAATGCTCGGTCCACGCTCTCTTTGAGTTCCAAGAACACACGCGAAATTCACTCCAGATATCGGATGCACCACGGGTACCTTCGGTGTATGGTCGAAGGGTGATAGTGAGCTCTGTGTCTGTATCATCGCCGAGGCAAAGTGCAGCGCCAACGACCACCTCTCGAAGCTCAAAGTGGGTGAATGAGATATCATGTTGCTCTGCACCGCGCCGGGCAGCTTCAATGGCCATAACCAGCTATTTTCTTGTTAGTATGCATGGAAGTGATATTTGGATATAGGAAAACTTGCATAGCCAGCTAGCGGGAAGACGGGAATACCCTGCATTCGGTGATCCCGGAGCCAGGGAATATCGTCCAAGCGGAGAATGTTGCGCCATGTCGGTTCTAGATCATTTGAATAGTTTGCCAACAAGCCCAGAATATCATTTCTGGCACGGTCTCTTGTGATGTGCTTCCGGGGAATGCGTGCATCATGCCAGTACCGGGTACCATGCTGCCAGGGGTAGCGAGGCAAGTTGGTCAGGAGCCAGCGATTCTTAGCACCGGTCTTGGGAAAGTTGAGCTCAGTCATATTAAGATTAACACCTCTCACGTAGGCAGCAGCAGCTGTATCGAGAACCGACTCAGCTGCGTCCGCATTACGGAGAATTGTGGGAGTGTATCCAATCTTCGACGCAATTGGACCTAAGCTCTTCAAGGTATCCATAATAGGACCCTTTAGAGCCGAATGTGGGCCAATCTCAACTAAGAGATTTGGTCGTGTCTCATCATCCGACATGATCTTAGCAAGAGCATCGGGGAATAACACTGGCGACGTCAGGTTTGCAACCCAGTATGCTGGACCGAGCTCAGAGGGCTCTGTGAGACGACCAAAGACTGAAGAGTAGAATGCAGCCGTAGCAGATGTAGAAGGCTGGATATTCTCGATAGCAGTGAGATATACATCGGCAACATTCTTCATATGATCAGAATGATAGGCGACGTCAATCTTCAGTCGTCGATTAAAGATCTGCTTGTCTTGCAGAACCTGTTCGAGGTCATCGATTGCTGGCACATCTCCTGAGACGGTAACACTCGAAGGACTGTTCACGCAAGCGACGGTGGCATATCCGGAAAGTGTCTTCAACATTGGCTGGACATCATCGCGACTAGCACCGATAGCAATCATGGCACCCTTCAAGGCCGGGAATTTGGCCTTGAGCAGGGACGTCATTTGTCCTCGGTGATATGCGAGCGCCACGGCTGCTTCCAAATCATAAATTCCAGCGGCATAGGCTGCGCTGATCTCTCCAGAACTGTGACCAACCACTGAAGAAGGCCGGATACCCCAAGACCGCAGGAGACAGACGAGTGCAATTTGAAGTACCGTGCAAGCCGGCTGGCTTAGATGTGGAGAATTGATTTGGGAAGTGGCAGTGTCTTTCTCGAGCTCTTTGAGGAGAGAGAATTCCGCTCCAAGGTCACGTAAACATTTATCGGCTCGTGTGATGGCAGATGCAAAGACAGGGTATTCATGCATGAGAGGGATACCCATCTGTGCCCATTGAGCGCCCTGGCCAGTGAAGACAAATGACAGAATTGGAGTACCAAGGACCAAGAATGGGTTGATCTTCAGCTGAGCAAGGCGCATCCCAAGCTCATCCAGGGAGGTCGCCGAGACTCCCACACGATAGGAGAGCTGGGACATCTTGTTTCCAAGAGTGTAAGCGAAATTGCCGAAGAGGGCTTTCTCAAAGACTTCAGGATGCTGCTCGAAATAAACACCGAAGTCTTTGATCCTATGGCGTAGAGATTCTTTGTCATTGGCAGAAATCAGGAACAGCTTGCGCTTGGGGTCCACCTCGACATCTTCGGCTGCCTCAGTTGGAGCTTTAGATTCCAAAGGCGCTTTCTCAAGAACGACGTGAGCGTTCGTTCCTCCAAAGCCATAGTTGGAAACGCTCAAGTATTTCTTGCCAGAAGGCCAGGGCCGGGTGGTGGTTAAAACCTTCATATTCCACTCATCCATGGGAATATTAGGGTTTGGCTTGCGGAACTCGGCATTTGGAAGCATGAGACCTCTATCAAGCATCATAGCCCCCTTGATAATTGCAGCGATACCACTTGCGCCCTCCAAGTGGCCGATATTGGATTTGACAGATCCAATGTAGAGCGGATTTCTCGGAGTTCGTCCCTTTCCAAGGGCTGCATGAATCGCTGCTGCTTCGATGGGATCGCCAGCCTTTGTTCCAGTACCGTGCATTTCAGCAAAGCCGCATTCCTCCGGGTCTAAATTGGCATCTTGGTAGACACGTCGAATGAGATCCTCCTGAGCTTCGCCGTTAGGCAGTGTGATTCCCTTTGTTCGCCCGTCTTGGTTGACTCCGGAGTTGGCAATGACTGCTCGAATGGGGTCGCGGTCACGCATTGCGGCATCAAGAGGCTTTAAGATAACGACACCGGCACCTTCGCCACGTGCAAATCCGGACGTGGCCCTCTCGTCGAAAGAGTAAGTTTTACCCTCGTCATTAAATAGTCTTGGCAGTACCAAAGGTTAGAGATGTCCTGAGAATAAGAGGGGGGGGGGTATAAGTCTACTCACTGTGACATAGACATAGAAACAAAAAGATCTGGGACAACATTGAGGCGACATCCAGCAACTAGAGCTTCCTTTGACTCTCCACTTCGTAAGCTCTGTACTGCATAATGAAGCGCTACAAGAGATGAAGAGCAAGCGGTGTCCACTGTGATACTGGGCCCCTGTAGATCAAAGAAGTATGAGATGCGGTTGGATTGTAGGGAGGGCGCACAACCGGTGGCTTGATGCATGGGGATGGTCTCAATATCGCGCATATTGTTGAGCTCGTAATCGGCGAAATTTCCACCGGAGAAGACGCCCACGTTCCGGCGCGCAAGATTTTCTTTTGGAATGCCAGCACTCTCCAAAGCTTCATACGAGCACTCCAACAGCAGACGCTGCTGGGGATCCATGGATGTCGCCTCTTGGACGGTAAGGTTGAAGAAGGGAGCATCAAAGCGGGCAATGTCCTCATCTAAGAAGTAGCCTCCCACCGGGTTGAATGCGCCAACCTTCGAAGGGTTGGGATGATGGAATGCCTCAAGCGAAAATCGATTTTCGGGGATGGGGGACCAGCCACTGCGAGCTCGGGTACATAGCTCCCACAGCTCACTGGGAGATGTGACCTGCCCCGGCAGCCGGCAGGCATACCCAATGATGGCAATGGGCTGAGGTGCGCTCTTTTCGCCATCAGGGACACACGCAAAACCGGTATCGCCGTTCATGTTGGCCATATTAAGGAAATGTAAGAATGGAAACGAGTCTGGAGGATTACGGGAAGTCGCCTAGACATCGGGGAAACCGGCTGGCCATGCCGGCTTATATAGCGCATAAATGCCTCGGCCTCATCGTCTTGTGGATTCCTGGGGGCGTACAACTCCTTTGAAGCTCTCTATTTCAGGACTTCGAGCTGGCGAGAACGAGAAAGGATCGCCATTCCTACACGTCTAGACTGATAAGGATGCGCCGCAAACATTGGGTCGGTGGTTATTCGTAACTTCGACGGTCGTTTATAGTGTCCTACTCCAAAATTGAGACCGTTTTCACATGCACACGTGGAGATAAAAGGGACTTGAACTGGTTGCAGGAGAAGATGGTGACGCAGGACGAAGTTCGGTGGGAATCCCGTGGTTTCATGGCTTTACAGCATCTGTACGGCTCGACGGTAATTTATTTTCTACTGCATCCTTGGTGATTCCTATATTGCTCAGCTTCTCCCTTCTTTTCTACTCATCACATAACTCTCGTCGGATCATTTCTACATAATGAAGTTTCTCTGTTTCCATGGTGCCATTGGCAATGTTGATGTAGGTTGGCCATTGAACCGTGAACTATCTTGTACTGACTCTCGCAGAACATCAGCATCCAGCTAGGTAACTTCCCGTGAGATTGACGATGATATTAGTGCTCATGCTCAGTTAGCTCCCCTTGAGAAGGAGATGTCCATGGATAGTTCCGCTGAATTCCACTATATCATGGGCCCCGTTCCTGTGATCCCCCCGGCAGGTACGTTTTGACAGAGCTCTGATAGAGACCATAGTCTCATTGCCTGCTAGGTTTTGCGGAGTATTTTGGTGTTGGTCCGCATTTCAGATGGCTCGAAGACAATGGAGTCGCGGAGGAATCCATGATTTCCCGCGTTCGAAAAGCTCCGCATGGCCAGAGCCCAGAAGATGCTATGAGAACTCTGGGTGAGGGCTGGGATGGCCGCTGGAATAACCACCAACAGGTCATGGATTATCTCTATGATACTTTGGAGAAGAACCCTGACATTGCAGGTGTCATTGGTTATAGTGAGGGTGCCACCATGGCTGCCAGTCTCATCATGGATGAGGCAAAAAAGGCCCAGGAGACTGGACGTGTCCGTCAAATAAAGTGTGGAGTCTTCATAACTGGATGGCCTCCCTCTCTCCCGAAGAAGAAGTGGTCCTGGCGGACGAGAGCGACCTTATTCTGGACGTGCCCACACTTCATGTTGTTGGTGCAGATGGTAGCTTATCCCTACTCCTTCATTCGAACAATCTGCTGAAATCCAAACAGACCCCTACCGATACGGCGCGCTAGCCCTGTTCAATGTGTGTGACCCGGATAGCGCGGCCCTGTTTGATACTGGAGGCGGCCACACCATTCCTCGGTCCGGCAAGGTGATCAAAGAATTGGGAAATGCACTCCGGGATTTGATAGACAAGGCGTATGAAGCGTAATAGAGAATGAGAAAATCTTGGGAAGCACCAAGCCCTCTGTGTGCGATAGAACGGACCGTTGTAGAATACACAAAAATCGGAACCGGATGGTTCTCGATTCTTCAACGGCGATATGGAAGATAGTTGGATTTCGACGCATAAACAATCCAATTGTTATCATACCAATCTCCGAGACTCGCCCTATTTTGCGATGGTGTGTTACCCACCAGTCTCTATTTCGGGCCCAAGCGGGAAATTCTCGATAGGTTCATATCGTGATGAGAAGCCTGGCTATCGTGAATCCTACCAATGCACCGGTAGGCCCCATGAGTGTACTACCATTCCAGAAACTTTCGGCGCATAGAGCTCAACCGTTGTACGTCAAGCCAGATTTCCAATATTCAGTCGAGCTGATTGGCGGTTGAGTTGATCTACAAGACCGCTGATCATCATTTAGGTCTATCAACCCTATGTGACTTGTCCCGAAATACCGAAATTAGAGCTATCAGTATCCGCCATAACAAACCTCTTAATAAGATTCACTGGGATTGTAGGCGCCAATGGTATTCAAGACTGCAAGAGACCCTGGCCTGGCCAGCTGTCTCCTGAGATGATGGTGTTACATCGGGGGATTAGTAGAAAACAGCAGCTAAGAGACCTGGTGAGAAAGTAGGCAAAATTTCTCCCAGACTTCAACAGGACTCAAAAATTTTCAACTGTCTGCAGTTCCGCGGAAGCAATAAGAGCCGGCAAACGAAGGACCACGAATGGTGCGGCATTTGTTTGGGCAAATTACCTCAACTCTCAATTGCGCCGTTCGACCCAAAATGTATGGCGTGATCGCCAAAATAATCTGGGCATTTGTCAGTCTACTGTTGAGACAGTCTCATGCGCAAGTGCCGGATGGATGTGCGAGGGTTCACGCCATAATAGCCCGGGGCCAAGGTGGCGGCGACGATCTGAATGTGATGAACACACTGTCGGACCTGATCCTCCAGCAGATCCCGGGCTCGACTACCGTTGGCTTACCCTACGACCATGAAAATGTTCTAAGCAATGAGGCTAAGCGGCTCACAGTTCATGACGGTGCAGTTCTAATGCAGGAGTTTATTGAGGAGTATAGCGAAAGCTGCCCTGAGACCAAGCTTGTAGTAGTTGGCTATTCAATGGTGTGTTCATCGTTTCAGCTGAGAACTACTGAAGTTTTGAATGTCCTTCAATCACAGTGGATGCTAAAGTTAACTAGGGCGCGATTGTCATTATGGATGCCATTTGCGGAACTAGTCAGGTTGGGTTTTTCTTCGTCGCTCCTCTTGCACGAAGCTACAATGAGTCGAGTAAGGAACAGCGACGGTTTCAAAACCGCAAAAGCTCACGAGTCATTTAGTCATAGCTGCCATCGCGTATGGTGATGAAACATACATCCCCGGAATGCCCTGGAATGTGGGTAACTGCACGCTCGGCATAGGGGTGAGCACTCCCATTACTCTGATTCCTGAACTTGACGATAAAGCAGGATCTAATTAGATTACAAAGCTCACCCCTCGCTTGAATGCCGCATTGTGTGATCCATTCGGTAACTCGCTACAGAGTTACTGCGATTACGGCGATGAACAATGCTGTTCGCCGTACCCAGCAGACGGAAACGCCGCCCACCATACCTATGTCACCAAATATAACCAAAATGTGGTGGACTTCATTGAATACCGGCTGGCAACTGTGCAACAATGATAATCCCGTTAATAATGGAAACGGCAATCAAGGGCCGAGGAAGCAAGAGGCAAATCCTATGCTCTGTTACAAGCGTTGACAATAATGTACTACAGGTCAGATGTACTCTAGAAGTATAATAGAGATGAAGATCAGTACCTTGTAGCATCTAGAGAATTTTGATCACCTAAATCCGAAGCTCGAAACTTGATATAATCTATTTTTGCCTCCCACCTACAAAGCCCAACAAGCCTGGCGTTGTGTTTCGGCATTGAAGTTTAAGTGGAAAACTGGCATCGGCAGGTAGACCCTGAAAGTCGGATTTCTTCCTCATAAATTGGTCGTCTGGAAAAGAGGCCCCTTTTTCTCCGCAATATCAAGAGACTTTTCTCCGAAATTCCTGAGGGCAGATGAAATGACTTACTTAACTCTTGTAATTAACAGTGCACGTTGCTTATATCGGTGACTATTCTCATGAACAGGCGTATCCCTGATATCAGATGCCCAAAGTAGTTAGTAAAGATGCCTCGGTATGTACACTTAAGGGTGTTGCGCAGCAGCTCGTCCGAGCCTAGCATCATTGCAACACTGATTGCACACGGCAATGGAATCTGTCGAAGTAAGAAAATTCCGAGATTTAAAAAACATGACCATCGGAGTATTGAAATTTATGGGAGGGCAAGTTTGGGGCGATATTGTAGTGAGCCGTTGCTCGGTATCGCTTATAATTAACACCAAATATGAGAAACGGCTATAACATCAAATGGCTGCCTTTGTAAACTTCAATGGGCGAATACTCGGGTCTGAACCTTATAGTCTCAACCCCTGCATTCTCATCGATCGGTCCAACTTTATCTACCCTGTTCCTGCATACGAAAAATTAGGAAGCGTATTGCATTACCTGAAAATGAACCACGGAATGCGTGAATACACATATTTGAGCTTAAATGGAATAGATGGACCGGTTGGGGTTGACTCAATTTTGAGACACCGCTCTGTCTTAATAATTAGGGGAAAACCCTGAAATTAACTTACAGAGTATGATGAATACATAATACATAAAACAGGTGCTGGGTATCCTACCACACTTAGACCAAGACTATTCGTGAGTAAATTGACACTTACTCTCTTAGTAGTTCAAGTGAAATTATTGCTATATATCTGAAAATTGATAGTTATTGAGAACTTCGTAACAAGCTTTCGAGGACCCACATGTGGCACTAGTTTCACGGCTTCGGCATACAAAGCTTTTCCTCTGTATACATGCTGATTCCTCCATTGCTGCAGAGGTTTCAAAGCGGTAGATAGGTTTTATAAAGTAGTTCGGTGAAGCCGTGGTTATGTAAAGGCGGTAGGTGAAGATATAGGGGTTTGACCTGATGGCGGTAATAGATTGCCGTTGCAGCCAACGCCTCTCTCTTAACAAGCAATTCCAAACTTCACACTTCACAGAATTTACCGGCAGCTCACTTTTGAGGAAATACAGATATTGAATGCAAATTCCTATGGAGATCTACGTTTAAATGAGACTTGTGTTACACTAGCATCTTGTGATCGGTGCTAAATCATTCCCAACAGATTGCTTATTATGTTTGGAACGATAACACCGGTTTCTTGTACTTGAAAAGCGATGCAACACACTACAACATACCCGGAAGAGAAAATCGACAAAACCTAGCCGCCCTGCGCCTCGTTAGCAAGGCCTTTTGCGACAGCAGCTCAATCTGGCTGCTCCGGCATATTGACGCGAGATCAGATTCATCTCCGAAGAATCCACCTCTAGAGCGGCTCATGACGATTTCATATGCTGGATATTGTGTCATATTCATCTCCGGTTTAACAACGGCTCGTCGTCCTTCACCAATTCGAATACACGTTATCAGTACCTATGCCTCCCAGCTGTTTAGAATGGTTGAGATTGTGCCAAATCTTGAGTGATTCGCAATCCATAGTCTGACCATTCTAGACATTGACCCCGTCGCCTTTCCATCCTCTATTCATCTGCGATGTCCCTGTCTTGGGGGAATTTCAGTTTTATCTCACGCCTTTCTGCCCCTTCTCAAACAATCTGCGGAGACGATAAGACAGACTAATTTCTGGCTGGTCAAATTAAAATCCGGGACATGGCAAAATCTGCTGCTGCAAATGTGCGTGCTCGAACGGCTTCTCGATCGTTGACAGGATCAAGTTCCCATCTCGCTGTTACGTTGCTTCCAGACCCAGAGCGCCCAGAAGACGTCGAGGCCGATAGTTTCATTGACGTGTCTGCCCTAGGAAATTTGCATTGAAAAGTTAATGCGAACCGAATTACTGCCGGGTTCATATGTGCCTTTTCCAGAATCCGATTATCGATTTACCAATCGCAACTCTCTGGAGTTAATGGCACAATCGTTGCCAGAATTGTTGAATCTCTCTGACTAAATGAGCATATATCTTAAACAACAACTATTGAACCTGACATGGATTGTCTTCGGTTGACTTCAAGTGGCTTCAGTTGGCTTTTGCTTCACTAGGGAAGTAATATTTGACTAGACCTTCTATCACTTCTAAAACCTGTTCAGCAGTCTCACTCCATGGCCGATACTAAACAGCCTATAAACACATAAATTATAATAGCGTTGTAGCTGGAGTCAAGGACAAGTTCCTTATGCGAGGCTCAACAGATATGCTTCTCCTCGGATGTGTATACCTAGGTACTGATAGTGTAGATCCCTATGCTCACGCAGCATTTACCAGAGACAACGTTAGAGAAAGAATGTGACAATAAAACAGGACCTCAAACCATCTAGTAACAATAAATATAAATACCTAATAAAGTCCAATCCAAATGCTCCTGACCGAAGCCGTACAGCCGCATCGAGAGATATCAGCTAATCCCGTTTCGGCGAACCAACTCCTTTTTCCACCTCTACAAAACCATCACCCTCAAGCGCAGCCTCTATGTTCTCCCGTCAACTCACCGGAGTAATCTCCAAGCCCATTGTCACAGGCGTGCGAACAACCATACCCCACCGCCTCTACTCAAGCCCCCCGAGATCATCGCCACGACCACCACCCGCGCCCCAATCCCGCTCCAATTTCCCAGTCATCCCCATCATCGCCCTCCTCGCAATCAGCTCAGGCGCCTACGTCCTCCTAGTCAAATCCCGCACCGGCCAAGCCCCAACCCGCAAGGAATTCTAAGTGGTAAGCCGCATCCCAAGCCCAACCGGGGGACCTCAAAAAAGGCTCACCAAACTCCGACCCGTGTCAAGATCCTGCCCCTCCACACCGACAACCCCCCCACAAACAACACCTCGACCTCGAAACCAACTCCACCCCCTAATACCATACACCTCCCATAACAACAATCGCAACCCAAACCACCCAAAATGACCATCGCAACCCCCCGATTCTCCCCAAACGACGTAACAGTCGTCTTCTTCCTCGGCGGACCAGGAAGCGGCAAAGGAACCCAATCGGCGAACCTAGTCCGATCCTACGGTTTCGTCCACCTCTCCGCCGGCGATCTCCTCCGCGAAGAACAAGACCGCAGCGGAAGCCAATACGGCGAGATGATCAAAGAATACATCCGCGAAGGCAAGATCGTCCCAATGGAAGTCACAGTGGCCCTGCTGTCAAACGCAATGGCCTCGTCACTGTCCACGAACCCCCCACCAGCCGGCACGAAGGCGCGCTTCCTGATCGACGGGTTCCCGCGCAAACTCGACCAGGCGGTTTTCTTTGAGGAGACTGTTTGCCCTTCTGAGCTTGTTCTGTTCCTCGATTGTCCTGAGTCTGTTATGGAGACGCGATTGCTGAAGCGGGGTGAGACGAGTGGGCGCGCGGATGATAATGCTGAGTCTATTCGCAAGCGGTTCCGGACTTTTGTTGAGACTTCTATGCCTGTTGTTGAGGATTTCCGCCGGAAGGATAAGGTTGTTACTGTTACTGCTGATAAGTCTGTTGAGGAGGTTTATGCGGAGGTTAGAAAGGGTATTGAGGCTCGTGGTATCTCTCCCCGTTAAGGGGTTGGTGTTTTGTACATATCTTGTGTCTTGTTTGGATGAGGTGTCTGTGTTGGTTTGCTGAGTGGTGCGATTTTGGATTTGTGTTGGAAATAGATTATAGATGAATTGAAGCATTTTTGGACTTAACTGCGGACAATCCTTGATAGCATTGATATATATCAATGTGTTGATAGTCGGAAAACATACACCAGGACAGTCTAAAGAAGTATGATATTCTTTATACCAAAGTAAAAAAAAATAGAACAAAAGAAAAGTCATCCCTCCGGAAAACATAAACAAGACTTAAGACTGACATGACATGGCTCGTGGGGTCCCAAACATAGGGAGGCCAGTAAATCCAACCCTAAAACTGGCCAAAAAGGAAATGCATGAGGAAAAAGGCCGCGAAATTTCCCCTCTATTAACTGAGAATTTTTGTGTTCGGTGAGCTTTTTCCATTCGTAAAAAAACATCCGTTGCATCCAGAAACCAGGGAATCAAATTTACTCGGCAGAAACCTCAACCTCGCGAGTAGGCTGGTTCCGTCTCCGGTCACCGTTGCGGTTCTTGTCACCCTTGGCGGCTTCTTGGTCGGCGGCGGACTGGATGCCCTCACGGACGAAACGCTCACGCTCGGAGCGGATCACGGTGAGAACGTTCTCGAGGGAACGGCGCCACACCATCAGGCGGCCCTGGACCTCGGACCATTGCTTCTCACCAAAGACACGGTAGGTGGCGCGGTGGACAAGGAACTCGGACTTCAGCTGGGAGAGCTTGCCCTCAACAAGACCGGCACGGATGGTGTCAATAACCCACATCTCGACATCGGAGGCGGGAACACGCAGAGCGGAGGCGATGGAGGCGTAGGGGAGCGAGCGCGAGGGGGTGGAAGCGGCCAGCGAGGTGAGGGTGAGGAGACGCATCTTGGTCTGCAGAGCATCGGCGGACTCAGCGAGGACGCCGCCGGAGATGGAGGAGAGCGGGGTGGCGGAGACGAAGGTCTCGTAGGCGTCGAGGGTGTCCGCGGTGAAGATCTCGAGCAGCTCGAAGAGGGTGCTGTCGCTGGAACGCAGGGCCTGGACGGCATCGGTGGCAGTGAGGGGAGCGAAGTCGAAGACAGTGGGGCGACGCAGAGCGGTAGCGAGAGCACGCACAGCGAGCTCGCGGGACTCGGGCTTGCTGACATCGGCAGCGTCGATGGTCTGCAGGGCTTGGATAACGTGCGACTGAGCGAGCTCCTCATCACCAGCGGCGGTCGAGGCCTCGGCGATAGCGATGTGCAGCTTGCGGGTGTCGTCGGAGTCCAACTCCCAAGAGGCGAGCCATGTGGGGAGCTGCGAAGAGAGCTGGGGCTTGAGGGCCTCAAAGGCGAGCCCAGATCCGGACTGCCGAATCACGGCAACAATGGCCAGGAGAACGTGATACTGGCTCGAGTCGGTGGCGGACAGGGTGTTGAAGATGGTGGAGAGGATGGAGATGGCGAGCGAGGCACCGAACTGAGGCGAGGTGGTGATGGGCTTGGCAAGGTAGGTGCAAATGCGAGGGAGGAAAACATCGGCATCGGAGGACTGGTGAACAAGGTGAACCAGGAGGTTATAAGACGAGGTGATCTCTGCATTGATGTCAGTTTTTTCCCTTCCATGAACCAGAACAAAGTGCAGAGTCCGATTGCAGATCGTTTTTCTTTGTCCGGACTTCATCACGACTCACCCTTTTCGGGGGCAGCGCTCAAAGCGGTCGCAGATGCGACGAGCTTCTTGAGGACTTCATCGCGCTGCTTGAGGTCGGCTTCGCCTTCAGACTGTTCCTGCTGGCGGAGAGGTTCGAGGAGCGGGGCGATCTCGGACTGGAGGCTACCCTCTTTGCGGAGGGCGTCGATGTACTGGGCGAACTCGTCGGCGAGCTCGGTGAAGGAACCCTCGATGAGGAGGGTGGTAGTAGGGGCGGGCATGATGGGATGTGTGGTGTAAGGAGAGAAAGAGAGAACGTGAAGTTCTTGGTGGTGGAGTCTATCGATAAGTTGAGAAATTTCAGTGTGTGCCAAAAAAGTCTTGGCGAAACACGAACACCAACTTGATTCTTACTCCTACATTACAATTATTTGTTCGGATCTTTCTTCCTCTTAACGGGTCTCCATAATTGGGTTTATTACTGTTTTAATAGAATACTTGCGCGAAATCATCGCACACAAACTCCGTCTCGAGATATCAAAGGAAGGACAGGCGCCACGTTCATAGACGGAAAACATCATGAGTCAAGAGCATTTGGAACAGGGGAATCGAGCGTCTTAAAAGACAAATGGCATCGCGATGAGATAAAAGCATAAAAACAAACAGGACGATATGCGACCACAGGATCAACAGTCAGGCAATTTCCAGCCTCTACAGGACCATGCGAGCGGCCACGAACATGAGGCCAGCCATGAGACCAGTGGACATCTTGGTCATGTCACCAGCGACAGCAGCGTTGCTGGTGGTGGTGCTCGCCGCAGCGACGGAAGAGGTCGTGGAGGCGGACGAGTCAGTGGCGGTGGCAGTAGCCAGGGTTGTGGACGCAGCGGTGGTGGAGGAAGAAGAAGTGGTGGACTCCTCACTGGCGTTCTTGCTACCACAGTTGGAGGCGGCCTTCTTGCAGGCACGCTGGGCTTCCGCATCGTTGGCGTGCGCGGTGATGCACTGGCCGTAGTTGTTCTCGCAGACGTAGAAGGGGATGGTCTGCATGTAGGGAGAAACATCGGGCGACGAATCGTCGCTGCAGACACAGCTGAACTTCAGGGTGGCCTGTAGGGGGTCAGTCTGCTGTACATGTTACACCCGGGCAGTTTCACATACAGGATCACATGAGTTGAGCTTGGTGCCCTGCTGGCAAATGTCAGGACAGGCATTGCGCTGTCCAGTACACCAGGCGCCTATCTCGAGTTAGCAATGTTTAACAGGCTGATTGTCGCGTTCACTCACTCCGGGTGCTGGAGTCCACCAGGCCAATGTTCCAGCCCTCAGGGAAGGTGTAAGAGTCAGTGGAGTTGGCAGCCAAGACCGAGGTGGCCAGAGCAGAGAGGAAGGCAACAGAGGAACGCATGATGAGTATGGATTACGGATTAATGGTAGTATGGAGTATGGAGGGTGGAAGAGGGGGAGAGAGAGAAGAAAGAGAACTAAAATAGCAGGAAGGTACCCAAGGTTTATTATCGCATGCCTTGCCAGGGTAACACCGAATGCGTTCTACACTAGTTTAACTAGCACGGGGCCATAACTTGGTATAACCTGGTTATGAATGAAACAAAGGGTTGAAGATACCAGTCCAAGATGAATCAGGGTCCTTGGCTGCGTCCAACTAACCCTGAACTGGTTAATCAGACCCCTACCGACCCCATCCGAGCGAATCACATAGTTGCAATGGAGACCTGCAGACTCTGTGATACAGGTCGCTTACAATAATTGGGTTCACTCTTGTTTATCTCCAGGGCGCCCTCGCATTCCAGCGCCGAATTCCGGATCCGACGCCCCTTGCGCCATTGACATACTCGGGCAAGACAGCAAAAGACAATCCGTGGGGAAAATCAGGGTTAACTGTGTGATTGGACCGGCAATTGAAGGATGTGTTGGGATCAGCGAGATGAAGCTTCGTCCACCTCCACCGAACAGGTACAATGCAACACGTGACTGTCTATCTTGCCCTTCTCGGTGATACACCGGGCCGAGGTTCATCTATACCTTGGAAGATGTCGATAAAGATAACTGACTCTTTTCCTCTTCTCTTCCGATACACAACTCAAAACTCAAACACTTGAGAGAAAGAACCATGGCCGACCCAGGCCCAGCCATCGCCCATCTCCGCTCTCACCCATGGGCCAACTCCCTAATCTCCTCCACCGACTACACCCCAATAGAAACCGACTCCCGTCGCCTAAAGCCGACAACCGGTGAAGATGGCTACTTCGCCCAAACCCTCAGCACAAAATCCACAATCCCACACTGTCTAACTCTCCAGCGCCGCAACATTGAACCCGCCCCAACAGAATCCCCCGCCTGGCTCCCCGCAACAAAAGCAGAAGCCGCCGCCGCCGCAAAGCCCACTCCCGGCGCAAACCCTGCCGATGTCATCATGATCTTTGACCTCAGTAGCCCAGGGCTATCGGGTCATCCTTCAACCGTGCATGGCGGGATTGTCGCGACGCTGATAGACGAGGCCATGTCCCTTGCTGTTGCGGCCCATGCTAATGCGAGTGAGCGGGATTCCGAGGGTAATCCGCGGGGGCGGATCTTTACTGCACAGTTGGATGTGCGGTATAAGAAGCGGGTGGTTACGCCTGCTTTACTGGTTGTTAAGGCGAGGGTTGTTGGGCGGGTTGGAAAGAAGTTCTGGGTGCGGGCGCAGGCGTTGCAGGAGGATGAGGAGGGTGCGGGTGGTCATTTGGAGTGGGCGAAGCGAAAACTCGTCAAGGCTGATGCCATGGCCTTTTGGATTGTGGCGTCTGATTTGAAGTTGTGAGGGAATGGGGATTGGGACTCGGGATCTCGCCGATGCATATACATACTTGAGCGACGATACTGCAGCCAACCGTAACATAAAACATACAATATATGCTAGAGCACATACAAGCTTTCTTTAAAAATGACATATCTACTACATTGTATTCACAAGATCTATGTGCATCCATCCCAATCCAACATAGAACATATCTACAACTTCTGGACCTTCCTCGTCCCAACATTCCGACTAGCACTAACAACCAACCCAACCTGCGTACTCAACGCAACAACCTCCCCATCAGCATCAAGAACAGTAACCTCCAAGTCCGTCCTACCATCCCTAACAACCTTGGTAACAACCCGACTATAAAGCCACTCCACACCCCCAGCAGGAAGATGTTTCTTCATATCCACATTCAGCGTAACAGTGGGATACCAAAACTTAGCCTTCATCTCCTCAACCTGACCCCCCTTCTCCCTTGCAACAGCCTCAGCAGACATATGATCAAACCCATCAAGCGCCATAGGAAACATATCAACAAGATACACTACAGCAGCATCAGTCCAGCGCCCATTCACATCACCCCCAGGTCGGAACCTAGCCCACTGATCAATGCCCATGCCCGCCCTCTTCTCAACAGGCCCGAACAATTCAATCTGCGCAGCCGCTTTACGGAATTCCGCGAAAGGCGGGTTGAGCTTCGTCCAGCTTCCATCCCGCCCGGTACGTCCCAACACAGAAAGATCAACGGACCCGTCAGCGCGCGATCCAGCCGGCGGCAAGGGGTACGGCTTCCAGCCTGTCGCAGCGCTAATTCCGACTTCGGCGTCTGGCGGGCTGACGGTTATATAGCCTGCCACCATGATTTCCATTTTCCCGGGCTTCTTGTCGGATTCTTGGAGTAGTTTGATGTGGATTGTACTTGTGCGCGCGCCTAGCTTTACATCTTCCACTTCGAAGGTTGCGGGTCCTGCTGCTGTGCGGCGGAGGAAGGAGAGTTGGAGGGAGATAGGCGAAGCGGGTGTTTTGTATTGGGTTGGGTGAGCGTGGGTGAAGTGGGTTTTTGCTAGGGTGTAGATTACTGCTGTGGTGTAGCCGCCGTGGGGGACTGTGACTTTTTGTTACTTTTTATTTTCTGAGGTGTGGGAGTGGGGTTGGGAGGTTGGTTTACCGGTTCCTATGCACCATTCTGGGCGGAGGTTGGCGCTGTATTTATTTGACCCTTGTGGGGTTACCTGGATGGCTTCTTCGAATGATCGGTTGAGGGTAGACATGGTGAGGGTCTAATGTCTAGTATAAAGGGTGTATGTGAAGAAAGAAGAATAAAGCAGTGAAGTAAGCTATAAAGTTCCCCATAGATATCGAACCTCGGCTCGGTTTTCCCCAGACCGAGGATCAGTCATCATTATATCGGCCCCGCGTTAACCTGAAAACACGCAACTTAGGGCTTCCAATTTTTATATTAATACATATGACATAACAGTGATCAATGCGCAAATCTAGCTACTAGCAATTAACTGAACCGTTCTGCACTCATTCCGGTAAACACCGAAATGGGACAAAAGCTCACGGTCCATATCCACTGTGAAATCTCTGTGGGGGGCCCAGACTGACTGGACTTTCCCTTCCTTAGTGATAATTTCGCGAGTCGCAATAAGCATTGTTCCAAATGGGGTTTTGCAAGCAGTGGGGTAGTACATGGGTTTGACGAAATTACCCAAAAAGTTTTGATATACCATAGGTATACCATATCTCTTCTGAGATTTGGAGGATTCCAGCTGTTTCATCGCCCTGATTTGTGAAGTGTCAGCCTAACTTATTTGCTGTTACATATCTAAGTCAATGGATTGGATGACTTACGTAGATCGGTACCCCACAGGAACACTTTGTGGCTCTGAGACCATCAGGTCAGCCACAATGGGAGCATTCGTACCCAAGCGGTCTTTCTTATCCGAAGCCTTGAGAAGTTTGTATGCCAGAACACGTCCAAAGACATCCAGTGTCAATGGGTTGGCTTTGGTATCGAGAGTACCCCACGGTGCGCTGACATCATATCCTTTGTCCTTTTCAACGAGGAAGAGACCCCCGTTAGTCCCAGAAACCATGATAGTGCCAGAGTCAGCGGCCATGAGAATCTTGAAGCCTTGAGTGCCCTCAACCTTTTTGTATTCTCGAGTGGCGTCGGCAATGTAAGGTTTTCCTGCTCCCGAGTCTCCAGTCTCGGCCGTGACCGTTTTGATGATCCCGTCTGCTTGCTTCTCAGATTCAACATTGAACCCATCCGCACTATCAAGAGGGTTAGATGGTTGAATATGCGGGATGTTGTGAATAGAATAACTTACTTGACGCAGCCGAGGTCCTTTTCGAAAAGTGGGATATTGACGAGCTCGTATTCGAAAACGTCGAATCCAGCAACGTGGATGCGGTTCTTCGCGCCAACCTTCAATTGAACACCATTCTTACAGGTGCTCTCACTACGTGCCTGGAGGTCCAAGTTTGCAACGGCCTTGACATAGACGGAAGGAGTGTTAACCAGCCCAACCGTTTCCTTGAATTTCCCATCAAGAACAGTGAGCCCAACTTCAAGCGCCACAGGCAATCCAATATCACCAGTAAGGGAAAATTCACCCTTTGCACGGAAGACGGGGTCAAATTTTGGCATAAAGCCCTCGATTTTGTTTGTGCCTTTCAGGCTGGCAACGGCGTGTCCTGCTCCAATCGACACACTGCCTCCGACAAGCAGTTCAACCTTGCCCTCAGTCTCAAGGCTGACCGCTACACCGAAGGTCACCTGAGGGCCAAGGGTGAGGATGCCCGGAATGATCAATCCGCCAAAAGGGATACTTTTCAGATCCTTACTCTTCTTTGGCTTAATAGATTTCTTCTTATCCTTGGATTTGCTCACTGTGCCGTCGGCGCTGATTCCGAACTGAGCGTCTAGGGTCAGAGCATCCTTGTTGACGAATGAGATACTGCCTTCGGTGATACCATCTTTGATGCTGAATGCCAACCGGCCGTCAATGTCGATATTGACGTGAACACCACATTTAGCGCATTGTACCGTCCAGTGGAACGCTCCAGGGTTGTTGTAGTTACCAGAAGTGGCGAGGGTGTAACCATCTCTCATACCGAAAATTTCTGGTGGCCGGTCCCCAATTTCGCTCTTGAGGTATTGGTGGATTTTGATGTCGTTGTGATATGTGTGGTCGAATGGGACACCGAACGGCACCAACACCAGCTTCGCAGTGATAACTGCGAGCTCAATAATCTGGTCGCCAACCTTTTTAATGAAGTCGGCTGCACTTCTGAAGAAGTCCCCAATTCGCTTTTAAAATAGAACATAAACCCATTAGCCTGCGTTCCAAAATGTCTCTTCAGATGGGAAAACACCTACCCGACCTAGATCTCTGAGTCCATTCCACAGGTCAGTGAAAATGTCTCGCCGAGAGAGCTCAGATGAAGCGCGTTTTGAGATCTCGGTCCTAGTTCGCTTGGTTCGCTCAGATCGGCGACGTGTAGAGGACCGCCGAGTCGTTTTTGTGTGTGCCTCGGGGACTTCAGGATCATCCATGTCCATGAAATCCATGGTGTCGATCTTCTCCCCCAAATGCGTAGTATCCAGATCAGAGTTGTTGAAGAAGTTCTCCATTGCCCAAGGGTTCAATGTGATATCCATAGTGGCGTTGCTAGCATATTGATCAGTAACATTGCGCGCTGCTGGAGATTCTGGCCGCCCTCTGTTGTAAGGCTGGGCTGGCTTGGTGGCGCGGACATGGCCCTTGGTAGGCGATCTCTTTCTCTTGCTTGGATCGTTGTATGTGCCCCAGGTCATGACACCCGAGTCCAGGGCGTCCGACTCTTGGATAGGAGTGACAGAAACCACAACGCACATGTCCACCAGGTTGACCAAAGGCTGAGAAGCATGGAAGAAGCTACGCTTCCCCGAGCTCTCATCTCCACAACCTGCATGGTAAGTTACCAGATTAATCCCATCCTGGACTAACCATGAAGCCTCAATAGTAGCCATTGCAATTGGGTTGTTGAAGCAGATTTGCATGTCATTGTCATCACAGGCGACACTCTTAACGTAATCGGATTGATCTAAGATGACCGTGTTGCGCACAAATTTCGCCTCGAGGGAGGCATGCTTTGCGCCATGAAGAGCCGCTAGAAAGCGTTAATAATCGGAAGAAGTTCAGACTTCATCAAACCTACGACGATGCCCTTCTTGGCTATAATGCAGGACCTTATCAAGGCCTGCAACGAGATGTTCCAGGTTATGGGAGTCGTGTTTGGGGTCTAACCCGGGATGCAATGCTACATCATTGCCAGAAAAAGAAGGAGTGACTTGCAGTAGACCGTCCACCGCCTTGTGAAGGCCGATGGCAGATGTGGTTGCCGCTATGCCCAGTACGGCCAAGATGCCGTTGAGCCGCATGGCAAGGAAAATATGAATGAATGAATGAATGAATGAAACGAAAGAAAATGAGTGTCAACGAGCGTTAGTGAGTAAGGCTGCAGCGTATTCCTCGAAGAACATGGCCTTTTTATAATCTGTCTGGCTGTCTCATGTCGGTTTAAATCTCTTGATCTTCAGAGTTAGTCGGAGTGGAGTATAGGTCAATTTGTGACTATCGCCAATAGTATCCGCTGATCGTCTGCAGCCACTCAATAGATCTACCAATCCCATTCTTCTTTGTACCTCACCCCTCTTCTATGATTGGATGAAAATAGATATCCTCAACGGACCGAACCTTCACATTAAGATGATGAAGTTTCCGAAATGAGTCTGCTAGCATAAACCCCCGCTAGTTGTGTACTATACGTGAGGATCGCTGCACGAGCACTAGAAAGGAATTCTCGGATGGATCACGGTCCCTTGCTATAGTTCTATAGTTCCTACGAACCCTTCTGTTAACTAGCGTGAATGGACTATGTGAAATTGCCGGGCACCGTATACCTGTCACAGTTCTTAGATCCTAATGAAGATCGCTTCAAGTCACTGTATCTGGCACATACTATTGACAGGCTATTTACTGTGTGCGTGAAAACCTCGATGGTTTTTGCTGCCCCTTCTACAATTCGCCGCCCCCTTATATTTCTTTAGACTTTGTCATGAGGTGGACTTTACTTTTATTTTGCAAGACATGAGAAATTGCATCGTATCATTCAACCTGAAGAGATATTCATCATGGTGACTAGCTACGCTATTTCTTCAGAATTATTACTCTATGTACAGCAGTAGCTTAAGCTTACTGAATATAGTACGGTTTTTCAAACTGATACTTGGCCAATGAAAGACGGTGCAGATCCTCTGGAGGAATGGCCTTCAGAGAACCTCGCAAATACTTGTAGTGGCTTTGCAACTGCTGAATTTTACGGCAAGCGTTTCTACTATATTCGCGGGCTGCTTCGGGCTTTTCTTGATCGACTACCAAGTTCGACGATTTATTCAAAATGTTCCAGCTTGATGTCATGTCCCTCCATGAATATCTTGCCAGTGATATTTTTCATAGAGTCGAGGTCAGTATGCTTGCATCAATCTGAATTTTTGAATAAGAAGAAAGGACGTACCGTCAAGAAATTCCCTTCTATATAGGAATATAAAGCACTGATGTCAATGTACAGGTGTAAAACATCTCAGATGCCGGGTAAGTGGCCACGAATACACCGCACGCTAGCATTGATGATTCCCATCCTTTAGCCTTCTATGGAAAAACCCACATGCGACTTTAATGACTCTCTCTATTCATGAACGCTGTTTCCGAGGTCTCAGCCGTGCAAGATCAAATACATGACATGACTTCCAATAGTCAAACAACAAAAAAATTGCTCAAATATCTTTCTCCAAAAGGAAAGCCAAGTTCCCCTTACGATCCTGTCTTCATAAAATTTAGACTTGGCCTAGATCTTGTTACGACGTATAACCATATCTTTGACAGGTGAATATAAGGTCAATATAGGGAACACGTTTGAGACTAACCCCATAGTAGGTACTTGCTAAATTACAAGCTCCGTGAGGCTGCTGAGTACTTCGGTGCGACAATGAAGGAAAAGCATACTATCATTGATAAGTGGCCCTACAGATTGAAGCTCCTGGTCAGTAAAGGGCGCAAAGGTCCTTAAAGATTAGAATGTCGATTTTCAATGAGGGAATCTTACTGTGAAGATGGAACATGCCTAGCGTATTGTCATGCATATTTAGAGCAGGCTTCACTCTTTTGGTTAATGAATATTCAAGAATGCCAAAGCACAATAACGTTAAGTTATCATAACTCCAATACATGTTTTGTTTCAATGTCCGCAATTGTGAGACTGTATGTTTTGATGACATTAATGGTTAACTCATTCTATATTAACTTTGGTTCACGTATGAAGTATACGACAATAAAAACCAAATATTATTACTAGTAAACAAATTCCGAAGCTTGATTCCAGTAAAATACATACAGCTGGTAAGGCTCATACTAGCGTAAATTTACTTCGTAGATGGATTGGGCATCCCGGCGGTATCAGGCCACTTACGGAACAGGTCGGCGAGATGATCAATTGGCGCCGTTAGAAGCCCCACAGCTGTCTCGTACGGTGGCTTGTCTGGTGCACTAGGGTGAGAACGCGAAGGGACGAACATCTTCGTTCGGCCAAAGCTCTTAGCATAGCCCTCACTATCCTCTTGCGATAAGGCCTCTTCTAGCTTAGGCAAATCGTTTCTCTCCTCCTCTTTGATGTGCTCGGAAAGATTATCCATAAGCTCCTTAATAGTAGGAATAAACTGCGTGTCCGAAGCTCCCATATTCTGGAACGCCTTTAGTTGCTTTTTAACCTAGACCATAACGTTAGTACTATAATAACTAGAGATAGTAGATAAAGCTTAACTCACTGTCAAATGCTCATTACGGTCCTTGTTTGCCATTTCGATGCCACCGGGGAGAAGCTTCTCGAAAAGAGGATAAACAACGAGCTCTTCTCCAATAGAGTGTCGAGCTAGTTCCCAGGTGAACAGATTCTGGAAGCGTGTCTGTTCATCCTTGTCTGTGGAGGTAACGATCTTGTTGAAATAGGATTCAATTTCCCGGTGATCTTTTTTGATTGTGTCGCTAATGCCGGGTGCCATGGCGATGGGTGAAGTTGCAACTCCACGTCTCTGAACACGTAACAGGATGTTGCTGAATATAGTGTATTTTGACGGACGGAGAACGAAACTCATTATAGCATTGGAATAGAAGATTCATGACAACAAGTTTGACAGGCTGAAATATACGGTCTTTTTATACCAGAAGTGAATACCCGTCCCTAATTCTCATTACAGTCAACTCTCGCTTATACCACGGTGGGATATTGCACATTCTTGATAATAACACATCCCTTGCTTGGATGGCCCCTTCATTCCAGTTTTTTCCATATAAATTGACAGAATATAACACATTTTGTTTTACCACACTTTCTTCCTCTCAAATCTGCTTAGTCAGCGCAATCAACCAATCAGAATGCCTCAATCTACAAGCTCTCCTACCCTCCCGACCCCACCCAAGCGCGTCAGAATGGGACCAAAGCGTACCAAATTGGGTATATCAGACGCGCAGAAACAGGCACTACGGGCATTTTGGTCTAATACTAGCCCAAAGCCCACGCAGACTGCATGTGCTAAGTGGTTTGAGGACCAATTCAAACAAGTGATTGACCGGTCAACCATATCAAGGATCCTTTCATCCAAATACAATTATCTTGATACGGGCCCTGCAGGGGCAAACAAACGATCTTCATCCTCTCGTTGGCCATTATTGGACCAAAAGCTATATGACTGGGCAGATAACCATATTGGCAATGGAATACCAATAAATGGCCCTTTGATCCAAACTAAAGCAGCTGAGCTTTGGAGACAAATACCGGAATACAAAGATCGGACCAAACCTCAATTCTCTGAGGGTTGGTTAACTCGCTTCAAACAACGCCACTCTCTTCAATATCATACTTTCCACGGAGAAGCTGCCTCAGTCCCATCCTCGGTACATGATCAGATCAAAAGCACCAAATCGATTTGCAATCAATTCAAACCGTCCGAAATCTACAATATGGATGAAACTGGCCTATTTTGGCGACGTATGCCAAATGGTGGTCTTTCAAAGGGAAAAATTGCTGGCAAAAAGCTTGATAAAACACGAATCACTATTGTTGTTGCATCAAATGCGGATGGTTCCGATCGAGTCCCTTTATGGTTGATTGGCACAGCAAAAACCCCTCGCGCACTCCGGGGGTTAATTTCCGAGCTCTGGGATGTGTTTGGCGTCACAACAAGGCAGCATGGATGCGTCATGACATTATGGAGGACTGGTTGCGATCTTTCTATGGGCGTATTCCCTTAGATAAGAAAGCTTTGCTCCTTTTAGACAATGCTTCACCACATGTTATTGGACTCCAGCGAGCGCCACCACCACCCCGGATTACGGTTGTTTTTTTGCCAGCAAACGCAACTTCAATTTATCAACCCTTGGACCAAGGTATTATCCAAAACTTGAAGCACCATTATCGGAAGAAATGGATGCGCTATATGATTGCTTTTCTTGATCGTGGGATAGACCCAAAACAAAGAATGAGCATTTATTATACTGTTACCTGGGTAACGCAAGTTTGGAGAACAAGTGTATCAGACCAAACGATTATCAATTGCTTTAAACAAAGTACTTTGATTAGTCCAAAGTCTATACCTATACCTGAGTCCGCGCCCGAGTCCGCACCTGAGTCTGCACTATTTTCCGAGCCCGGATTGAGTGATGAGATTGAAAGTCTATATAATCAAGCAATTGATAAGCTTGGTGATAAAGATATTGTGCCATTTGACGAGTTTTTGAACCCTTCGGACGAAGACATGTTAGAAGATGGGACTGAAGGGCGAGATGAGACCAATGAGCAAGATATATATATTGCCCCAACAACCTCAGAAATTCAGGATATTGACATTGATGGGCCCCCACCTGAGCTTCTGTCTAATTCTGCTATATTGGACAGCCTCCAGGATATCCTACTATGGGTTTGTAGCAAAGAAAAGGGTACCTCGGACCATATTAGACAAATTGAGAGCTTAATCAGCGACTTTGGCAGGATTCAGATTGATGAGAAACGTCAGGTGACTTTGGATCAGATGATGGGATGGAAGACTAAATAGGTATTAGGGCTTAGAGTTAGCTTGTCAAATATTATGTCATCCTCTCACCAAAACACAACTCAATTATACCACGTAGTTTGGCTTGGATAGTATGCTGTGGTATAAGCGAGAGTTGACTGTACTCGTTCTAGGGCAAGATCATACTGACGTAATATAAATATATATATGATAGTAATGTAAGAGATGGCAACCTGGTCTTTTGGCTGGGATGATGTTCCAATCAGAAGAGATTCAATGGTAAGCATCATAATGACGGATCTCAGGCTTCGGGTTCTGCTCCCTTCCATCCACACCTTGCAAATTTGACAAGATATCCGAATTCAAGTTTAACCCTGCGAGTCGGCTGTTCTCCCCTCTGCTCCATCGTGTTCCCGTAGTTTGAAACCAGTATATCTTGCTTGTAGAGTCTAGGCTTTAGATAAGTGGGCCCGGTTTTCCCTGCCACATTTAAGTGTGAATGTTCGAAAAAGGAATTGGCTGATTAGTATCCACGGAAAGCACGACAAAGGATGTTTGCTCCGCCACTGTTATTCGATTTATCAAGTGGTGCTGATAAAAACTGGCTTCTATGCTGAGCATATGATGGAGGTGGGTGGTATGACTGGTGCTCCGAGTTCTACACTAACAGGAAATTTAGTTCAATATCTTACCTAGGTTCCTTTAAAGTGCGTTGTCCGGGAACCTGCTTAGCGGTGGTATTTTAAAGGCATCCAAACTTGATCTAGCCCACTAAGTCAACTATGAATTACGAAGCGGTTTCAGTACCTAGAAAGTTATCTTATAAGCAGTCGGGCATTACTTAGAATCTAAGAGGAAGTAACTAAATGCACATATAATTGGATTTTCAAATTTTTTTCAAATTTTTTTCTGGGGGGTTTTTTTTTTGTTGGTTTGGTAGTAAGGAAAATCAATCTATAATAATACAAAGGCGAGCATGGTAAGCGCTATAACTTACCTTTTTTTTTTTTTTTTTTTTTTCGAAATTTCTCTGGCCTGTAGCAATGATCAAACAAAGATAAACTTCAAAGTTGAATATAATAAGTGCTGTAACTTACCATGTACACCAAGACCCAAGGCAAAACGGAGGAGACTCGAATGAAAGCAAAGACGAAGTAGATTCGAAGAAACCAAGTTCTTCTACCTACTTCTCCCCTTCCTTCTTGTCATCTTGGTCCTTCTTTTCTGGATGGTTTGCCTGATGTTGGCACTTGAGGCATGTGCTACCGGGCTGTAGTAAGTCTGTGGGTGCTTCTCACACTCAACTACATGTCCGTTTATAATGCATCGGGGAGTCACGCGGTGACGGGGAGGGGCGGCCGGGCAGTTCACCATTTTTGTTATTGCTGCGATGCTTTAGAAATAGGCTGGTTTTAGGTTTGTGTTCGATGTTCCGAGAGGATATTTGTTTGTGTGATGGTGATGTTCATTTGGCGTGGACTTCTCCTTTTTATACTCGAGCAATACCTCAAATTTCTTGATCGAATATTATGGCTCAATGAGCTTAATAGGATCATTGTTTTTTTCGTAACCTGCTTATTTTGACAAAGACATGAAAGGAGAGGATAATACCTTTTGTTTCTTACACTTTCCTCCCCGAGGCTCTGTATAGAGGGACTCAGTGACTTGGAGTGGGCGAAAGCTCTTTGTCTTGGGAATAGTAATTGTTACATTATATTGAGATAAGCATCTAGGTAGCTACTGGACATAGCTTATGGGCGGTCCGGATGTAGCAGCTCAAACAGACGTGGTTGACCATCACAGAATAGCTAGCCGTCCTAGCCATTGCACCTTTTTAAACCGAACTGTTTTGTATGGTCCCACATTTATATTGTAATAGGATCAATATGATGGGATTAGAGAAAATGATGCCCAACAACAGATACAACAGATAAAAGTATGTAAAGCCTTCAATTATATATAGCATGGCAGAAAAAAGAAAGTACCGAATGGAGAGGGATGCCAGCATTTCATGTTCCAAAAGATAAAAACAAAACTCCGGTCCTTTTGGATATCTCCATGTATTCATCTTCGCGTCTTAACATCCTCAAAACCAAGGCGAGTCATCAAGTAACTTGTCACATCACTGTCGCAGTGGCAGTGATGCTCCATCCCCGGGCCCTGCGCAGCCAATCGTTGCAGACAAGAAAGGACACCTAGAAAAAAATTAGATAACTGTAACACTAGAGAATACTAGTGAAAACCTACCGGTCACACCCTGAGTCAGGGTCGCCTTCGCCTCGGTGCTGCGTGAGCCCAAGGTGACGGTCATGGCGTATTCGACAGCCTTGGAGCGTTGCAGTTTGTTGGCCCACCGGAAAACAGGCTCGTCCTCACGATTGTCGCCGATAACAAGCAAGAAATCAGGCTTTGCGGCTTCTTTGGATTTCTCGTCGTGTTCAAGGAACCACTTCCAAACCAGCGCCGCCGCAGATGCCTTGTTAGTATGCGTGGTTTCCACAATCAAAGCACCCTCGACGGGAATGGCATGCACGCCTTGGTTAGCGCACGCATCATTGATGTTTCCTGCACACTCAGCAGCGAGGCGGGCAGCAATGTGACGGTCTTCTGCGGATCCGTGATGGAAGACCAGCGAGCAGTGGCGCTCCTCGATCCAGCTGCCTTCCACCCGAGCCTGGAAGTAAGCCAGAATGTTGGATACTGATTCCTTCCATGCTTTGACGTGTAACTTATCCGCGAGATGAGTCCACACATCAGATTGTGGTTCGCGCACAAAGCATCCGTTCTCGGCGATGAGGCCCAGGTTATTGACCTGTCGGAACAGACGTTCCATCTCCTCGGGCATACGAGAACTCATGACGTAGACCACGTTCGCGGGGTCATCGGTCAACTCGGTCAGAGTAGTGATTGCACGCTGCGGGGTGGTCAAAATGATGCTCCGCGGGGATCCCCACGAGGCTAGTGTGCCTTCGTAGTCAACGATCATGAGTCGTCGTTTCGACTGGCGATACTGTTCGGTGAGTCGAGATACAGACAGTCGTGGGACAGCCATAATTTCTCGTGACGACTGCTCGTTCCAGACCCGCGCAAGAGTTTCATTGAACGATTTAACCCAGTTGGCAGTGGAGTTTTGTAAGACTGCACGGAACAATTCCTCCCAGACCTGCTTCCGTTCTTTCTCATCACGACTTAAGGCCGTGTGAATTGCTTCGGAGCACTGACGGTAATCCCAAGGGTTGACTAAAAGAGCATGGTTTTCAAAGACAGATGCACTTCCAGTGAACTCGCTAAGAATCAATGAACCATATGCCTTGTCACCGTACCGGCCGTCCTGGCAATAGACAAATTCGTGACTGGTTAAGTTCATGCCCTCGCGCAAACTGGTAATCATTAAAGCATCCGCCACAGTGATTAGGGCAAGGTATTGTGGGAAAGCCAGATCTTGTTTAAGGAAAACAAGGGGCTGGTGGGCAAGAGTCGAGTGCATAGAATTGATCCGCATAGCAATATCAGAGAGAGTCGCCTCTAGATCAGGCTGATCCGTAGTGCTAGTTGCGACTTGAATCAAGACCACTTTATCAGCCCACTCCGGGTATGTGTTTAGGAAAAGCTCATAGCTGAGAAGCTTTTGGCGAATGCCTCGGACAGAATCTATTTTGTCGCGCGAAACGATGAGACGCTTTCCTTGATAGCGTTCCGAGATTGTATCAACCCAGCGTTCCACGTCTGTCGATTGACGGCGCTTGTCCCAAGAAGTTGGATCGATGCCGATAGGGAACGTACCCACGTTGACAAACCGGTCTTCCAACTGGATACCTTCAGGCGTCGCTTCCACGCAAAGGATCCGACTGCAGGTTTGCAAGAAGTGTCGGCAATATTCATCTGTCTGGAAGCCAATAAGATTGGCACCCAGAATACCCTCGAGGAGTTCCTTTCGGGGAGCCAAACACTTGAAAACTTCCGATGACGGGAAAGCAATATGCAAGAAGAACCCGATTTGCGCATCTGGCAACAGCTTGCGAAGCATAGCTGGAACTAGTAGCAGGTGATAATCCTGAACCCAAATTGAATCGCCACGCTTCCAGTCCTTCGCAATCCGCTCGGCAAATGCCTGGTTAAGCTTGACGTAATAGACCCAGGAATGATCTTCATAGGCCTTGCTCTTTGGGTTATCCGGAATCTGATAGTGGAATACTGGCCAAAGAATGGTCTTGCAGAAATGTGTGTAATGACCATCAAAGTCACCGTCGCTCACACAAACAGTCAACGACCCGTACTCATCCTCCAGTTTCTCTGCGATATCTTGCCAGGTGTACTTTGCCAAGGCATCAGTCGGCATCCCCAAGGTGCCTACCCACATCATCTGATCCAAGAACCCAGCATCCGTTGCAGATCGCACGGCATTTCGCAAACCACCATTTCCCTGCTCAGCAGTTTCGATTGTCCACTCGGCCTTGGAAAATGACACTTTTCGGTTCGCAAATTGAGTCCATCTCTGTCCCGATGGAGGGGCGGCCTGGGTATCGGGAGCGCGCGATGAGACTGGTTCCTTGGCGAGAGGGGGATCCTGGTGTTTAAGGATAGAAGGTGACGGGGAAACTAGCGGCTTTGCCTTTGGCTGGATTAGGGAAGTGGTAGCTCCCCATGCTGGTGAATGACCCTCGCTCTCTGTAAGAAGCCGGTTCTCAGGCCCAGTAGCCGAAGGAAACGGATACCCGCTCTTGTCTTGCTCCGCCTGAGCTACACTGGAAGCGAAGATGCGCTCATGATCCGTGGTGGCACCAGGGGTCATTCCAGGTGTTTTTGTTGGATTATTCTTCTCGAACAAGCTCGCCGCGGCATTGGGGATGGGACTGATTCCATCGACGGTGGGGTCCGCGGATGGAGGGCCGATTGGGGGAGATCGGTTGCGCTCATTATTGACATGGAAGTTGACCGTGTAGGGCAGGAAGCTAGCATATGCACAGGTCAGTAATGAGACACGGGCTAGCAGAGGGCCACATACAGGGATGCAATAAAGACGGTCATGGTGATCGACTCGAGCCCGGCCGGACAGAAGGTTGAGGGTTGAAACACCAGAGAATGAGCTTTAAGGTAATAAGAATAGAGAAAGCAAATGCGAAGCGAATAACGAATGGCAGCTTAGGGGATCTAGCAATTGGGGGTAGAGGGAGAGGAAAAAAAAAAGAGTTACACGATGTGTTCTCTCATGGCTACGTCATGTGAAAGCGCAGTGGGCTGAACAAGCAAGTTTCCCCAGACCTTGCAGTGCAACAAACACAAGACGGCAAATCTGTTGATATCACGAAAACACTGGATTCTTCTGAATAGTTGCAGAACCAAGGAAGATCCCAACAGAGCTGTGATGAGAGTATGACCGCAGCTTACGGACTCATACCGAGTTCCACCACTTGATGCGCTGCCGGGTATTCCCGTACGGTATTACCATTACTGAAGTATGGCCGCTGGCCCGTGATTGGCGGAAACTCTTAAGTAGTCACCTGACATGAGGTAATATCTTCCAATCAGTCCAGGACCTGAGTCGTTCATCCCTGCCATGACCTTACGCCTCACTTCTGCTCCGGTATCTGGCGTCAAGAAACGAAAGTCCTCTGCCACCAGGCCTCGTGCCTCACCTTTTGCCGCTCATGCACGCCGCAAGCCTCCATCTGGGGCCAGCAGCTTGAAGTCGACTGCGACTGCCGATCTGAGTTTGGATGATCCGCTTCCAGATTTAGGTGGGTCGCATTACATTTCGCAGACTGCACCGGTGCAGAATGTGCTAGAAGCTATTCAATATATCCGCGATGGTATATTTGAGGAGCTCCCCCAGCGAGCTGGCATGAATAGCACTCGGATCGCAGAAGTTCTCAACTTACGCCGATCATTGCCGCCGCTCGCCTCAGTAGCCCACGTTCATACTCTTCTGGATGCACCAACGCATGTGGAAAGGGAGATTGTCGATTTGGTTCAGACGGGCCAGGTTCGGCGACTCATTATTCCTGGTCGAGGCAATGATGCGGCAGGGCTGGGTGATTGCCTGGTATTAGCAGAGGACTGGGAGAAGCTGGTACAGGGAAGCGCTCTATTAGACGCCCCAACCAAGGGTCAGTATTCAGTATTATGGTGATTCAAAGAGACGACAATTAACACCTTTCTAGAGAAGTTCCTTGATATTTTAAAACGCATGGGGACCTCCTCGGCGATATCGCAGGGGGTCTTTACGACTGATGAATATAGGGCATTGCTTCGTGCTGGCTTCATTGTCTCATCATCATCATTCACACAAGGGTCGTTGAGCGTTGCCTCTCTTCCCAATTTGCCTACTTCGGCAGCTTCATCAGCCAGTCGGAAAGAATCTACTCAGTCCAAGACTGAGCGCCCTGTGCAGTCAGATGCCCAGGCGCGTGCTGCAACCCTTTTCCTATCTCTTCCTAATACCGGGACCTATCTTCGCCTACTAGGATCTGGTCGCGCACACCTGCTAGCTTTACTCCGGAGATCTGCTTCTGGCGAAGTCCCTCTAGGCCTGTTGAAAGACAGGTGGGATGGAGCTGTCGAGACTGAAAAGAGCTTCCATCTTGCCAAGCGAGCTCGCGGTGAGTTTGCTGGCATTCTTCCCGGTAAAACGAAGAAGTGGAAGGAGCTATATGGAATGCACTTCCGCTGGGCGCTAGAAGAAGCTCTTGGCGCGGGACTAGTAGAGATCTTTGAGACTGGTAGCGTAGGACCTGGGATCCGTTCTTTATAGTATTGAGCTTTATAAATGCCACATACTGCTTATCCACGTGATACTATAGTTTTTGCATTCTGTAACAAGTCACGTTCAAATAGTTTTAGAAGGCGTTCCAACGCGCTAGACAACGTGATCTGCTTGCTACAGTGAAATATAAAATCCACAAACATTTGCCGATCACTCTACTTTTGCAAGCCACCTCCAACATCATTAGCAATACCCCTTTCCGAATCAAACCATCAAACAGTTCATCATGCCAATAATCCAACTACAACCCCACCCAATCACCAGCCTCCCCCACCACCCAGATCTAGAAACAGGAGGCCCCAGCCGCCCATTACAGGAGCACATTCGTGCCACTCTCGAAGAAGCACATGAAATCCTGGAGAGTCTCCCGTCTGACCTCAAAGCAGAATCGAAGCTGCGCAAGTCTCCCCCATCAGATGCAAAAGTCAAGCTGAGCCAGGGATGGCGAACACCCCTGCATAGCGACCCTAATGCTCAAAAGGAATATTGGGTCTCTCGCGAAAGTGAACATGAAGATTCAAGTCGCAGCAATGGATCTGCCACCTGGCAAGAGTTCCAGAATGGGCTGCATCAAGACCATGCTTATCATGAGATGGAGTATACTCCTAGTGTGACGCGTGTGGTGCAGCTTTTCAATTGGGCGGAAGGGGAGGATGATCATCTGGATCAGGATATCAATATCAAGAACACGCGGTACAAGCAGTTTGACGTCCAGTGTAAGTTGACTGATTCACGATCGATTAACCAGATCAACTCCCCTAACCATTTACCTACTCCTTCCCTTTTCCTCTCTCACTCTCCCCATTCCACTGAACATCCCACATCTACATGTATATAACCCCAAAGCAAAACCTAACTAACAACCCCACCCAGTATTCCTAATAATTCACACCTTCAACCCAAGCCGCCTAATCCATCCACGGGCATTCCTATCCTTCACCATATCAGCCACAACGCAAAACCTCCTCGCGCCAGATCACAACACGCCAAACACCCGCCACCCAACAGAGGGCTTCATAACAATCCAAGTCCCCTACTCCATAGACAATCCCGGGCCTAACCCCGCATTTGTCGATTATCAATACCATGGCCTCTATTCACGAATCACTAGCAATATCCCGCCTCGCACAGTCTTTGCCCATTATGCTAGTATTGAGCGGGTTGAGTTGCTTGTTCTGCCTACTGGTAGATCTATGTCTATATCGGGCCAGGGCGAGGGTGTGGGTGAAGGTGGAGGTGAGCTGGGGATTACTACGCCTTCAACTTTGAATACGCCTGCTAGTTCGACTGGGAGACGGGTAAAGTGGACTATGGCTACGACTTCGGATGCTGGGGGGAAGATTCCGGGGTGGGTACAGCGAAGTTGGATGCTTGGGGGTATTCCTAAGGCAGTTGTTGCTGATGTTGGGTTGTTTATTGGGTGGGTTATTAAGAGAAGGAGGGTGAGGGATGTGAGACAGGAGAAACATGAGGAGGAGCGCTGAGGAAGGGAAGAGGATCGGATGAAGAAGATCTGTGCCGGACTTAGGTTCCGTGAATCTTGTCTTTATCCAGGCAATTGACTACGTAGTCCGGGCTGGATAGCTTTGAACACAATGAAATCAGCAACTACGAGAATTCAACAGAATGCACAGAAAAATAGTAATTGACTAGGATATCTCTGTAGGAGACCTCCCACAGGCATATGCCCGAAAACCTAGATATGGAAACATATCTCACAGAATAGCCTGAACAACCCCCAAGCCTGCAAAACAGCAGACAACCCCACAGCCCAAGCATTATCCTTAATACCGTGCTTAACATACCAAGCCGAACTAGACCAAAGCAGTACATTAACGATACCGGCAATAGCCTTGTTAATTGGGTCTTGGAGGGCTGTTGGGTCGCGAGACCATTGGTAGTGTAGTAGACCTATAGAGATGAAGTTACATGGTTAGGTAAGTTATTTGGTTTGAATTGACAATAACCAAACCACGGAGGTAAGGTAACTAGAGTTCGGAAGATAGAAGGATGGAAGCGTGTAAGGAAGGAAACATACCAGTCAAGAAGAAGAATGCACTTCCCTGTTATAGTTCATAGATTATCAGAATTAGATATCCCTTATGGTTTGGTATGTGATGTCATGTCGATATAGGAAAGAATCTTGGACGTACCTGATACCATCCTACAGTCCCACTAGCCCATGGCTTTGTTCCTGCGATGGCCCTGAATCGGGGGTCTGAGGTCCACTGTCTGCCATTGATCTGATAAAGGAATCAACATCAAGGTTGTGAAAGGGGGTTAGGTTGTTTAGTACCGTATGTCCTATAGAGAGGAGAACGAAGGATGCAGCGGATGCTTGGAGGAGGGAGGGAGACATTGTTTAGATATTGGAAGTGGTACGCTGTATACGGGACTATGTGCAGTAATGAGGTATTGGACAGGGTACTCTGTTGTCTGCAGATAGGATGCAGAGCGGAACAGAGCTTAATTAATGACGAGGTGCCTCGGCTTAATTTCGGGCCGTGTGGAGGTGAAGGTGGAGTTGTCCGAGGTCCACACTAACGTGCGAATGGCAATATGACTCTCATTGATTCACCTAGAACTTGAAACGAGAGATAAAATTACTTGTAAACTTGATCTTCAAATATAGGGTATATTATCACTACTTAAGAAGGAAATAGCGCAACAAATATAAGACTCCAAACACAGCGTAATCCATGCACAAGTATTCCAATGCAATCACCAACTCCATTTTGGAGAGTCGCCCAAGACACGAGGTGCCTTGGTATCCTGGTGGTCCAACGAGGAGTATTCTCCAGTCCATCGAGATATCAGCCCATTTTGGGGCGCCAAACTCCTTCGGTCATTCAAAAGAGGAAAAAGAGAAAAAAAAAAAAAAGAAATGGAGACACTGTGTAGCTCTCTCCAATGAATATAAAAAAGTAGGCTAGAACGGAAGGACGTCCAGAGTATAAGACTCCAACAGATAAAAGGGATAGATGATAAAGGAAAAGGAAAAGGAAAAGAGGGAAGGGAATGTATAACACCAAAGCCGGAACTGTCGGAATGGTGATCATAAAGGCATCAGGTTCAGACCCAGATGGGTGGAACGTATCAACAAAGTGGAGAAAGAGAGGGTGAATAGCGGCCAGTTCACACTGGTGACCAGCCATATCATACACATTAAAGTCACACGTAGACAGATTACCGTGGTCCGGTATTGTTCATGTTCACTTCGACCGGGGCCGGGGGTGCTGATAGATTGGACGAGGCGATATGTGCCCGTAGGGTAGAAACTTCAGCACGCAAGGCGTTCAGTTCTTCGTGCATTCCTCGGACATACGACCAAAGTTTATCGACTTGGTTGGCGTCATTTGAGTTGACTTCAAGCCCATCGGGTCCCTTGAGAGCAGATATGCTGTGGGTGCTAGAATGGCTGTGCGAAGGAGTGTGCTTAGTTGCCGCTTGCAAGCCAAATCGACCATCGGGGGAGGTCATCCCCGGCGGCGGGGGAAGCTGGGGTACTCCTGATTGCGGGAGGGGAGACCCAGGGTCGGTGCGTGGCTTGATGATGAACTCGCTCGCCCGAAAGAGGACTGCGGGTGTGGCAAGGACTGTCCCATACCGGGTGAGTGTGCGCGGTGTGGCGGTGCAGTATCATGTTGCGATGACAGAGCACCCGGGGACAACGGCTTTGGGCTGTCACTGATGTTGTTTGCAGTGAATATAGTCGAGCCAGAAGCGTGACCTGCGGGTGGGAAAGTCAAGTTTCCAGCCTGCGAGGTCGATGTAGACGCGCCTGAGCCACCGTGATTAGCCGGGGGTGGGAAGAGATGGCTGGGGCGGCTAGCTGCGATGGGCGGGTAGGTGTTTGACTGACGAGACTGGAGTGAATCAGACGGAGCCACGTTCTCTGCCTCATGCTTTCGAATACTCGGCATCAGGCGTCGCTCGTCTTCTTCGTCCATACGCTCCGGCTCAGCCGTATACATCAGCCCATCCATGTCGTCCGGACCAGCACCACCGTCTCCGTATTCATCATCCGCAAAGCTGCCCATGCTCGCACGTCGACCAGCGCATCCTCCCTGGCCTTTGTTGTGCCGAGCAAGCGCGTCGCCTCGAGCAAAACGACGGCCACATTTGGGACAGATGTGGGGTCGTTCGCCAGTGTGCAGTTTTGTATGGCGCTTCAAGTCGTGTAATCTCCGGAAACGCGACTGACAGGTTTGACACACGAATGGCTTTTCCTGACTATGCGTGAGCAAGTGGCTCTTGAGATTATGTTGCCGGGTAAATTCTGTGGAGCAGTAAGGACAGCGGTGTTTCTTCGCAGACGGCGAGCGAGGGCTGCCTCTGTTATAGCCTGCATTTGGGAGACTCAATCCACGCCGCGGGTCATTAATATTGCCCGTGGGCATCGGATAAGAGAATGCTTTGCCATCGTGGTCGATCTCGGAGTCATCGCGCGGGCGTCGATCTTCGTCCTGCGACGTCGATTCTTCAATAGGACCAGGACTAGCAACGGTAGAAGAGTGCATAAGTGAATTGTGATGGTGATCGTTTGATCCGTATGGGTCCGATGGTGATTCGGTCGCGTGTGAGTCGACTTGCATCTGTTCCGGGGATGCATGGACGGAGGGATCGTGGATTGGGGCGCCTGGCGACTTTTCACTTGCACCTAAGGCCTCCCGGGCAACCTGCGAGCTGTTTCGTTCAGCTTCCTTGTCGTGCTCCGGCCGATCCGCCGGTACTGCTGATGGGCTCGTCATCGGAGGTAGTTGGTCTCTCGATCGCGACACGTGGAGACCGGCGCTGGCAATGGAGCTCAGACTGTCGGGCCTTTGGGATTTGAAAATAGAAAGAGGCTCAGTTCTAGCGATGGAGTTTCCAGATAGGTTGGACACGGCGACAGGCTCGGTGTTCGACATCAACGTCGCCATGGAGAAAGGATGTTTTGCGCCCTCGAAGGGTGGACGAGCCAGAGCGACTACTTCGAAGGCCATGTTAGATATGCCAAGCAGAGGGGATCAAAGGAACTCACTTTCATCCAGTTCGGGGATTTGAGGATGTAAAAGCAGAGGTTGGGGGGGAAGGCAACGAAGGACCAGGGCGTGTGGGGCGTTCTGAGTGTGGCGCAAGCTGACGAGTGGTTTCAGCTTCACTGTGGAAGATCCACCGAATCCCAGCTCACGGTTAAAGGGAGATCAGAGCGAAAGTATAGAAAGGCGCCAAAAGAGAGAGAGAAAGGGAAAGTAAATGCCCCAGGCTATGACAAGTACAGATTTCAGAAGAGAAACTGGGCACGGCAGGGGATACGTGGGGAGGAGTCGAGGCTCTGGAAAAATGAACCCTGAGGAAACCAAGTACCAGGTACTTAGTTATATATGTAACTGCAATAAATTATCAGGTACCCAGTACCTATGATTGAGGCTGTGTAGAAGGCTAACGCTATGTGGCTGTGGGTCTAGCACGAGGTGCGGCTGACACTTCTCTTCCAGTTGTCCTCTTCTCTTCTTCTCTTACACTTACACTTACACTTTTGAGTATACTGGGCGCACAGTCGAGGCAATGGACCTAACGGAAAAGAAACATGAGGTCATTGTCCAAACCGGTATTCGGTGTTCGTCTCCATTGCCACCACACATCCAAAGCAAGAGGTGATGTCACCTATGAATAGGCTCCAATACAAATATAAAATGTACGAGTACGGAGTACAGAGGAACAATCAACCCAGATGACACGAATTCCTTAACAGGTTACCAATTGGATCAATGGATCAAGTGGAGACAATTGGCCACATTCTTATATGTTACAGAATGCACCCCGTCCATACTACCTACACAGTACAACAATAGCCTATGACTCTAATAGAAAGGCCCAACACATCGACTGCGCCATGTTTCAGGTACTAGGCGATCTACAGCCCCATGGTGGGCCACGCTGTGTCCAGTGGTTCATTTCCTGTCATCTCCACTCCAAAAATAGTGTAGATCTGACTGGTTCCGCCAGAATTATCAGCCTATACGGAGTATACAGTCAGTGGCTGTGATTTCCGCTTTCATGTTCTCCCCTTGCCTAACCACGTCAATGTTGCCAAGCCACGATTGATTATGCATGGCATGTATCACCCACCTGAATATGCGTCATTTATACCTCGATCCGCCCCTGGAAATTGGCTTGCAGATGTACCCATTCTCTCACTTTGTCAGGGGTTGTAGCATCGCTTGGGCCCATACTTTGATAACTCAGCGATCCCATTGCGAAAGTGTTTAAATTCATTCATTTTTTCATTTATAAACTTTATCTTGAATCTCTTGCGGTGCCCAATAGATTGAGTTCGACGGCGAACCCACCTGCGCGGCTACTGTATTATAAAAGTTGGCTCTACGAAGTATTCACACATTATATGAAGCATGGTTAGAGTAAAGTGCAGCTTTTACATGTACAGAACTGTCTATGCGAAACAAGATGCTTCGAACTGCGAAGTGGATACTATTTTTATTTCCTCTTACGACCGAAGGTGTATATAGTTCCTTCCCACCAATGATACAATTTCATCTGAGATTCTTCCTTTTCGTCCAAAGTAGAACGGTAGACAGCGTCGATTGGCCTATAGTTCACATTGACGAGCAGAAAATCCTTTCTGTTCGTCAACCCTCATTCAACCCAGGCATCTGGCATCCTTGAATCGTCTTCCCGTTATCCAACCCTTTCATACCGATCTCCGGACTCCGATTCGCCAAGTCTGGGTAGAAAAGTCTTCTGTTTATAATGACTAATGACATCCTATAAGACAATGGGTTGCCTTGCCTCGGCTATAATTAAAGGTCCAGCCACGTCATTTCGCTTGGAAATACAGAGGGCAGGTATAACCCAATAGCTGCCATATATACCTATTTAGATATAATTAGGGCACAGGAGCCAGAGATAGCCGTGATCCATTCACTAGAGAGGTCGGTAGCAGATTGTATACTTCTATAAAAGGGATAGCGCTGCAGTATGTGGCCAGGCCAGTCATGTACAAGTGAACTTGGCAAAGTTAAAATAGTTCCAAGGATAGATTGCTTACTTCCAGGGTTTCCAGGTGGCTTGAAGTAGTCGTTTCAACTATTCTTTGCGGGGGATATTGGCGAAGGGACTCGAATAATCAGGAACTGTGGTACTCGTGTAGCGGGGCGACAGTAGTTCACATTACTGAGACTCGGAACAAGGATTTCTTTCACCAAAATCCAAATGTTGGGGGTGAAGGTGAATATATGCGAGGAGAGTACTGCTTATCACCGTGACCAACTCGCAGGAATAGCTTCAAGCGCACAGACCTTTCCCTCCCGCATTCCCAAACCTCCCGATATCCAACGGTCCTTATTCGGGATATGTGACTGGGTCTTGCACTAGGGTTGTCGGGTATAATTATCCCTCGCCCTGTGGTCTTCCGTTCCCAAACTCGAGCGGTTCTGCAGTTGGTCTGGTTGGCCATACGATCGGCGGATTAGCGCCGGCCGGGGTGATGAAGATGCATCGTGAGGAGCAAGCATGGCCACTGTAGCTTTTTACTGGTCGGTCACTCCACTGTGACAAGCTTGGCTGATCACCTTCGCTGGCCAGTCACACTTCCCGCTCAACGCCTTTGAGGTACAGTGCACTTGCAGAGGCCTCGACTGGCTGTGCATCTCCCAATCATGACCCTGGCCGCTGCTACTAATTCCATCGCGGCGCTTACTCTGACCCCCAAGTGATGAGAATCAATAGCCTGCATTTTCAACCCCTCTCATGCCATGCACTCGGCATTGATATTCAAGCTGCCCATGGCTCTCAGTCTCTGTCTTCACTTTTTCGTTCCTGACTCTCTGCTTTGTATCGTGTACGCAGGCCTCGCACACGATATCGGTGATCTATTACAACTCTGATATAGTTCAGCTGTTGTCCTACCCACCTGTGCCTTTGAAAACTTGGCTCGCCCACGAGTCTGCATTTCAAGCAGTCAGCCCTTTGAATTCCAAGTCGAGAGCTGGTTCTCTTGGCGTGATTGTTCGATTTCTTCGCCTTGCCTGTTGATTATCGCATCGATGTCGAACTTCGACGACAGCCACAACAACTCCCCTCAGACGTACGAGCCTGTCGTTCCTACGGATCTCACCCGCGGCTCCTATCACAGCGCAATGGGTCCCCCACCACAGCACACCGTGCGAGAGACTCGCAGCTCGTCTGATACGAGCAATGCGTCGCTCAAGAGCCCACGCACTGCTCGATTCGCCGAGGCCACATCCATCCACTCTCCAATTGAACGGACGGAAGCTGGTCGGTCACCCTTTGCCGATCCTCCCAAGTCCCAGGCGCAGAGTGGCGGTGTTGGTGATCTCGGCTTCGGTTATGTTGCAGCCAACAACCCAGCTCAGCATGCGGATGACCAGGTTCCAATGTCGCCTTTCAGACCTGACCTGAAGGTACCCCAGACGGCCAAGTCATTGAACCCGCTTAGCCCAACTTTCCGTGAGGAGTATATGCTCGAGAAGCAAGAAAAGAAGGCCGAAGTGGAAAACGCCCGAGATTTGGTAAGAATGCCTCCCCGAGGAATCAATCATTGCAACTTACTCATCATCCCCAGAGAATCAAACTTCGCGTCCGTATCGCAAAGGTCTTCCTAAGATTCGTCAGCTTTGGCTGCAGTCTCATTGTGCTATCTCTCTTAGCTGTGACATTGACCGTCTTTAACGCAACCAAGAGCCTTCCCACTCGTAACAACCTCCCAGCCTGGGCAGCAGGTACCAACCCGTGGGCCCAGTACCTCCTCCTGGGAATGGCCTGCGTCTCCCTAGTCGCCTGTCTAATTGTATTCTGGGCGTACCGCAAAGGCGGACACAAGCGCGCCGAGAAAGCTGCAGTCTACTACACAAGCTTCTCCATCGCCTTCTTCGCCTTCAACCTGATAATGTGGATCGTCGGCGCAGCAATCTACCAACACTCAAAGGCGACCGGAGAACACAAAGACATGTGGGGATGGTCCTGCGCCCAGAACACCCGTGAAGAGATCTACCACAACAGCGTCGACTACGCCCTCCTCTGCCGCCTCCAAGACTGGGGCCTAGTCTGCGCAATCATCGAAGTCGTCATCGAAGTCCTAATCATCATAATCTACGTCGTAGTCTTCTACCGCATCTGGAGCAAGCGCAAGCTCATGAAATCAATGGATACCCGCGATAACGCCCGCTCAGATCTCTACCTCGCCCAGCTTCGTCTCCAATCTGCCCCGAACACGCCCGGCTTCGCAGGCTTCAGCTCCTACCCGCCCAAATCCCCCTCTACGCCGCTGCTCCTGTCGACGCTTACTCGGCCGCCGAGAAGGGCCAGGTTACCCAGACGCAATACGCTTCGCCAGTCTCGCCTACACGTCCGACTCCGTCCTTCCAGCTGCAGCCCCCGCCTATTCGTGTTCAGCAGGCTACGCCGCAGACTGCGCAGGGTGAGTTCGCTCCTCGTCAGTCGCATTCGCCGTCCCCGCCTCCTCAACACCAGGCTCCGCAGTCTCAGTATGTCAGTGCTCCCGGTGAGCAGACTTACGCTGCTGTGCCGATTCCTGGAGCTTATGGGAGTCCCATGGGCCCGACGTTCCCGGCTGCTGTACACAAATGAGTTTGAATGACTATATGCTTTTTTATTACCATGCTATTTATCGTTTGGTTCGATCTTGGCAACCCCTTTGAAAACAAGAAAATATTCAAATCATTAAGAAAAAACTCGGAAAACCCGAAAAATACCTGTCTTATGTGGCGTGCTTCAAAACCGGACATGCAAATTTCTGCTCTTTCCTTTTTCTTCTGTCCTCCTTATCTTGGAGTCTATAATGTACACCCTGTGGCGTGTGGGAGTTTGGTGAAAGATATTGATACCTATTTGAACTTTCGTACACCGTTTGTGTATTACTCTCCTTCTCATCTTTGGGTTTAGTCCATTGGTTTTATATTGCAGTTATACATACATATTTGCATATTTTCCAGTGCTTGATCTTCGGTAGAAAGTATGCACACATTATATTCAAAAAAAAAAAAAAAAAAAAAGCAGAAGAATGACAAACCCGTTTGAGAGCAGTATTCTTTGACTTCGATGTTACTGGAAATTAGAGACCATTACATCCCAGATATATTTGAAGTAATTGAATCATCAAATTGAAAGAATAGTAGACCGAGAAAGGAAAAGACCAAGAGCGCCGCTCACTGCGAACAGGAAAAACCAAAACCAAAACGCCGCAAGAATCTATCAAGTCACACCGTCCTGTCCATCACTCATGATCAATATGCATATCATAGTGCTTCTACCGGAGCCAACTGTACATGCAACTAAGGGGGAAAAATGCCTCACATTCCGCCTTCTTCTATGATAGCGTGTGTATCCCTGGAGACAAAAATCTCCTCTAGGGTAGCAGCATTGGCACCCATTTTACTGAGATCGCTCTCAAGAACGAGACCTTGTTCGTTGGCAAGATGGAGAAGACAAATGAATCCGAATGAGGTACTGATATCCCGTAACGTCTCTGCGGGATAAACGGCCTTTAGGGAGTTCATGATCTGCGTGAACCGTAACCGTCCAGCATCTTTATTATCCATAGGTTTCTCGGGGCTTTCAGCCTTTGGTGTTGCGGGCATAGGGACCTCTGATTCAGTCTCGGCCTCTGTCTCGGGTTCGGGTGGGGCGTCGCTGGATACAGCTCCGGGTTGTGAAGCTGATGCGAAGTCGACGGCGTCAACTAACCGCTCGCCCATGCCCTTCCACATCTCCACCTTGAGACGTCGGACGTCGACCTTCTTTGCAACACGGGCATACGCCACATAGTCTGGGCGTGCACGGCGGCCTCCTTGCGTGACAAGTTGTGAACCGTAGCCACCACCGGGTCGGCCAGGTGTGGCGCCGACCATATTTAAGAGCGCACTAAGGCCGGTTGCACCACCTGCTTCGACTGTAGCGCCCGAGGTACCGTCTGGAGGCGGCGACAGCATCTCTCGAGCATCTGCAAATGGCAGGTTGTCATCATCGTCGTCGAGATCCATGCCGTTAGGGAAAGCCAGGCCATCGTCATCAGCAAAGAAGTTTGCATCATAGGCACCAGTAGCACCCTCTTCGCCAGCATTCTCCTCTGGCTTGTGATTTGCCCAGAACGCTTCGTCCATATCACCATTGCCTGAAGTCAGATCCTGGCGACGACGCTTCCCTAGTATCTTCTTCGAGCCCATCTTGGCCTTTGGCTTGAGGAACAATTGAAGTAGATTGCGTGAATTGAAGTGCTTGTCGTCCGGCAGCAGATTGCGACCCTTCGTCTTCCATTGCGTCTTGGGTAATGAGACTGCGGAGTTGGAGCTAGCCGGAGTGTAAATCAACTCAGCAATAGCAGGATCGAGCGGTGCTGCAAAATCAATTTCGAAAGGCTCCTTTTCCTTGCGCTGCTTGGGTGCCGCAGTGCTAGGTGCTGCGTGCTCTTTTATTCTGCGAATTTTCCAGTGCTCTGGGCCAGCCCAGTTTTTCTGTAGCGCATTGTCAAAGTAGCTCAGAATATTCTCGTGGTCGTGGTTATTAGGCTGATGAGACATCGAGATGGCGTATGCATCCTCGTCACCCTCCTCGCCCTCGCCGTCGGCATTATCGTGATCCATCCGGTGAACTTTGAGCATCGGTTCTAAAGCAGCTTCCCGAGCCCATACCTCTCCTCCATCACCGAATCCAGCGTCCCCACTGAGATCAAAGCCAGCCAGGGTGCCATCATCATCATCAAACCCGACAGCGTTGTCATCATCCAGCATAATGCCAGACGGATCATCAACTGGGTGTCCATCCTCATTGAGCTTGTCTTGTCGCCATTCTTCTGGGGCCTTGAGGAGAGGAAGATCCAGTGATCCACTGGGATCACCCAAGTCCAGGTTCTTGAGTGATGGGCAAATATCTTGTTCCCCGAGACGGTCCAAGTCTGGGAAAAATTGGGTTGCTAGTGAAGCAAGGTCGATCTCTGTGTTGTTCTCAAAAGTCTCGCTTGCTGTTGGCTGGGGAGGTTTCGGCTGGTCCTCTGTCTCCTGCTCCGGGTCTGCAGATTCCTGGCGGTCATCTTCGGCGGTCTTGGCATTGTCGTCCACGGCGTCATCACTGCTGTCAAATACGATTCTTCCATGACCGTCAATAGCAAGGTGGTTCAAGAGCAAGCCCTTGGCACCTCCTTCATCGAAATCTGCCGACGCTTTCTTAAATAGCGGGTCCACAGCAAACTCGAGTTCGAACTTCTTCAGCTGCAGGGAGGCAAATGATGGTGCTAGGGTGGCTTCGTGAGAGCGTGTCTAAAAACCAGTCAGCCAAATCCCGTGACGTCCCATGCCATATACACCATACCTTCTTGCGCGACTTGCGAGGCTGGCCATCCTCACCTTCCTCATCCTCTTCGCCCTCCTCTCCCTCCTCTCCACGCCCTCTCTTGTCACGGCTATCAGCCAATCCGCTCAGAAGTTTTCCGGTCTCTGTCGCGACACTATCCACTCGGCTGGTGTAGATCTTGACACATCCATCAAGAGTGCAGCTAGCTTTTTGGAAGTTCACACCATCTCCTTCCTTCAATAGTGACATATCGTGGAAGTAATCGATAAGCGCAAAGTTCCAGGAGTTGTTCGCATTGATCTTGTTATCGGTAGCCATCTTCATCCATTCCTCAAAATTGGCTAGGATGGGCACGCGCTTCATCGGCGTCACTGCGCGACCATTCACATCGCTCTCACGGCCACGGTGACTAGATCCCCGGGGGTCGCGGGACTGTCGCTCCCTTCACGGTTGTAGCTGGTGTATCGGCGGGGTGGCATAGGCGTTTTGACTGCGGCTTTGATTTGACTCATCTGGCGATCATGCAGCGCTTGACGGGCCTCCTTGCGCGCGGCCTTCTCGCCCATATCATCATTGAGGGGTATTCTGATATGGTCAGCTCAGTGTCAGGACAAGCATCCGGAGGTACGTACTTGACCGGCGAGTTCTTATGAGGGGTCGAAGTGCCGCCGGAGCGGCGATGAATCTTGTTTGCGACACGCGGCATGGTTGCGGTTGCCCCCTATGGGGGATATCGATAACGTCGGGATGGAAGGTTTGATGGAGAGGGGTTGATGTCGACTCAAAACAAATGGGGAAGTCGGGAAAACAAACATACAGCAGGGCAGAGAGACCAGTGGCGCATGAAGTCACGTGGGCGTTATGTTTTGCCTGATATCCAAGGCCATGTAAAGCCTAACTTAAGTTAACTAGATAGCAGGCAACAGGCTGTTCTTCATTTCCTTCTCACGCCTTCCAGACATTGTTTTTGTACATTCAAGCTGATCATCCTTCACTGCTATCTACAGTCATCCTACATACGTATTTGCGGCCTGTTACATGTACTTCGGTCCTGCGATAACCATCCGACTAAGCCGACTAAGCGCATTGGCCCACCAGGCTGACATCACCGCTCTCACCGCAGTGCATCAACACCTGTTCGAGTCTACATGAGATCTCGAATGTCGATAATTTTTGTATAATCTGATCTATAACGTCCTTATGCGTCTCATGATGCTGCCCTTTTCGCCACAATGAATCAACTGCCACCCTTCCTGCAGCTTACCGTCCCCAAGAGACCTCGATACTCAACCCGACCATTCTACATCACGCTGCTTGTGTTCGCAGTCCTAACAACAGCAAGTCTAGTCGTTTCAGGGAGAAATGAGCCGGGATCTTTTGCTCAACCGAGTACCGCGGCAGGGACAAACCTCTTCAAGCGAGAGGGCGAACCAGAGGTACCACTCCCTCCAAACTACTCCCCTGTGTGATGACGCCAAGGGCTAATGCTTTGTACCACGTCCGGTAGTGCCGCTCAGTTCGCAAGGTGAGAGATCAATGCGCGTTCGTTCGCGCCAACTGTCCAGATCATGAGGATGGCTTGATCTCCTACCTCCAACTCTATTATTGCACGCTGGCCGATGCGAAGCCGGTGGCGTTCACGATTTTGATTCTCTGGCTATCCCTTCTCTTCAGTACTATTGGAATCGCAGCCAGTGATTTCTTGTGTATTGATCTCAGCACACTGGCCAGTATTTTGGGGTTGAGCGAGAGTCTCACGGGCGTGACCTTCCTCGCATTCGGCAATGGGAGTCCCGATGTGTTCTCTACGTTCGCCGCAATGCGGTCGAACAGTGGAAGTTTGGCGATTGGTGAGCTGATCGGGGCTGCGACTTTCATCACCTCCGTGGTTGCGGGCTCTATGGCTCTGGTCCGGCCGTTCAAAGTCGCACGTAGAAGTTTCGTCCGAGATGTGGGCTACTTTGTGATTGCCATTTCGTTCAGCATGATTCTGCTTGCTGATGGAAGGCTTCATGTATGGGAGTCCGCTACGATGGTAGGTCTCTACGTCTTCTATGTCGTCATGGTCGTGACCTGGCACTGGTATCTGGTTCGGCAGCGCCGAAAGAACGAGAGGACCTCGCAGCGCGAGCCCATTTTCACATACCGGACAATCAGGAGCTGGAAATTGAAGAGGCTGAGGATGATGATCCCGGTGTAGCCTCTGAGTCACGGAGTCTACTTCGCGGGGCCTCGACGGAGGATTTCGATCTTTTGGAACGCGCCGATGTCGTCCCTCTCTGGAAAGAAGAGGATAACGAAGATGATGAAACCCGGAACCGGTATTTAGCCGGGATTCGCGACAACATGCACGTATATCGTCCCATGCAGTCGAGACGCAACACGATGAACCCCATTCGTGCTAGTATTGTCGGTGCATTGGAGTTTCAATCCGTGCTTAGTTCGCTCCAGAAATCCAAGAGCACCCATCACAAGCCGACGATAAGTTTAAGCAGCTATTCAGATGACGGCGAGTCAGATTTCGATAGGCGCTCAGTGGCCTCCCATCCTCGTGCCAGTCGGCCATTCGGTTCCAACGACCGCCTGTCACCTAACAGTGCAGCTGGTTCTTCTCGGGTTCGAGCTGTGTCGGCAAATGATGCCGATGGCTTGAAGTTGGACGCCAGTATCCTGGAGCACCGCCCAAAACAAGGTCCACTTCTTACCGTGAGCGGGCCCTCTTACGAGGATACTCCTGGTCAAAACGCCCCGCAGGCTCGCCAGCTCCCTCGAATCGATACTGAGATGGCGCTCACGGCTTCTCCTTCGAATTCTACACATCCATCGTTGAGTCCAAGTCCGGATGTTTCACGTCCTGCCTCCCCAGACCACCTCGCCCCCTCAGCTGCTTTCCAGGCTCCCAATTATCAAGCCACAGGAACAAATGAACGCTCCCCAATGTCAGTATCCCCCGGTGGTCGCACTGTAAACAGTTATCATTCTGGCTTTGGCCTAGAAAGCCCTTCAGTGCCTTTCCCATCCTATACCGATTTACCCCCTTCTGCGCCACGACCACCCAGCATTCGACTCTCAAATCCAGCAAGCCCCTTGGAACGGCTTCAAGTCCAAGATGGACATGACGACTTTGCTCATGTAGGCCTTTCTTTCCGAAAACTCCTAAGGAAATGGTGGCCTGACTCGATTCCCCCTCCCCAGCAGATCGGTTGTACCCTCTTTCCGACCCTGGCAGGCTGGAAATCCAAGAATATCTGGGAACGACTCCTTGGCCTAATTGCAGCTCCCAGCGTTCTACTGCTTACTATCACCGTCCCAGTGATTGAGCCTCAAGGTCCAGAGTCTGTAGACCCAGACCCACTGCCCTCAGTGATCATCCAGGATGTTGGTGATGGGGACAACCCTTCCCCAAGAGTGAGGCTTCCCGCCGACAGTCCAATACTTCTTCCCATAGAACATAACCATGCTGGGTCTGCTTCGAATGCACCAGCACATCCTCACCGCAAGTCCACACACAAACACAGTGGACGTCCACGCTGGGACTCCGAACTCCCAGCTGCCCCACCAGCGGCCGCAACCATGCCCGTCCAAGCAAAGGATTGGAACCGCTGGTTGATCTCAATCCAGCTCTTCACAGGCCCCTTCTTCGCTGTCCTCATAGCCTGGACAACCGTGGACGAAGACCGCCACCTCCGCAACCTCCTCCTCCCGTCTCTAGTCTCCCTCCTCTTCTCCTCAATCTGCCTAACAGCCCTGATACTAAGCACCCGCCGCCGAAACAACCCCCGACCCCCAAGCGCAGGCACCTCATTCCCCTTCCTCCCCCAAGAAACCCAATCCCAACCCCGCACCCTCCCAGCCCAATGGCGTCCCTTCCTCTCACTCCTGGGCTTCCTGGTCGCAATCTCCTGGATAGCAACAATAGCCACAGAAGTCGTCTCCCTCCTCAAAACAATCGGCGTCATCCTAAACATCTCAGACTCCCTCCTTGGCCTAACAATCTTCGCCGTCGGCAACTCCCTCGGCGACCTAGTCGCCGACATCACAGTCGCAAAACTCGGATACCCTGTCATGGCCCTGAGCGCCTGTTTCGGCGGGCCCATGCTCAACATCCTCCTTGGTATCGGTCTGGGCGGGCTGTACATGACCGTCCACAGCGGGAACGCCAGACACAACGAGGCCGTTGGTTCTGGGCGGGTTACTTACGATATTGCTATCTCCAAGGTTCTTGTTATCAGCGGGGCATCGCTGTTGGTTATTCTTGTTGGTCTTTTGATTGTCGTTCCATTGAATAATTGGAAGATGGATCGGAAGATCGGTTGGGGGCTTATTTTTGTTTGGTGTGTTAGTACCTTGGGCAATGTCATTGCAGAGCTCCTTTCTTGAGTTGGCTATTTGTGATTGGTGTTTTTTGGCCATTGATTGGTTTATGGCGTTGGATTTTGCATTTTTAAACGCAACGTATAGTTTTCTTGCATGATGATAATGGTGTGGTATTGATGCATTCAAGACAGCACAGTATAGTCTCTTTGTGTAGATTCACCGCGGAGGAAATATAATATATGAAATGTATTGTTTGTTGAATGGATTATAATTTCGATCAATTTATAGCACTACTTAGAGGAATTGCTACACACAAAGTAAACATGGATGATATGATATCCTAGCCAGTCTACGGTGTTAATTACTTACTACAATATCCTTCGAAGCTGAAAGCAGCTTCAGAGAAACAGAAGATGATAGACAAAACTAATATTATTCCAAGAAAAGTACAGAAAGACTAACTACTCGCCATTATCAACGAATCTCGTGTCAACCGGTCCCAATCATTCAACGCATTGACATCCTTCTCCTCGTCGCTCATCTATACAGTATATACTCTCAACGACCGACTCCATCGTCAATCCTCACAGGACGCGACCAGCAGACGAGCTCGTGCTGCGGTCGTTCACCTGAGTCTTCTTCAGGGACATACCCTGCTGGATAGAAGCGAGGAGGGCACCACGGCCGGCGCCACCGCCAGCAGCTGGAGGAGGGGGGATACCGGCTGGAGGGGGTGGAGGGGGAGCGGCGGGGGCTCCGCCAGGAGGAGGGGGTGGGGGGATGCCGGGGGCACCTGCTCCTGGGGGAGGGGGAGGGGGCGGAGGTGGGGGAGGAGCACCGGCGGGCGCGGCATGCGAGGTATCATCGCTTGGGCTTGGGATAGCGGGGACAGGGGGCAAGGCAGCTGGGGGAGGGGGAGGAGGTGCGACAGGGCTAGCCTGCACCGGGGTAGCAGACTTAGAAGCAGACTTGTCTTCGTCCATGGCGCTCAGAGGACGCGGGGGTGCCATTGTCCCGAAGAGGATACTGGCGAGCTGCTTGGCACTGCCGCCACCGGGCCGGTCCTCGTCCTCGTCATCGGAGGAGTCGAACTCGGAACCGGCATTGGACCAGTCATCGTCATCCTCGGGGCGTGCGCGGGTCTTGCGTTCCAGAGGAACTGCACCGTTGAAGGAGGGCTTGGCGGGTTCTTGTTGTTGCTGGGTCATACGGTGGAAGGGGTTCGTAGACTGAGCGGTAGCTGGCGGCGAGGTCATGGTAGAGTCGGCGGAGGGCTGGGCCATGTTCTTGAAGTAGGGGTTCTTTGACTCGGCATCGGGGGTAGCTGCAGGAACACCACGGCTGCTTTCAGGCGAGCTGGCCTCGGGGGTGGGCACGCTCTCAGGTTCAGGTGCCGCTGGGGGTTCGGGGATAGCGATCGTAGGCACTGGGGGAAGGGCGGAGAGAACCTGGCTCTGCGCCGGGGTGCTGTGCTGAGGAGTGATATCGGCAGGGCCTTCTTCATCGGATGAGCTCTCATCCTCATCAAGACCCTCGAGCTCACGCTGCAGCTGTCGCTCGCGCTCCTTGGCTGCCTCGAGCTCCGCACGCTGAGCTGCAAGGCTAGACTCTTGTTCCTTGGCCTGTCGGCTAGCTTCTTCCCTACGACGCTTCTCTTCCTGCTTCTTGATCTTGCCCTGGCGGACTTGTTCCTCAAGAGCCTGGAGTCGAGCAGCTTGGGCATCCTTCTCCTTCTGGAATTCCAACTCACGTTGGTTGGCCTCGTCCCTGTAACTGTATTAGCTATTTCCACCGTTCCTGTTGCTTTGGGCTAAACTCACTCAAGACGCTTGGTCTCGGCCTCCTGTGCTTCCTGTTCTTCCTTAATTGCCTGCTCACGAGCAGCCTGCTCCAACTTGGCGGACTCCTCCGCCTTCTTGGCATCAGCCTGGCCGGCACTGTCTGTCCGGGCCCGGCGAGTAGGGGGAGCTGGAGGTGGTTTCTTGCCCGCAGTCTTCGAAGCCGCGGGGCTAGGACCACCCCGTTCATCGGCAAGGCGACGCTGTCTCTCCTGTTCCCGCTTGGCATCTTCCTCCTCGGCACGCTTGACACGGTCCTCACGTTCCTTCTTCTCGCGCTCCTGACGTTGCACAAGAGTCTCGCTGGCGTCGCTTGGCTTCAAACCGGCAGCGGCCATGCGCTCAGCAATCCGCTTCTGCGCACGCTCCCTGGCAGCAGCCACACGGTCCTCGTGTGTGTTGCCTGAGAGGGAGCCTGATGATTCAACGGACTGAGGCATGGAAGGTCGCGCAGCGGGAGATTCAGCCGCTGAGGATGCGCGGCTTTGCACCTCGGGCGATGGTCTTGACCGTTCCTCCTTGCGAATATGAGCAGTTCGAGAGTTACGGCTCAGGTCGTAGATGAAGTCGCGAGTGATATCTTCAACACCCAAGGCATCCTCCCAGCGACGCTTCTCATGCTCACGGGTAGAGTTGCTACCTTGATCACGAAGGCTGTCTTCTAAACTGCGGGCAAAATCGCGCACACTCTCCTCGACATCACGAGTCATAGCGTCATTGCGCTCCCGTTCAGCCTTCACGTTAGAGCTCTCAGTCTCCAAACGACGAGCAGCTTGGCCATCTTCATCTTCCGAGACAGGCGCAGGGCGTCCAGCAAGCTCGGCAGCCCGGGCTTGCATGCGAGCGCGAGCGCGGGCCTTAATTCGGTCCGCCTCGGTCACAGTACCACCGGGGCCGGTTCCGATAATGTTGGAGGCACCACCAGGGTGAGCCTTGGCATCCTTGAGACGGAAGAGTTCGAGCTTCGCATCGGCAATCTCACGCTCAAGACGGCGCACATCAGATGCAACCTGAGGAACTTGGTCCTCGTAGGACTGCAACTGGCGACGGAGAGACCTACGCTCGGCTCCGCTGTCCAATTGGCGGAACGCGGCATTGGGGTGGGTATCGAGGTCATCCTGCACACGGCGGATACGGTCCATGAGGCTCTCTGCCTCGCGACGGTCCTGGCGGTCAAGAGCATCATCATCCTCTGCCCGGTTCTCATCTTGGAAATCGACGGCGTCAAGCATAACTTTGGTCTCCCGAATCTTCTTGTTCAATTGCTCGACAGAGTAATCCTCATCTGATGCTCCTGAAGCGGCGGGGGAAGGAGTACGAGCGTCGTTGCCAACACGACGGCGAGCACTGGAGCGGTAACCACCGGCGGCGTCATTGTTCTTGAACATAGTAGCATCCTTGCGGGCTCCGGGGGAGTTACTACCACCACCGCGGAAGGAGTGATCCTTGAGATAGCTGACACCAGTCTTCTGAGGCTGGAGGAACGCCCCGGTTGCCTTCCGGGTCTCCGCATCCTGGGAAAGAAGCGATTTCACTGTACCAATGGAATCATTCAAGTGTCTCGTGGATGGGGGAACAAGTTCAGGGGGTAGACGGTTGGGCACAGGATATCCGTTAAGAGCACGGTATATCATGTGCATGGCCACAGCGAACTCATCCATGTTGAGGCGGCCACGGTTATGCGGGTCCGCCAGAGTCCAAATGCGCTCCAGGTCCTTCCGGTTCAAACCACTCTGACCCATGATCTCAATAGCTGTCTCACCGCTGACAAAGCCCTTTCGCAACCCATCCCATGCGCGGAAGAGATCATCATAAATCTTCTTCTCTTCCTTGGTGATAGCCCAGGCAACCGTAGCATTACCCGAAAGAGCAGCTGCGCTAAAGCCGCCTTCACGGCCAGGCTGTGGCATAAGCTGCTGCTTCATGGCATCGATATTAGGCAGACCTTGTGCAGGAGTGTTGATGAAACCCCACTGGCCTGGCATACCAGTAGGTTGAGCTGTCAACCCAGTAGGCTGAGCTGTCAGGCCCATTCCGCCAGTCTGGGCCGGGCTCAGGTTTGAGCCGAACCCAGTAGGCATAGGCGGCATTGGCGGCCGCGGGCCAGTATAACCAGTTGCCTGCGGGTTGGTCATAAATCCGGTCTGCTGAGACTGGAGGAATTGAGACTGGTTCTGGCCAGGGAAGCCTGTGGGCTGGGGTTGCTGGATACCAGTCTGCTGGGGGAAGAAACCAGTGGGCTGCGCGGTCAGCTGCGACAGGAGCTGAGCATTATTCGGCTGCTGTGGCACGGGCTGTTGAACAATCGGGGGTGTCGAGTTGTTCTCCATGAGAGGAGCGTCGAAGTTGGGGACGTTCGTCCGCTGCTGTGGCGGCTCCGGCTGGGTATCCGGGACATCAAATGATATGATATCCACCATACTAGAAACCTCATTCTTGATCTTTTCGGGTAGGGAAGGAGGAAGCTCGCGGCCGGTGAGACGAATGTTGCACAGATACATGGCCAATGCAAACTCGGGGAAGAACAGCTGCCCAGACTTGGTAGAATCGGACAAAACCCAGATCTTAGAAAGGTCGGTGCCCGTCAGCTTCGAGCGCATTAGAAGATCTCTCGCTTTGTCGCCTGTTATTTTCAGTCAGTATACAAGCCATCGCCAGAATCATTGGGTAGCTCAGGGAACCCACCATCCATTGTCTTGCTGTCACCAACGGCAGACTTAAAGAGCTGCTCAAACTTGGCCTGATCCTGGGCAGTAATGAAGGACAGCCGAATACTAGGAATCTTCGATCCAGTCTTTGGCGGCACCTGGGGAGGCGCGGAGGCCCCGGCATCTTGGAAGGAGTTCGCGATCTCAGATGAGGTCTTGAATCGCTGCGGGATCTGGGGAACCGGAGGCGGCGCCTGCGCCTGGGTCTGAGGGGTGTATCCAGTGAACTGGGGTTGGAAGCTCTGCGCTTGCTGCTGTTGCGGTTGTTGCGGTTGCTGAGGCGCAGCGCCGGGGAAGCCAGTGTATTGGGGCTGAAGTTGGCCTCCAGGGAAACCGGTCGCTTGAGGCTGGAGTTGTCCCGCGGGGAACCCGGTGGCTTGGGGCTGTAGCTGTTGGTTACCGAATGGCGAGGGCTGACCGGTGAATCCGGTGGGCTGCGGAGCAAAGCCAGTGGGCTGAGGCTGCTGAATTGAGGGCTGCTGTTGCCCCTGGGGGAATTGCGAGTAGGGTTGTTGTTGCTGCTGTTGCTGCATGAATGGTGCCTGGCCAGGACGGCCACTGGCACCACCCCCGAGGAAAGTATTCGACGAGGAAAACATTACCGAAACCACGCTTGCATGGACAAAACAGATGCAGAAGAACTAAGAAAATTGATCAGAAGAAAGAACGAATGCAAAGATGGTACGTGGAGTAGGATCTCAGGAGGATGCGAATGACGCTGCCCTGGACGCGGAGGCACGCTAACCCAACCGGGTGCTTAGTCATTGTGCCATACAGAGATATTTTTGGTTCTACAACATTTACTGGCAGAAGCAATGAGCAGATGCATTTCATTGGTATCATGGTAGACACATTGTGTCTCTGCAAATCATGGCCGGTCTAAGCCTGGCTGAAATGAGACGAAAAAGCAAAAACGAGCCGCAGAAAATGGGCTATCTATAGATCCCGACCGAAAATAAGAGAAGAAAGGCAAGGCACTAATGATCGCTGCTCCATGCGCCGGATTTTCAGACCCCAGAAAAGAAAATGGATGAAGTGAGCCTTCAGACCACTTACTCGGCGCCTTGCTGCTGCTGGTTGGCGGCGTTGGCCATCTTGCGAAGCTCATACTCCTTGGTAAACTCGCGAGAAAGGATACCCAAGTCCTTGATCAGAGCATGGCAGGCGTTGATAACAGCCTGGCGAGGAGTGACTTCACCATCGGTTTGAACACGCAATAAGAAGTTCGGAGTCAGAGGATGGGGGACCTGGCAAGTTCTTGTTAGCGTTGCTCGGTTCAATGCTGCATCGATCAAATCCCATACCTTGTAGGCAGCAAAAATGACATGCTGGGTCTTGAGCAAGCGAGTGCGCAGCATGTTGCCGAGGGTGTGGTCCTCCTTGTGGAAAGTGAAGATCGCAGCCGAAGGAAGGCCTGTAAAAGAGTCAGTCAGGGTGTCGAGTTTCATCAGATCAACAAGCCTTACGAGTGTCGACCTCGACGTCGATCTTGTTCTCGCCGGGAGCGAGCAGGATCGCCTCGTACCTGTACTCGACATTAGCATCTGAATGGTTCTATAGGTGAAGGTTCAATCGTGTGGTGGAGGTGGGATGGAAAGATAAGGTGTTGTAGACCGAGACCACGGGCACCAAGGGCATCCCATAGACTCGACAGAACTGACACATCAGGGACCTCATCTCCTGCAGACATGAGGCTACGCTCGTGGCGTGGGGCAGGAGCAGAGCCCCGGCGGCCATAACGATCCTTGGCGATGGCCGCCGTGGTGGTAACGAAGGAAAGTTCGGGCATTGTAGGGTAGCTCATGGTCCAAAAAAGAAGGGTATGGGAAAGTGACAACAAGAAGAAGCGGGAATAATGGGAGATCAAGAACGTTAAGCACCCGGGGGAAGACAGGCCAAAAAGGAAAGAGCGATGCTTTTCATCCTTCTTATTTTGCCCCAGGGCCTAGGACCCTGGTAAGACCTCAGGAACTTCATCTCTCGGGGAACAGAAGTAAATAGTGTACCACACTCACCGATCAGGCGCGTTCATTCTGTACCAAAAAATGAAGTTGTCGTGATGTGCGTGTCTATGTAAAATCGTCCCCGGTAGACGAGAAGAATAAGACCGAATGAAATTCAATCCCAAGATTGGCGGCGGTTTGATATACGTCTCAAGACCTCGCCGGCGTGAAAGGTAACCTTGAGTGGACGCAAGAAATGCCCTTCACTTCCAATACGCGCGTTTCGGCTCCTCTTTCGCTTGGTTGGCCGGTAACACGCAATAAGTCAAGCAAGCTCCTGAATTTAGGGTCGCTTTAATGATAAACGGGATAATACGCCGGTCTTCTTGGTGGCTTGCTTGATGAAAAGTAGTGGGAGCAGATCCATCGTGATATTGATCATGTGATGCTATCTATGTCACGTGATGTTGTCGATCTGTCTATATTCAGGCTGTCTATTACTCAGGTTATATACGTATATGTTGTATATTGTCATCAATCCAAAATACAAACAAGAAATGAACCTATTTCGGATGACCTTATTGAAATTGTACAACCACGGATGTATCTGGGTCGACAGAGTCCCGCATTGCGCTATAAACAGTCTACAGTATACACCATCTGGCAACATCGATATACTGCAAAATACACCAATCAACCAATCAACATTCTCAAACCCGATACCTGAGGCCAATCTAATGTTAATTACTTTCACACAAGAACATCCATGGGTACTATACGTCCACAGGTCCATGTACGCAGATATATTAATAAACATCCACCCACAGAAAAACCAATTAATCTACACAACAGACACACACGTAGACCATGGACCCCAAAAAAGACACAAGCCGATGTAACCGGCCACAAGGCCCGAAATGTATTAAAGGAGTCGAGCCAAGAAGACCTGAAGACGCTTGAAAAAAGGTCGTAGGAAAACCAAAAAAGGCAGAGTACGTACCCAAGACGAAAGGCAGAAACATGAAAAAAGAAAGTGACAAACAAATCATATAAATAAGGATGAAGAAAAACGCCTGATGTCTTCCCACGCCGATGCCAGAAAATGGAAAATGGAAAGAACAATCGAAGTCAAGTAAACTAGAAACACAAAGAAACATATGTATCATACTTGAGAATGCCGTATGCCGGATGCCGTATGCTCAATTTTCTTATTCGCAATGCAATGCACAGATCGGAGACCAGGGATGCATGGAGGCAATATGAAGCCGAGACATTTCCAAACAGCAGAACAAGGCCTTTGAATTTGATGGTATGTGCGTGATGATTTCATGTCATAGAGGAGTGAGAGTGAGAGATTAAGGAAATAGGAAATGCAAAGGAGACATGACATGGAAATAGAGAGAAAAAAGAGAAAGAAAGAAAGGATGGCTATACGGCGTGAACAGGTTATCTGTTCAGATGCAGATGTAGAGAGTGTCTCGTGGGTGAGGGTTTGAGGGGAGTGACAGAGAGCCGGGACTTAGTGTACAGCACTCAGGAGATCACCGAAGCCAGAAGTCCCCCGCTTCAGCTTCCAGCTGCTCTTCTTCTTGTCGCGTTTCTTCATCATGTCAGCCCATGCCTCGTCGTCGTCGTCGTCCTCGTCGGATCCGGCCTTTCGGTTGCCAGATGGGCTGTTCCGTGAGACTGGCCGCACTGTGACCGTTGCAAGGGAGGATTTCGGTAGGTTAGGGTGTGATTGCGACATGGGCAGGGCGGGGTTGTGGTTTTCATCGCCCCAGGGTTTGTTCATGGGGGAGACCGCTCGGTTGGCTTGTTCGGGTTGCATAACTGACACGGGGCGGTAGCGAGATGCCATGCCGGCATTGCTACGCTCCGATGGAGCAATGGAAGCCGCGTATCCAGTGCTGGGACGGAACGGACTACCAGATAGGTTCGGCATGGGAGAACCGGTCCGGCGAGTGGAGATGTTCGGATCTAGCATGCTCAATGTGCGCTGGTCAATGTGAGGAGGTAACGAGGGCGGCACACCAAGAGTGGAACCTGCAGGCATAGACATCGGTCTCATATTTGGGTTGACACCGGCCATGGAAGGAGGGCCTGTCATAGAAGGTGAACCCATGGGCGGCATTCCAGGCATCATCATTGGCGGCATAGGCATACCGCCCTGCATCATGGGTTGACCCTGTCCGCCTTGCATGTGCATCATTTGCTGCATCCACTGCATCTGCATCTGCATCATGTGGCCCATTTGCTGTGACAGCTGGATTGAGGCCTGTTCTCCGGCGGTGACGTTGTTTTGTTGCTGGGGCATCATCGAGTATGGCCTCGGCACACCTCCCATATCGTGCATTGCGTGTGTGTTCGGGCTTCCTCTGCGCATCGCCCGCGCCCGTTCCTCGTTCGCGATAACACCAACAAGGCCTCCCGGGGGAGGCATCTGATTCTGATGCATCTGATGAGAGGTAGATCCTCCGTATACAGAACCACCGCTGCCGCCGCCTCCCATAGCCAGCGATTCACGGTTGGGACCATTGTGGATACCTGCCCCAAAGTAGGGGTCCTGTGGCAAGTTCCTCGCGAAGACAGGCAGACTGCCCCGGTTGCCTTCATTTTGTGCTCCCGTTGTCGAGCTCGAACTCGAGATATACGGCGGGGCCATGGACGCACGAAGGTTGGGGTTGGAGCTGACATTGTTCAGGCGGGTAGGCGGACGATTGCGATGGGGGAATCCATGTGCTGCCAAAATACCCAATGGCACATCATCGTCCTCCTCCTCGCTGCTCTTGCCGCTAGTAGATTTGTCTCCGTGGGCGGAGAGACGGCTCGGAAGCAGATTGGGTGTGCTGCTGCTACCTCCACTCGTCATTGGGTGCAGAGATTGCGCGGGTGCTTGTTGACCAGTGATTTTCATCATCTGCTGGCGGTAAACGGAGAGATGGGCCTCTTGCTTCCGTCGTTGCCGTTCCGTCTCACGCTGTTTCTCTACTTCATCTTCCTCATCGTCGAAGTCGTCATGCTCGGACTCTTCGTCACTCTTGGTGGCATTACTATTTGACCGTCGGAGCTCTTGCTGTTGGCGGTAGTGCTCAAACTGAGACGGTGTCATTACCTTGTTGCCGGGAGAAGTCGACTTAGGCATGCTTTCAGCAAATTGCACGGCCAATCGTGCATTGTCCGCGATCGAGGCATCCACAGGGTCGGCAGGTGCAGGCGAACGACGGTACTGGAACATATTATCAGGTTCGGGGCTCAGGTGCTGAGCATAAGCGACTCCCTTGCCCTTGTCCACAGCAGAAGGCCCACCGGAGCTGGGAGCATCGGCCCACTCTGCAGAGCCTTCCTTGCTCCACATGAGAGATTGCCGGACCATTTTTGCATCCTCATCGTCAAAGGGCACGGATTCCCGCTGTGGTGAGTAAACGCCACTCCTCCGCAACAACCCCCGGTCGGACTGTCCTCTGCTGGGTCGATCCAAAGAACGATGGGAAGTGGTGGCCTCGGATACGAGATTCGGCGACGGTGATGGTCTTCGCAAAGCAGTCACTGTATCGAGGGTGGACTGGCTGTGGTTTGCTGAGTACGCATCCGGGTTATGTAGCAGTCCCTCTTCGGATGGGCGACTACGGTGACCACGGTCCCAGGAGTAGGGAGGTGACTCGATGACAGGGGATCGATCGGTGTTAATCGGAGCAGGCGCGCCAGCCCTGCTAGACTGGAAACCGGGGAGGGCATGAGTCGGGGGAGACGAGGAGTACTGCGATACAGTTAGTGAGATGCGCCTCTGGCTGCGATGAATCATAGGCCTTACCTTTCCCGGTTGAGGCGAAGGATCCCGCATCACACTCTGTCGGGAGTTCATGTTGTCGAACATCTTATTGAAATCATCGCTCGAGCCAAGAGTGAAGTTTGTATCGGGCAGCTTGGGAGGTGTCGCCGTGCTGTCGGTGCTGCCGGTCACAGGACGGGTCTTCGCGGCATCTGGGGTTCCCTGTCGAGGAACAACGGGCGCAGACGACTTCGAGAAGCGTCCACCGAAGGAGAATGTCCTCCCTGCGGCACGCAGGGCACCTGAGAGCGGGGATGGATCGGGTATGTCATGGATTCTGGAATGCGGGGATTGGGTCTCGTCGGGCGGAGGGACCTCTGTAGATGACGGCAGGGTGGACGACGAGCTTAACCTTGTTGACGTAGAACTTTCGTAGTTGCCACTGTCACGCCTCCCAGTCAGTCGTTTCCTGAGGGAATCCATGGTCGAGGGGCGGTCATACCGATGTTTGTCCAGGGGTCGCTCGGTCTCGGCAAATATGTTGTCGTCTTCTAGCATCGATGGCACCACATTGCCTTCGCTGAATCGCTTCATCAAGGGCGCTCCGTCTGTCATGGATCGTTGGGGACCGGGTCGCTCGAAAACTCGAAAGGAGGATTGAGGGGCCTCCACGTCCTCCAGCACGTTACCAGACGACTTCCGCCGGTTGAAGCTCTTGGGTAGTTTGATAGGCATCGCAGTGGTGACCTGGAACTCGACCAAGTTGTGCTGTGATCCACCTCTTTGTATTGACTCAAGGGATCGCCGATCCTAGAGTGGCCCTCGGAAGCCTGACGTGTCGAAAACAAATAAACCCGAATAAGCGACAAGTCAGGTACCTAGGTAGAGAACCGCGAGGGGGTAAGGCAACACCGAGCCGAATTGAAGATCAGGGGTGCTGAGGAGAAGTCAGTCAAAGAGAGAAACTTCTGGACAACATCAACTCACTTTTGCTTAGCGGCTGATCAGAACCGGCAGGAATCCACAGAGTGGATTTCTCTCTTCGATCTGATCCTCACAACAAACTGGATAATAGTTCCTGAATTCCTTGCAGGGCTGTGTAGCCAACCTGCAGAGGATATCCGTAAAAATTCAAGCCAGGTGAAACCAGTGCGGAAAATCGTCGTCCGTTTCACTTCGGACTCCGCTTAGATTTGCTCAGACGGCCAGTCGAAGAAAAACTGGAGACCTGTGGGGAGTGGAGTTGGAATGGAGTTCTACAGATCCTTTGCCAAGAGGAATGTCAAGAGAGAATGATAGCAGGAATGAAGAGAAAGTGTAGAGGTACAGTCTCTAGTCTAACGTTAGGTTATACAGGCATGGCCTGAGGTACTTACACAATGTACATAATTGTGGAGAGATTTTCCTACTATTTTACTCCATTTTTCAGACTATCTCTTAATCTAGACTGTGTGGGATTGAATGTGAAACCTCTTTACTATACATAGGGGCCTTTGTATACATGTACACACTGCTAAAAATAACCATACTCCACAAAGAGGCGAATCGCTTGGAATGTCAGAGGAATGCAGTTAAGACGAGTCTCGAGTCTAGACTTCACAACTAACCAATATATGTACGTGCGAGAATACCTCGCTAGCCATACAGCAATCCACATGCAGACACATGTCACTGGCACGGGATCACGTGAAAATTACAGTCACCTGACCCTGAGCTATGCCATTGTACATTTCTCCGACGGTCAGTGGAAATAGCTCACGATGATCAGGGACTGATTTGGTCTGTACGACTGTGACACAAAACTCGAAAAGCTGATGGCTACGGAGAATGTACTACATTGGGAGAAACGGAGAATTCAAACAGATACATAGGACTCCAATAGATACCCAAGATATCAAATATCAATCCCATGTCACATTCCAACACCTCCTACCGTCTATCTCGGATTATAAGTTATCTTACAAATTGCCTCAGACAATTGCTTGGGTTTGGGCCAGGAGAAGCTTATTTGGCAAAGTGCAGGTCGTAGTTCAGCCACTTGCGGGCGGTCACGCCGGCAACGTCAAGGCCAGGGGTACCGTAGGTCAGCGGGGCATAGAAGATGAAGCCCCAGATGGTGGCGGCCAGGATGACAACAGTAGCGATCCAGCCCGCGACGAGCGACTTGCAGCCCATGCGCTCCTTGGCGGTGATGAAGCGGCGCAAGCTGCTGACCGACCGGGCCTTGGACTTGCCTGTGGGGTCATCGACCGGGGGCAGGGCAGTGCGGGGATCAAGCGGCTGCAGGTTGAAAATGAATTCAATCAGTGCACCACACACCATGGTGGAGGCCAAATGGGAGGGCAAGTAGTGGTGCAGGAAGCGCTGACGGCCCATCAGCCAGAAGGGGAAGTAGTGCGCAGCCCAGCACAGGAACAAAAATCCGGTGCTGTTGTACAGACGTGAGCGAGTACCAGGGCCCCAGACTGAAACGTATAGGTTAGTCACCGCCACAAATGGTAGGGTTAGCTTTGATTGAAACTTACTTTCTTCCAATGCATCCACACCACGGCGGAGGGAGAGCTGATCCGCACCGACAATACCGGCGAAAACAGCCAGAAGACTGCTAGCAATCCACCATCCGATCGGGTTACCCAAGAAGTAGATTTGGCCGCGGGTCTCGTTCTTGGTCCAGAAGCTGACACCACGCAACAGGAACGGCCACTGGAATGGCTCAGTAGCATAGGGGTGGCTGCTGGTCAAGGCGTTGTTGTGGTGGAACATGGCACCCTGGAGCTCGAAGTACTTGCGCAGGAAGGGCAAAGTCTTAACCTTGCGCTCCTCTCGCACCAGACGGGGGCTATCCTCCTCCAGGTTCTCGATGGTCTCGGCGTACCATGCGTTGCTAGACTGCAGAATGTTCTTATTACCGTTGATCTCAGCTTGCTTGTAACCCCATTCGGGCAACGGGGTTGTGTGCGTCCACATGGCAACCCGAGTCGGGACGTGAATCAGCTTGAACAAACTGGCAAGGGTACGGAACTCTTGAGCGGTCTTGCCTGACTCAATCTTGAGCTCGAACAAGGTGTCGTTGTGACGGTCGCCCTCAGCCGCTTCTTTGGGGACAGTGGTGAACTCCTGGTTAGTAGGGTAGAAAGGAGAGGCAACATCGTGGGTGAGGAGGTAGGACTCGGTGCCAACATGACGGAGCTGGATGATATCACCGTTCCTCACACTGCGGGGCTCAGTCACATCAAAAGGCACGGCGGGCAGAATCTGCCACTGGTTGTTGGTATCATTGTGGGGGTAGCCAGTAACCTGCTGGCCTTGACTGGAAATACGACCATCATCATAGCGGAGAGGGTACTTGTCCCAATGGCTGTGGAGGAAGACCTTGGTGTCCTTGTGGCGCATAGTGATGGTGTCGAAATACTGGATGCCAACAGACTGGGCAGTCATCTGGTTATCACTGAGAGTCTCCTGGAACTCGGGGGTCATGAACTCGTCGCCGGGACCGGACCGAGTGAGGATGGCAAAGTGGACCTGGAACCAGAACAGGTAGAACAAGAAGGGAATGACAACGAGACCGACAGCACGAGCAACAAAGTGCTTGCCCCAGCTGATCATGTCAAGCGCTCCCTGCTGGCGGTTGATATCCAAGAGGTTCCACAAGTCGATGAGGACAGCCGCACCGATAGTAACGAAAGTGAAGAAACCAACATATTTGGTGGAGATGACACAGCTCATGCAGAAGCCGGTCAAGAGAAGCCACTTCCACCACTTACGACCAAACGGTTGGTGACGGAGCTTGTAGAATCGAACATAGCAGAGGATGCTGAGAGCCATAGACAATACGAGAGTGGAATCCAAGAGGATCAGACGGTCCTCACCCACGTGAGCGTTGTCAAAGACCATCAGACCGGCGGCCAGAACACAGGCGGGCAAGGAATATCCGGACTCCCACATAATGAGGAACACGACGGGAATAGTCAGGGCACCGAGGGTAGCCGGCATAGCACGCAGCCAGAGGTAGGGCACGTTGTTTTCGATATAGGAATCGCCAATGTTCTCGAAGAGGAAGTGTCCATCGAAGCCGATCAGCCAGCCCATAGCGGCGAACAGCAGCTTTCCAAATGGCGGGTGGACATCGAAGAAGTAGGTGCGTTGCAGATAGTACGAAGCGAACTAGGACCAAAGATCAACGTTAGATGAAAAATCCCCCTTTTTCGCGACAATCGCGTCAAAGCAGTCGGCTCCATACCTTTCCAAAGTGAACCTCATCGAAAACGACCTCGTTGGGGTAATCGATGCGGTAGAAGCGCGTAGCGAACGCCAAACCAGTGAGAACGACTATGGCCAGCCAATAGTCCCATTCCGAACTTTGCTTGACCGGTGCCGCAGGAGTCAGAGAGCCATCATCAGAAGGCAATGCGGTGTAAGCCTCCTTCTTTCCGCCTCTCTTCCGCAGAGAGGGCGAAGGGGACGACATTATTTGAAGAATGAAAGAGAGCGACCGAGAAACTACCTATAGTCAAATAGACTTCCGGGGTGTCAGCAAGAAAGGCAGAGAAAGCAGGAAGAGAGAGAAAGGAAAAACATACTAGAATCACCAATAAAGCATGACCAACAATTGAGGACCTGCAAAGGAGGAAAAGGAGCAGAGGGGGCGGAACTGTAGAACGTTGCGTGTCTTCTTTGCACAGGCGACAGGGCGGTGGCCCATGCTCCACTTGTATACTTCGTTGAAACACGCCCTACGTAAGCCTTGTTTGACCATTATATGGTCATTCAAGGATTTGCAGAATGTATAAATTAGTAAACTTCATAGAACTGGGTAACGTCGGTGTGTTTCGACAAAAAAGAAAGACACTGTTGCTCTGGTGCAGACTTATGACCTCTTTTTGACCACTTTTTCGGACTATTTCTCGGAGTATTTGCATTCAATTGGACAAAACTAACAAGGCTCTATACATATCTATCTGGTCCAAGATGTTTCTGTCCGTTCCTTTGAATGCATAAACAGTCTTACTCGTTAAAATCCCTTTCAATTAGCTTGTCCTAGGGCTCGAATGCAACAAATAACACACACCATTGACTGCGGGACAAAGATATATATTAAGATCCACCAGCCTAGCGGCCCAGCTATACAACCCGCAAAGCATGCATCAAAAACATATCAAGCACTTTCCACATCAGCATCTCGAATAACAAGCCACAACCCCTTCCGAAACCGCACTTCATCTTCTGTCTCTCCCTCAGTCGAAACAAAATCCTTCCTATCCCTCCGCCTCCGCCCAAAATCTTCCTCCGGATCCCTAGCATTATTCCTCTTCTTCAACGCAGCATTAAACCGCGCTAACCTAGACTTAGAAGACCAAGGCAAGATATCAAACTCAAGCTCGGCAATCCAAGGACTCAAAGTCTGAATCCGTCGCTGACACACATCAACCTCCTGATCCTGAGTCCTATCACCATGACCAAGAACAGCATCGTTCTGAAGCTGCAATAAAAGCCGCGCCTGACGATTAACCTTGCCCTGGGAATCCAAAATAGGAATGCCGGCAAGATGGGCCAAAGCATCCAACTTGGCAATTTCAACCTTCAACCCGCGCGGACCGAAAATGTCCCTGTTGGCTGTCTTGATAGCCGAGTCCGTGCGGCTCTTGGAAACACCCTGGCTACCCAGATTGGCGAGTCCACTAACTACAGACCCGATCCAGTGCAGGGGGAAGAGGATCGGGACAGAGTTTAAGATCCCGCCTGTTGCGTCTAGGACTTGGAGGGGTGGGCTGCTAGAGATGTCTTTGTTCAGTTGGTCGAGGAAGGCCAGGAAGGATTCCTTGGGGAGGTTGTGGGATTTGAGGATTGGCGCGTAGGCGCGAATGAAGGGGGAGTCGAAGGAGGAGTTTATGGCTGGGATTGCGATTGGTTTGTGGGTTGATGATGATCCTGGTCTTGTTTCTTGGATTGGCGTTGAGGGTGCTTGTTCTTGTTCTGGTTGTCTTGAGGGTACTGGGGCTGTATATGCTGGAGGGTGGTCTGCTTCCTCTGAAGCAGATGGGCCCATGGCCTCGAATGGGTTCTGTTTCTTTTCATCGGCCATGGTGTGTTGAGGAGGAGAAAGATGGTGTTGGTGTTGCGGCCGATGTCCGTCTTATATGGGGGCCAAATGAGCCTTTATCTTTGGGAGTGGGGGCAGTAAGCTCAGCCTCGAAGTAAGTTTGCCCTACGGTGGCTTTGAATGGGTCTGATTATCCTGGACCAGAAAACAAGCATTGACTTAGCCACAAAGTGCAAGGTTGTTGGTCTGGGGATCTGATGCCAAGATCTTACACTACGCCTTATCGGGTATCCTGTGCGAGATGTCGTCACCCTCTTTACGGAGTAATGTACAACAAATATCCAAAAAACGGCTTTTCTTAGCAAACGCAGACTATGATGGGAAAAAAAACATTGACATTCCCAAAACAAACTCCAAATGCACTCCAAATAATGCCCGTCAGATGCAGAAGAGCTTCACAAAATATGAAACTGGATTTCAAACAAATCATGGCTCATGGGTATCAATCAAAAAACACCTTAATCATCATCGGATATGTCCAACAACTCCAATTCGGTCGACACCAGTGCCTGGAACTCCGCTCGGAGCATTCCCGTAGCCTTGGCCAAGCGGAACAAGCTCTTGATACTGGTGCCGATATGCTGCTTCACTCCAACCTCACACGTAGACCGGTTCTCGGCTTCTTGCTCCAGCCTGGCAACAGAGCTACCCGAGGATATAGATGCCGGCCGTGGGTGGTTCAAGGCTTGACCAGCCTCATCAGTGGGAATATCAGCAGCAACGTACCCGTTTGTACGTGGCTTATCCGTATCAGCCCCATCAATCTGGCGACGAAGCAGGCTGGCCAGCATATCCCCGTTCAGGGAAGACGGTCCCACCTCGGGCTGCTCTTCCGTTGGATCGTGGCTATCCATGGCCGGCTGCACGTCCCCGTACTGGGAGAAGTACGTTTGCTCAGACAGACCCGATGGGCCATGCGTTCCTGAGCCGGCAGCTGGGGCCGGGGTCTTGACTCCAGGCGTCCGGCCCGGCGTAGCATCGTACTGAGCCCAATAATCGTCGTCGTCATCTTCGTTTTCCTGGCCATTCTCCTTGGGCTTCTCCTGCTCAGCAGCACCAAGCACATCAGTCATGAGGTTTCCCTTTGCCAGAGAATCAGCCTCTCCAATAGAAGAAGCCCAAGTGTTCTCCTCATCGGCAGGTCCTTCACGCGGCAGAAGCTCGGCAACCCGCCAGCCGCGGCCGCCTCCCTCTTCGTCCGTTGGGCACCACAGATAGAGCACAGTAATGCTGTACTCGGGCAGAGGGACCTGCGCCTGGAGAGTCTCATCATCGATGCGCTTGTATGTGGCCGGGAGCTCATCGGGCAACTCGATCTCGCCCGATACGGGGTGCGGTTCAAAGGTAGCACCGTCTATAATCCTCTGCAGGCGCTCTGCCTTGCCTGAGTCCCAGCAGAGCAACTGCAGCCATGAGTCTGTGGAAGATGTAGACAGGGAGCTAAGGACGTTAACTCGTTGGCGCAGAATAGGAGAGAGGAGTGGGAGGAGAGCTGGAGGCGCACGCGGGGACACAAAGGCTAGCGGGAGGCATGCGAGCAGCGGAGGGAGTAATGAGCGTGTTTCTGGGGGGTTGATGAGTTCGACCATGGCGAGTATGGAGGAGAGAAGAAATGCGGAGGTGGAGGAATAAGAGAAGCTCCAAAAAATGACTAGGGCTCCATTCGCCCGAACGTGGGGCAAAACAGAGCAATCACCGGGCCGAAAGCTTGCATTTCCATGGCTCCTCAGGTCCGTCTAGGGCTCAATCTCTTTGTTTAATCCTTACCTCGACTGCATCTGATATCTACATATTTCTGCTTCTATTGGTCCTTTTCGTTCTAATTCACGCTAGATTATTCAATCCGAGCACCTCGAAAATTTTTTGGACGCTATGAAACATTTTATCTTCCTGAAATGAGTATCTTCTCGGAGTAGAGTTAGCCCCTAGCCAGTTTTAAAACATTTTATGACTGACCAAAAAGTGGATAGAGCATTTCAAAGCGGAAGGGGAGCTAAAAAGAATGAAACGCTGCATGGATATATTGTCACAAATATCGTACGAATACTGCATGAAACCGGGTCTATAGATGATCCGACCGGCATAGCTTATGTAACTAGAATGGACCCCATAAATAGCAGGAAATAGGGGTAATGGAAATACAGAGTCATTTACATCTCCAATTGGGTGGATACAGGACAAATCGTGACATATATCGACTGCCTGAATTCCAAGGCCTCTTTAACCACTCAATCCTTAACTAAAAAAAGTTGAGTCTGGCAGTATTAAGTCATGTTCTTGACAGAAATTGGATACTTAAATAAGCAGTACACACGGCTAAGTTATCGAAGCTTCCAAACTCGGAAGCCAAAGGTCTCAATTATATATACTTTGATACTATACCAATGAAGGTATACATCCATCACTCTTCTTGGTTTGCACCTATTATTACCTAGTCTATAAACTTATAACTATCATGAAAACCGCACACCATGTTTAAGAGGATCAGTCACCCTCTCATCAACAAGAATCGACAACCGCTGATCCTCCAAGTCAGCCAACGAACAAGGCGAAGGCAGCGTATTACCACAACTATCCTCCGCACCTCGAACCTCCCTCCAACGAGCGAGCTTCTCCCAAATTTTGCCGTCTCGAATTTCTCTGAGATACCAATACTCATGATAGTCACGCGGACACTGGCGCGGACTGTGACGAGAAAGAGAGACTTGGACACGCCGAGGCATGAGTCTGGTGAACAGAGGCCAGATACTCATGAGACAAGCGGCGACGAGGACGACCCCGCCTTCGATGACTGCTAGAGTACTCAGTTCTATTGATAACCCTGTTGACGGGGAGGTTAGTTACCCCGTTCTGACGCATATTCGGAACCAAGGCTTACATGTCGGGTCATGCATGGCTGTTCGGTAGTCGGTGAAGTATACCGTCATTCTTAGAATGCTAGCAATGGCCCCTCTGACGATAATAGTCAGCATTGCACCGATTGGTGAATGTTTGGCGAATGATATTAAACAACTCACATTCCACTTAGCAGGAAAATACCTGTCAGAGCTATCTTGTGTCCGCGAGGCGCATGCAGTTTCCAAACAGACGGGATGGGCAGCACAAGGATCAGAAGACCAGTCAAAGAATTTAGGGGTGAGAGGACGAGAAAGACAAATGTCCCATGAACACATCCCTCATTCGTGATGCTCTTGGTCCCTAAGATCGCCATGTTCTGACATTCGAAGAAAGCGTCAACAAACGTTGCAAGTCCTACTCCGAGGACTAAAGACCCAACAATATATGCGCAGATCTGAAATTTGCGGACGGTGAAGATGCGCACGTAGAATAGAAGCAGAGCTATCTTGGCTGGGGTGATATTGAATGGATAGTCGAGGACTTGAATGGCGAATAAGCCCTAACCTCTGTCAGCTTCGTTCTCAAGATTTGATGCTTTGGAGTTGCATACTTTGCTCTGAAGAAGGGCCTTCTCGGGTACTTGAGATATGAAATCATAGTGGTATCCCAATCCACCGATTGTGGCCACTGAGAGATGAGTTGTCTGTTCTTTTTGCAAGAATTACTGGTTGTTTGTACTCACGTATGACATAAATTGTCGATTTTGCCAAACTTGCAATCTATATAGAGCCCGATTAGAATACTCCGAGTCAGAGTACAAGATAGATATACATACCAGAGAAAGCAAGACCAGATAGTCATCAACACGAAGTTTCATCCGCTGCATACACCGAGTACCAAGCCTCGCCACAACAAAGAATATCTGCAAGATAGCAATAGCAGCCGCAGTACCTACAACGGCATTGCCACTATACAGCGGTCGGTCCCGATCTGCCCTGTCGTTAAACATGATAGGACGGGGCCCTCATCGAACCTCCCATCAAGCAAAGACTTTTGTAACGCTCTATAGCAAGAAAAAGAGCAACGAAGAACGGGTCCACATAATAAATAAAAAAGAGACACAAACATTTTTCTGTCAATAGCATACGTATGTGGAGTCCGGCAACGGAACCAGACATGAGGTATATACACAATGTACCACGCAGGGCAATCCGAACAATACTGTGGATGTGAAGTCTATCGAGTATCAAAGTTGTCACGCCCGTGGTTCCAGACCGTCTACTGTGTTGTATTTGGTCTGCCGCTCTTTCTCTATCCACCCGCCCCCAACGTACCCCAAGGGTGCCTGCTCTAAGGGTGCCCTAAGTTCCTGACATCATGACCTATTTTCGTCTTTGGTTCCGTTGGCTTCGAAAAATCTTCAGAAAACTGCGTCTACCACGTTTGACCTCTGCGGGAAAAATTACTCTTTTCTCGATAAAACCCTATATTGACTCTGGATGCTGTGAGCTAGTCCGGGTCTATGGTTTAATGTAAAACTTACTTGACTATATCGGGGAGAGAGACAGATGCTCGCATGCTTGGTTTCCATCTTCGGAACTCGTAGGTTTTCATCGGGCAATCTTGGAAGGATCTTCGGTCAAATTCGTGCTTATCACTGCTACTCCGGGCATTTGCCATGAGTCTAGATCAAGTTTATTTAAGTGTCTACTACCTGGATATACCCACTGTGGAATGAGTAGATCGCCGTTTCGATACACCGGAGGCCACGTCGTTGTAGATGAGGGACTAAAACGGTCAAGGTTCATTTGGTTTATTGTTCGTTGGTTTGTTGGCAGTCCCCGCAGTCGAGACCTTTCGTGATCCCATGCCCTTGCACGACACCTGCTTCAGGTATTTGCCAATGCGGCAGTTATGAAGTGAAGGAGTTGGCGACATTGGCGGGCAATACCTGTGGAGGAAAGAAGGGAGCCCGGGGGGGGGGGGGAAAGCGCCGCCGAGCTCGGGAGTTACTTACTGGGAACCACGGTATATCACCCGCCAGTAGTAGCGGACTAAGCCTGAGTAGGTTACAGCCAAAAGGCAAAGGTATCTTTCTTCATTGCTATGGCGTTGGAATACATACACATACAAGTATGTGACTGAAGGGAAGGGGGTATATGGCAAGACGGGGCACCTCGCAAGGAAAAAAGGTAGACGGGGAAGATCGGCCCGCGCAAGAAAACTACATCAACAATGATTGGGAGACACAAGTCATTGGAGTGGTAGGTCTAAGCCACCCGATCCTTGTTCTCCAACTTTCCCACCAACCGCTTCATATCAGTCCACTCCTCCGCGGGCACTTCTTCTGGCAGTCCGCCCAGGCCCTTGCCAACTTCGAAGACAGTAATGACACCATCAAGACCACCAGTCGCAAGACGTCGTCCTTCTCGCTCTTCCCATGCAACCTTATTAAGGCTCTGAGATAGGATGCCGCCACGGCCGCGGGATGGGGTGGCGCGGACGGCGGGTACCTCGGTGTCTGAGGCAAGGTCCCACACTTCCACGTTTCCTGCACCGTCAACAAGAGAGAAGACGCCAGGTCGGTGTGGGGACCAGCGTGCATCGTAGACCACATCTTCACGGTTGATCTCGAGAATGGGCGAGACCACTTGCGTCTGGGCGATGCCGGATGTGGCAGAGGCTGTTGTTGCTGGTGGCCGCACACGCCAGAGTCTGACACTCCAGTCTAGACTGGAGCTCAACATGAGATCTCCTAGATCGACGGGTCCACGGCCGGGGTGGAATGCGGTGGACATGATCGGTGCTGCATGTCCACGATACGCTAGGCGGTGATCTGTGCCAGCCTTGGCTCCAGCTCGGTCGTACCGGTGGCAGGGGTAGATGCCTCCTTCTTCGGTACCAACAATGAAAAAGGTAGGATCGGAGTGAGGGAATGACATGGTGGTCGGAGCGAGATCCTCCGTCTTCGATGGGGGAGGTGTAGTCAGTTCCAGATATTCCTGCGGTTGAGAAAGCATATCGACAGTCCAGCCACAGACCACACCGTCCGTAGAGGCCGTCATGATGTTGTGTGCATTCTGTGTACCAACAATTGAGATGCTGTAAACGGGATGGGTGTGTCCAGAGCCAGTGAGGGGAGTCTTCTGTACAGGGGCGCCTCCGCCAGCGCGTGAGGAACGAGTGTCCCACAGGAGGACTTGTCCAGAATAGGAGCCACCAACAATAAGGTTTGGATGGTAAGGAGAGAACTTTGCGGTGAGAATATCAGAGGTGGAGTGGAACACATATTCCGGGCGAGATTGTAGGTGTTGATTCCAGACCTGGACAAGCCCATCTGGTTCGTGAGGAGCAGAAGGGTTCTTGGTGTATGATGCAAGCAGCAATTCAGGGAACTTGAGATGGGTCAGTACATAAGACATAAAATCCATATGAAAAGCGGTGCTCACCTTGGGAGAGAAGCTCAGGTCACTGATCATACGCTTCTTACTCCATCGTTCGTCCCAGAACTGGCACACTTCCCGAATTCCTCTTCGTTTCTTGCCCGTCTCTTCATCTTCTTGCAAATCTCCGTCAGTTCCACCAAGCTCATAGTCCGCCAGTACATCGTAGTCCTCGTCTAAAGCTCGCTCAATAACCTTCGAAGAACGCTCCACGAAATCCAAGAAATCGTCCGACGATGTAACAGCCTTCAATTCGTCGTCGTCGAGTGTACGCAGAGGGTATCTTAATTGTGAAGATTGCGCAGCTGTCTTCTCATTATTTTCCGTCTGATTGGTAGCCTGCAGTTCGTCTTCGATTTCTTTGCGAAGCTTCTGTCGGATTTCCTCGTCACGTTCCCGGTCACGTCGACTGAGACGCTTGTTCGACCGGCTGGTACCAGGGACCTCCTCATTATCCGAAGCAACAGACTCCTCAGGGGTCTCAGGTTGAAGATCTAACCCATCTGTTTGTACCGCTTTGCTGTAGGTGACGACCTCTAGTTTAGGTTTGGATTCGCGTTCGAGTTCAGGGGGCTGCGGGGCTTCAGTTGCGGAGGAAGTGTAGGGCTCCTCGCCGACCGTCTGGACAGCAATGGATTGAGATTGTGGGCGCGATGAAGAAGCATATGCGTCGGTATTCTCTCCACTCAGTTGACTGGCGCTCAGTACAGAGGTTGGCCGGCTTCCTCTGCGCGACTGGCCATCAGCGCCATGGCTCAGCGAGGCCGAAGCTGGGCGGTCCACCAGACGAGAAATCAAGTCATCGAGCTCGTGTCTGTTATCAGGGCGACCGGGTGCTGGCGAGATAATCTGCCATTGTGGTTAGCTTCAGTTGAGCTCCATGGATAATTCACATGCTGCATTTACCTCTGAAGCATCACCAACACTAGTTCGGGATGTGAACTCCTTCTGTCGGAGCTCACGCTGTTTCTTCAGCTCAGCAAGCTTCGCCCGTTTGGCAAGGATCTCATCCTTACGCTGCTGCATCGACATCTTGTGCAACCATAAAGAAATTAGACCAGACGTGTCGTCGTGAAAGTGTAGGCGTGGTTTATTTACCCGGGATGACTAAGGGTTGGACGGGCGGCTTCGGAAAAACCTCGCGCAGGGACTGAAGATTGAACCTCGCCCCAGACCATTTCGGAGATTCATTGCCATTGTCGGTTGACACCTGTGAAACGGTCCCTCGGTATCTCGCGATTTAATTCCTTATTTACTCCCGTCCTCCGGATTTATCGCAGAAATGGCTAGCACTCAGGGTGTCAATGTGAGTATCGGCTAAGGGTCACCCTCTCCGCGAACCGGCTGTTGACCACGTCTACGCAACTACAGGTCCTCCGTTACTCGGCTCTCGTTGCCGGTCTCGTCTACGGTGTCTACCACCAGTCCTCTCTCAACTCGATCACCAAGCGCAAAGAGATTGAGCACGAGTACGCCCGCAAGGAGCGCCTGATCGAGCAGGCCAAGGCCGAGTACAAGAAGAAGACCCAGCCCCAGGAGACCAAGACACAGTCCAGCGGACGTACGTTACGATTCCTTGTTGATACGGCTTGACTCAATGCGAAATGATCCGGAGCAGCCGTCTACCCCCCCAGAATCCCCAGCGCTAACAACTCCTCCAGTCATCACGAATTTCGAGGACCCCAAGTTCGACCTGGAGGCATTCTTGCAGGCCAAGGCTGCGGAGTCGCAGTAAATGTGATGGATAGAAGAGTGGAGGAATGATACGCAATGATCTCTTTGCGGAAATCGCACCTCCCCCAGGGTATTAGACGCGGTTTGCTCGAGTCCGCTTCTTATTTCTGTACGATTGTTTGGGTTTAGTCTGCCCCCGAGCAGTGGCATTGCGAGCGAAAGATGGAATGATTTTGTTTCTTATTTTTAGACGTTTTATCTGGGTCCTGTACATACCCTGGGCTGTTGTGCGCCTGTACACTACAGTTGGACCATAAGCAAGAAGCAAAAGATCGTGTTATGCATTCCGGCGTTCCTTCTTATATGTTCCAGACCGATATCGGTTCCGGCGTTACTTTGTCTTCGAATTTGTATAACCCGGACAGAATATGTAGCCATCTAGCCGTGTAGCCTCTGGATGGAGGATCAGATGTATTAACTAGCAACGTTTCCGGGGATCTTCGTTAACTTAAACTTCCGCTGGTTCCAAGCATTTTCATCGCCCCGCGGATGCCATTTGAGGACTGGTTGTCCATGGGCGATACAACGATAGGCTTGGGATGCAGCAACTTTGTCTCCGGGTCCCACGTCCACCCACACTTCGTGAAATTGGCTATTATATTCGGGTCTTCCTGCTCAGCGGATTGCTCGTTGAGACCAAGATATTTTGCTGCCGTGGATAGCCTTATTGCTTCGTAGGACGTGCTCACTGAGATCAAGGTCTTGTCTTGGTAGAAACCTAACAACACGATGTAAGTGACTGCCCACAGACCTGATTGACATCAATACGTACTCTCATATCTCCGTACTAGTGGCTGTAGCACCTCTGGCCATGGGCATTGTCTGAGGATTCGATAAACCTGCTCAACTTGTGTCTGCCATACCGCTCGTAGTAAAGTTAAGCAGTTTTGCAGAGAAGAGTCTTGGTGTATGAGAGATCCGGGCATTCGTTTTGTCAAGGCGCGAGCTTCAGGTCTGTGGCACAACCCTCGTCAGTGGGTTGACAGTCAATAGGATCACTTGACTACTAACACTTGGTCGGTGAGGAGATGGACGAGAAAAAAGCTGGAATAAAATGTGCTTAATAGGGTAGGATCACCCCCACCAATTCCAGGACAGCCGCTGCCTGCGGATATGAGGCATGCTTCATGCTCGTAAAGCGATAAGGCTTCGAAGAGATGTGACGGCGGAGCGTTGGAGCTCACGAGCGTTGCGAGCTGCTCCATGGCCAGTGGAGGCAGCTCCATCTGTGATGTGAAGGAAGTAAGTCGTAGATGGTTCGTATCGCCGATATAGCTAAATATCTCGTAAGCGTTGAAAGTTGCGAGAGAGAAGAGTTCCAACAGTCATAGTATTGCGGGGAGCAATCGGAGGTGGCGCCTCTCGCCGGTGCCAAGACCCTCAGAAGTGACCACCTTGCGTAGCTCTCGCTCTTCCCATCTACACCCACGGCCCTCACCATTGGCACTTCAGCCCAATTCATTCCTTGATTTCATGTTTTAAATTTGATTTCTGATTCCGGACTTTGCTCCTTTTGGCCATTATGGCCCAGTCTTCGCTTGATGTTCTGCTGAAAGGCAGCTCCGGCCGGAACACGCGCGGTCTGTTGCGGGTTATCATTCTCTGTACTATTGCTGCCGCCGCGGTGGCTAGTCGATTGTTCAGTGTTATTAGTATGTGTCAATTGAGAGACTCGATGACCACTGTGCTAACTTGTTTCCAGGATTTGAGAGTATTATTCACGAATGTACGGCTCTATGCTGCACTAGATGCAATCACCTCCCCCAGAACACTCGAACGAGATATTGATACAATTCTTCTAGTCGATCCGTGGTTCAACTTCCGAGCAACAAAATACTTGATTGAAAATGGCTTCTACAGCTTCTGGGATTGGTTTGATGACCGTAAGCATCCCTTACCCGCGATTGCGCGTCCCCAGATGGTGGTTTAACCGAGGTGCTGATGGAACATTTATTGATTAGGAACATGGCACCCTCTGGGTCGTGTCACTGGTGGCACATTATACCCTGGTCTGATGGTGACCAGTGGTGTGATCTACCACATCCTTCGTTTCCTCACTATCCCCGTCGACATTCGAAATGTCTGTGTTCTGCTTGCCCCTGGTTTCTCTGGGCTGACGGCCCTGGCCATGTACTTCCTGACCTGCGAGATGTCCACTTCGCCCTCTGCTGGTCTCCTCGCTGCGGCATTCATGGGTATCACCCCCGGCTATATCTCGCGGTCCGTCGCAGGTAGCTACGACAACGAGGCCATTGCCATCTTCCTGCTGGTATTCACATTCTTCCTCTGGATCAAGGCCGTCAAGAACGGTTCTATCATGTGGGGAGCGTTGACTGCCTTGTTCTATGGATACATGGTCTCCGCTTGGGGTGGATACGTTTTCATCACGAATTTGATTCCTCTCCATGTCTTCGTTCTTATTTGCATGGGACGATACAGCACTCGTGTGTACATCAGCTATACCACTTGGTACGCCCTGGGAACACTAGGAAGCATGCAGATCCCCTTCGTCGGGTTCTTGCCCATCCGCAACAGTGACCACATGTCTGCCCTTGGTAAGTTCCTGGAAATGCTTAACCACTGTTACTTGTACTGACCATCTATCAGGCATCTTTGGTCTGCTCCAATTGGTGGCCTTTGCCGAATTCGTTCGGGCCTACCTGCCTGGCAAGCAGTTCCAGAAACTTCTGACTGCTATGGTTCTCCTCACCGTTGGCCTCGCCTTTAGCGGTCTCGTCCTGCTCTCACTCACTGGAGTTATCGCTCCCTGGAGTGGCCGTTTCTACTCCCTCTGGGATACCGGCTACGCCAAGGTTCATATTCCCATTATTGCCTCCGTTTCTGAGCACCAGCCTACTGCCTGGCCAGCCTTCTTCTTCGACCTGAATTTCCTTATCTGGCTTTTCCCCGCCGGTGTGTTCATGTCCTTCCAGAAGCTCAAGGACGAGCATGTCTTCGTGGTCATTTACTCGGTCCTCGCCAGTTACTTTGCTGGTGTCATGGTCCGCCTCATGCTGACTTTGACTCCCATTGTGTGTGTTGCTGCTGCCCTCGCCTTGTCGGCCATTCTCGACAACTTCCTGGTTGCGTCATCCCCCACCCCTGAGTCTAAGGCTAAGGCCAATGTCGAAGACTCCAAGTCTCTTCGATCGACCCGCAACCCTGTTGTTGGCATCTACTCATACTTCTCCAAATCTGTCGTGGCTTGCTCAGTTACCCTCTACTTGCTCTTGTTTGTCGCACACTGCACCTGGGTCACCTCCAACGCCTACTCGTCTCCGTCTGTGGTCCTGGCTAGCAAGCTTCCTGATGGAAGTCAGTTCATCATTGACGACTACCGTGAGGCTTACTACTGGCTGCGCCAGAACACCCCTGACAACGCCAAAATCATGTCCTGGTGGGATTACGGATACCAGATTGGTGGTATGGCTGACCGCCCTACTCTTGTCGACAACAACACCTGGAACAACACCCACATCGCCACTGTCGGCAAGGCCATGAGCTCGCGTGAGGAAGTCAGCTACCCCATCCTGCGTCAACATGATGTTGACTACGTCTTGGTTGTGTTCGGTGGACTGCTTGGCTACTCAGGCGATGATCTGAACAAGTTCCTTTGGATGGTTCGTATTGCCGAGGGTATCTGGCCCGATGAGGTGAAGGAGCGTGACTTCTTCACTGCCCGTGGCGAGTACCGTGTGGACGAGGAGGCCACTCCTGCCATGAAGAACAGCTTGATGTAAGTGACCCTACCGTTGTATGATTTTAAAACATTACTGACCCCGTAACAGGTACAAGATGTCCTACCACAACTACCAGAGCCTCTTCCCTCCTGGCCAAGCAGTCGACCGGGTTCGTGGCACCAAGCTGCCCACGGAGACCCCCCAGCTCAACACACTGGAGGAGGCCTTCACTAGTGAGAACTGGATTGTTCGTCTCTATAAGGTCAAAGACCTGGACAACCTCGGCCGTGACCACAGCAACGCTGTTGCCTTTGACAAGGGCCTCAAGCGTAAGCGTGCCGCTAAGAAGAAGGGTCCTCGCGTTTTGCGAACCGAGTAGAGCACTGTTTTCTAGACTCGTTTTGAATTTCTGTTGGCTGTTATGATGACATAGCAAGCCATTGTACTGTGTTTTCAAGACTTACCAAATATATACACTTGGTCCAGATACCTGCTAGTAGATCAGTACCTATCAACATGTTCCTCGCTCCCGCTTTGATGTTAGTTCATAAAGATACAGTGGGAGCAGGAGTATAGATCAACCCAAGGTGGCAAAAGGTGGCAATATGAAAAAGAGCGAAAGTGCTACACGAGAGTAGACAGACATCCAAGGCCCATGAATTATACAACATATTCCAATACAATTCAATCCATTCTGTACATTGCAGCACAAATGCTGAGATAACCGCTAAACCTGCAGATCTGAAAAACAAGGTCTTCCCGAAGACTCCGAAACCCCAATTTGCACCGTTGTTCCTTGGCCGCAGCAGGACGTTCAACTAAGCCGTGCGGGTATATGGTACACACCGAGCATATCAAATGACTTGACGGTGTCAACCCAGTATCGAATACTGGGGGGCGTGAGATATGCTTCACTTCTTCTCCGCTGGAGCATCGGGGACTTTGACGTCCGAGAATTCTTCTTGGCCGACGGCCTTGATGGTGTAGGAGTCTGTTTGTATTGGATTGCGGTTAGCACACTGGTCTTCGTAGTTCGGGTTGGGCTTGTTGATTGTCTGCCAAGCGGGCAAGTGGTGGCATGATCCGCGCTCTAGACATAGGAATTCTGTGCTCCAGGAATTGGGGTCGTGCAGGGAGCAAGTTGTGAAGTTGTGATTGGGATTCTACTCACAAACTGCAATTGTGAATGCGAACAGTCCGAAGCCGGTCAGGGCGTTCTTGAAGAGATATGGCCGGCGGGCACGCAGGAGGGCGGCACCCGCACGGTAGTCCTTGCCGTAGTAGGTGGAGTTGAAGCTGAGCAGATGTTAGCAGAGAAGCTTTCTGAGTCTGAGGGATCACACATACATTCCAGTAGCCATGTTGAGGGGATGTGGACGGAGAAGTGGGAGACAAGAAAGTTGAGGCCTTGGCTCATCTTCCGGAGGAAAAGTCTTGGCATCTGAGGCTCCGACAACGAACGCGATGGCGAGAAGTTACTTGTTATACTTCTTATGTATTTCTTAATAAGTGGGACTATTCTTGTCAATTGAGTCTAAATCGAAGATTTAACAGATTATTCTCATATGGTCCCTGTAGAATGCGCGTGTAGGCTACATAGACATACATCGGAGCCTTTGGTGATCCTTGCCCTTTCACATCTCACTTTGGTCGCAACCTCACCATCACATCTCTCTTCACATTCTCTTTACCTCCACATCCTTTCTCAATACTATCCTTTCCCAATATCCTCACCCCCCTCGTTCTTTCGCGATCCAGCTGGTGCGCGTTGCATCTGCGACACCCGCGTCCCCCGAAAACACCGTTCTCCGACTCGGCCTCGACAGTGTCGCATATCTGACACCCACACACCAGAGCCATAATGGCTCAACCCGCCGATGTCGATCAGATCACCCAGCTCAATGCCGCCCGTAACCTCGTCCTGGGCGACGCTGCCTTCTACCCGCAGATCGTGAACGGCATCCTCCCCATCGTGGGAGCTAATACCCGACTGGAGCTGCGAAGATGGGGTGCGGACTTCCTAGCTGAAACCTTTGCTAGTCCAGTGCTAGCTGTAGTCCAGAAGGAGCAACTTGCTCCCAATGTTCTGCAGACAATCCGTGAAATCCTAGAGCTACCGGAGAAGGACACTGCGGTGCTCCAGAGCTTAGTGCAAACCTCCGCTAGCTTGTATCCGCTCGTATTCAGACATATGTATGTCAAAATAAGTTTTTTTACTCTTTCAAGGTGGCGCGGGAGCGCGCTCGAATGCCGAAATGGTCACCACGCTAACAGAATCTTGATGACAGTGTGAACCACCCGGATGACAGCAAAACATGGGAAACTATGAACGCCATCAAGCAGGTTATCTTCCGCCAAATGGACTCTTTTCCATGCCCCGTCAAAATTTGCTGCGCCAAATTCCTACAGCGCGTGGTTCAGGTCCAGACCCCAGGATTGATCTCGGACCCCAGGGTATGTTCTGCGAGCTTTATACGCCTCTCATATTGGTGCTGACTATATTCCAGCGACCGGAGCAGAATGAGACCTCCCTGGCTGTTGTTCCTCGCAACCATGCTCTTCTATCAATCCCGAATCTGGAAGCTGAATCATCGGGTCTGCTTGACCGATTGCTTGGTGTTTTCCAAGAAGAGACCAGGTATGACAACCGAATAGAAATTCCCCCGGATGTCGACGACAGTGCTAACTATGGCCAGTGATGCCCTCCTTGTAAATGCTACCTTAAACTGCCTCGCTCCCCTCATCCGAACTCGTCAGTCCATCGCCAATAAGATTGTAAATGCAGTCTTGGAATTCTACCCTGCAAAGCATGTCCGCCCTCCTTTTACTCCGACTGTTCGCGTCAGCGTCAAGTCCATGGAGAGGACAGCACGAGCTCTCCTTATCAATATCTTGAAAAGGTATTGTATTCATCCCACGGAGAGCGTGGATAACCATTAACATCATTAGGAACCCTAACCACCCCATGGCTGGTAAAATGCAAATGTACATCGAACGCCTGATGCAATCACGTCTTGAGGCTCCTGATGATGCTTCTCGGAAACGCGGATTGCCAAATGAGCCCACTGATGGACTTGATAACGCCAAGCGGGCACGACTCAATGCTTTGACTCCCCCTATGCTTAAGATTCCCCCAATGGCACCAGGGCCCGCAAGCTATGATCGACTGTTCACCATAACCGAAGATATCGGATTGTCCTCTTTCGATGTGAAGCAGCTTCCATTCGATTTAGTACTTAAGATTGTCGTGCCTCTCTTGACACAGGTCCACGATTCGACACTCACACAGGCTACTGAGGTAAGTAGAGCTATGAGGATGATATATTACCTACCCACTGACATTACCTCAGGCAATTCGTACCCGATTGCAAACAATCACCAAGGAACAAAACTTGCAGCGACAGCAACAACAGCAAGCCGCTGCAGCAGATGATGACGACGATTATGAACCCGAATATCAGCCCATGGATGCGGCGTCAACTGTCTCTGAGGAAGCTAGTGCCGTTGCGGCAGAAGTAGCAGATCTCCAGCCAGAGCTCGTATCCTTGGGTCCATTCGTCCTGCCTCAGCCACCTCCCTTGAGCGAGGAAGAAGCAGGAGAAATCGGACGCAGTGCCGTCGCCCGCGTATTCGGCATGTTGAATGCAGCCGAAACATCTCCGGCGCCCGCCAAGAACCAGAGTCAGCAGAAGCTCGGTTTCTCCCGGCTAGCAGGTAGCACCTTCGATAGGGACGCATGGTCTGTTCTTCTTGCTCGTTTGGCTACGCGCGCACCTGCGGGCCTCGAGGAGGATAACCAGAACAAGACAGACTCAGCCGGACGCAGGCAAACCACCATTTCTGATTCAATTCGCGAGACACTATATCGGTATATCCTCGAGGATTTCCGAGGACGACTCAACATTGCTGTTATTTGGCTTAATGAAGAGTATTACAATGACCGGATCAAAATGAAGAGTGCTGCTAATCAACGTGCTGGATCTGAGGAAGAGGCTCAGCCGACTGTTCCTCTCCACTATGATACTTGGGTTGTTCGACTTCTTGATGGTTTCCTGGCTTATCTTGATTCTCGTGATATCAAGGTCTTGGTTCGCTTCCTCAGTGAAGTCCCTGAGATCACCATTCCTATCACTCAGCGGGTGGCCAGCTTGGCCAAGGATCCTGAGCGTGTCAACCTTTGCGTTCAAGCTTTGATGTAAGTTTTTGCGTCGCCGCCATCAAGATCACCTTACTGACTCTCCTTTAGGTACTTGGTCATGTTCCGACCCCCAGCACGAGAGATGTGCTTGAACACAATAGAGGATGTCTACCAGACTTGTAAGTCCCAACCCCACTTAATGCCCATTGGCATGGTCTGTCTAACGTGACCTCAACAGACGAGGAATCCCAACCTGCCGCTAGGAAGGTTCTTGTCAAGTGGCGCCCAGAAAGTGTAGTACTAGCAACAGCAAATGGCGCCGCAGAAGAGCCATCGGCCGCATCTTCACAGCCTGAAGCCCAGCCTACCGCGGTTGCGGAATAATTCACTTGTTGATGATGATTCGAGATGTTGCAATTCTTGTTTCATATTGTGGGCTAGGTGGCGACTTCAATTCGTTCGAACATATGTCTTCCTTGTCTTCGGCCATGTATCTTGGCCTCTGTTTTATTATGCCATTGCCATTATGCGATGTATGTGTCTCATGGTTCGATATGTTTGTGTAGCGAGTTCCCTCCATTTCTTAGCTTTCCCTTAGCTTTCTCCTTTCGGTTTAGGGCTTTCTTATCGCTTCTAGTATGCTGAGTAAATCCGATCACCTAATCGCCCTGTTTGGCCCCAAGTATTCATAAGCTGCTTTGCTCATTGCCAGATACCATCACATCAGACAGGGGGTTATAGATATGATTACCAATGCTTGGAGATTCTGAGGTTGAGATGTTAGCAATGTTCTTTGGATCAGATTAGTTGGCATTCATAGTGTTCTGTCTGAATGTCTAAATCATGGATAAGAACAAATAGGATACTGAAGTATAAGAGGAAGCATCTATCTGGATATAGGAGATATCCAAGTTACGTTCTAAGCGAAAACAGCACAAACCACCATGTCTACCATCCTCATTTCCGGCGCCGACAAAGGTAACATACAAAAGCCAGCTTTCTCAAACTATACTAAATAACCCAGGAATTGGCCGTGGCCTCGTTGCCGAGTACTTTAGTCGGGACAATGTTACCGTAATCGCAGCAGTCCGCAACCCAACCTCACCAGAGACAACCTTTCTTTCGAACCTCTGGACAGGAAAAAGCAGTCGATTGAGAATTATCAAATTGACGCCAGCTCCAACACCGACGCCAAAGCTGCAGTGGACTCATTATCCAGTCAAGACATCTCATCTCTAGACATCGTCATCGCCAACACAGGAATCTTCGACACAGCAGCATTTACAACCGTAGCCGAATCGTCCATTGAGCAGATCCAGGCCCATTTGGGCGTCAGCACTCTCGGATTTGTGCACCTCTTCCAAGCTTCTCTGCCATTGCTGCAGAAGTCGTCGTCTGCTCGATTTATCTTGAGTAGTAGTTTGATGATACTACCATTGGCTGGTAGGTCACATAGAATAGGGTATAGATTGAGGAACTATAAAATGGAAGAATCCTTGCTTCGAATCTCGCAGTCAACAGTCAATATACCCCAATGTATATACTATCCTCACACCCCAAGTTTGCTTTTATGATGGCACAACACACGGTATGCCAGTTCAAATAGACTTCTAAACAAGATTATCGTATTATACATTATGGAATTGATTCAACACTCATCGAGCTAAAGTGGCTGTCCAGAATCACTCGGGTCTCCATCCCTTCGGAACCGCACATCGGAAAATTCCAGCCTACTTGCGGCACTCTCTACTTCCACTCCATCTCTCCAGAGTATTTGCTATATACAACCATCAAGCCAGGCACCAACCTCCATCCACCCTCATCCATTAAGAAACAACCATGCCCACCACTGGCACAACCCTCATGACAATAGTAGGCATAACAACCTCCCTAGGCGCCTACCTAGCCGACTGGAACGATACCCACATCTACAATCCGCGCTGGCCACCCCATGCCAAATTCCATAACGGACAAACAATGTCCATGGGTCTCGTCCTCGGCCTGACAACATTATACTATCTCTACCGTCATGCTTCGACACCTGAACTCAAGAGCCATTATGTTCATACGGCTGCTTGGACGGGCAGTATTTATTGGATCACTCAGTTGAGTGCTTTTCTTTATCCTGGGGCTTTGGCGGTTGATCCTGAGTTTGGGACGTTTGCGCCGCAGGTGTATATTTGTGTAGTCTTGTTGGGGTTTGTTGGAGTTGGGTTGGGTTTGGAAAAGGTTAGGTTGGCGGCTTTGGGTTCTGGGCGTGGGAGGGCTGGGGAGAAGAGGTCTTGATGCTGTGTTTGTGTTCTCGGGGGCTCACTTGGGATTATGGACGAAGGGACGTGCCGGATTTCGGTGATTTGATGGGTAAGAAGGGCAAAGTGCGATATACACCTACGCCTTCTAAGGCTTAGTTTGATTACTTTATGTGTTGACGGCTGCTGTATCTGGACTTGACTACACTTCCACAGTCCCATTCCAATTCTGACTCAATGAGGATATCTGAACCAGCTACAGAAAGGATCTAGGTAAAGAAGAGACATCTGAAGATTTGTGATAATCAAATACAAACCGTGGTATGTACACAAACACGCACAACACCAAGAAGAAGTGTAAGACACGGAAGAGAAAAAGAAAAACCCCAATGCAAGAGATATTCCTCTACCCAAGAAACCAGAAAAAGAAACAAGAAAAATTCCATACCCCATACACCACATGTGACAGAACAATAAAACACCTCGAAACCAGATTCCATTCCATTCAGATATAGGCCATGAATCCAAAGTAAGTAAGTGATGACTGGAGGTTCCCACATATGAACGCTGCTGAAACTCGAAAGCAAGAGATCCGGTATCCCATTCATGCAAACACAAAAACAAACCATCTTTCTTTCGGGCTAGAAAGTAGGACAGTCAAAATACATTTGTAGGCGTAGCAATAACAGAGAGTAAAGAATAGACACAGGGTTTATCACAGGAAAGGAGAAGTCAAGATGCAGAGGAGAGGTGGGGAGATTGGTTGGGTATTAAGGGGAGTTGGCAATTCAATCGTGACAAGTCAAGGGACAGCAATTAGCGGGTTGGCATGTGATTTGAGCCAGAGCCTGTTGAGATCCCTGACTGATGGGGGCGGTAGTGTACCGCATCGACGGGTTTGGAGGAGAGGGATGGGGATATATCCCGTTTGAGACCTGCCGGCTGGAACAAGCCTTGTCGCGCAGGAGGCGGAGAGAAGATGTGGTTGTGGGTGGGGACGTCGGTAGCAGGAGAGCGGTGCTCGAGAGTATGGGGGATATGTGGTTGTGATTTGCGCACATCCAATGGGGAGGAACTTAATGAGCGGAATCCAGATTTGCGGTGATCAGCATCATAATCAGGATTACGGAAAGGCCCTTGTGTTTGATGCCTCAGGTCTTGTTCTATGCCGTAGGGGGTGTTGTTGGCTGATGAATTGGCCGCAGACGCATTCTCGGGGATGGTGGATGCAGATCCATTTGGTGCATTTACGTCTACCACCCGCTTTTGGGCAGCGGGGGTGGTATATGACGATGGCTGCGGATGCTCAAAAGTGCGACCTGGAGGCCGATGTTGCTGTGGGTGATGCTGATGTTGTTGCTGCTGATGGATCGGGTGCTGCGGGTTTGCCCAGGGAGTTTGTTCTAGGAATGCTTCTTCGGCGGCGCGGAAGGCATTCGAAGACATAGCAGACATGGTAGTAGTCCGTGGAGGCATTGCTGATGAATGCCTTGGAGCCGAGGCACGAGACTCGATAGAAATCTGGACCATGTAAGCAACTCATAATGCTAAAGTGAAAGATACAAGTTACTTACCCCCATCTTTTCAAGGTCGTCATCAAGTTCTGTGGGACGTGCTCCCAACAAGCTTGGGGCTGCGGGGAAGCCAACATACTTAGCAACGCCAGCCATGATTGAAACCTCCTGGTTATATGCGGTCTGGTGTGCAATCTGCTGCGAGCGACGAGTAGGGAACGCGATGATATGATGCGGGCTGAGTTCATCTGTCTTGAAGCGATCATGCTGGATGGCATAGAACTGCTTGCTGATATCACTCGAATGCTTCTCACGCACATCTCGGACATGTTGGAAGTATGTGCTGTGTGCCTGAGCTCGCTCAGCGAGGCCCTTGTTGAGCAACGACTTCATGCGGTATCGATACAAGTTTTCCTCGTATTTGATCTTGGCATCCCGGTAACGTTGCACACATTCGATTTGGCGCAGATACTCGGGATGTGTCGGATTCGGACCAGTAAGCATCTCTAGTTCGCGGTTGAGTTTGGATATCCGTTCATCATAAATCCTGCACTTGTGAGAAACTAAACATATGAAATAGGGCGGCTTCTTACTTGTCACGTAATGTCGCGAATTCTTTCTCTAGTGTCGCCAGAGAATCCATAGCAGACATCTTCTTGACAGCTGTTCGGGCGTTAGTAATCATGCTGCCTAGGACTCGTGAGAGAACATACACTCTTCTTCAGCTCGAACAGTTGCCTCCGCGTCGTCGGGTTCATCCCCTCGTTCCGTAGGCTCTTCGTCTTCTCCAAGAATCTCATCAGCGACGTCCTCTGCAGTGCCCTCTGCACCACCAGTTTCCGTCTCCTCATCAGCGTCTTGGGCCCTTCTTCCCTTCCGCTTACCATTTTTGCCCTTCTTGCCTTTCATAGGCGGGGCTGGGAGATCTAACTCTGGAGCATCGTCTGCCGGTGTATCATCATCATTGATAGCCATAGGGTCTTCGAGCGGCTCGGGGGAGAGGGGGGTATCGTCATCGATCGGGTCGCTCAAGTCGCTCTTGATTGAGCTCCGGCGCTTCTTCATGGGCTCATCGTCGCCCAGCTCGGTGCCGGTTTCATCATCAGCCTCAACGCGTTTTCGCTTCTTGCCAATGCTGTCTGGGAGCTCGACATCACCCAGGTCTGGGATATCGGCGCCCAAGCCATTGTTCTTAGAAGACCGTCGCGGTTTACTAGGTGAGTCGTCGAGCGCTTCATCATCGACATCGTCAAGTGTGGTAGATTGGTGGAGCTTGCTCGGACTAGGTCCGGCACTGCCGGCACTTAGCACAATGTCGCGCTTTCGGATATTGTGAGGAGAATCCTCGATGCGCTCGGTTTCCGCCTCCGAATCGTTCTCCATTGGCTTGTCTGATTTGATCGGGTCTTCGAAATCTGAGGGCTCATTTTCCGAGACGTCGTCAATCTCACTCAAACTACTTGAGCGTCCATCATCGTCCATGAGAGGGTCGTCCAGAAAGGGATTCCGATCCCCATTGGGCATGGACTCTGCCCCCGTTGACGGACCAACGGAGGCCTGTTCTCTGCTCTCGGCCACCTCCATTGAGAAGGTTGTATGTGGTAGAGCTGGCGCGAGCACAGGTGAACGGGAGGAAGGAAGGTTGGAAGATATTGGCTCCAAAGTTGCTTTCGGCGAGGTTGAGAATCGCCGCTGGCGTGAGGGGAGGAAGGACGGTCACGGATCCACCAGATAGTGTTGGGATGGAAAATCTAGAGAAATCAAGGATTGGATTAGCTCAATTGCCATGTCAACTCCACAGAAACAGTGGACAAGAGTGTTGGTGGACAAAAAGTGGTTGGTGGGTGCGAAAGATAGGTCAGCGCCTCCAGAAGGCGGTGGTGCGGAGATTGATCATCGGACGCCCCCAGAGTCGGAAACAATCGCCCAGCGTAGGGACTAGAGACCGCGCAAAGTGAATGTACCGACAAAACAGACTCCAAAGGAAGTGGAGATCTTATCTTCTCGCAAAACTGACCAGATGAAAGTCTGGCATTGATGTAAACCTCAAGCGACGTACCGTTTCAACAATGCGCCGGAACCGACGCCGGTGATGAGCACAGCTGCTCGCGACCGAGCACTATTCTCAAAGTCACCGCGTTCCTGGGATGCGAGAGGTAGCTTGAGTACAGGTCCACGCGTACCGCCGCTCTTGTATGTTGTGAAAGCTTTCGATTCGACGAATCCTGAACAGACCGACTCTGGAGGGCGAGGGGAGGTCGGCTAGGGCAAGACGAGGGTACCGAGTCGCAGGAGGACGGACGGCATGAAGATGTTGTTGAGGATCTTGACCAGGACCAAAGCAATGATCAGGGGTGGTAAAGCAGAGCAAAAGAGGGGGTTTCAGCAGCGAAAAGCAGCAGATCGCTATGATGGGGTGCCAGCAACAGAAGCGAGTGACGGGGTTCTGCCGCGTTCCGGCGAGGGCGAGCCTCACCGCCCGAAGAAAAAGCAAGTCACGTGAAGTGGTATCTGACGTAGCCGATGGTATACAACAGAGGTATAGAATAATTGCGTATAGGACGGTGTATGATATATAGATCAGATTAAATAAATCACAGTTGGCTGAAATATACAGAGTGATCTGAATGTGTATATGCAAAGTTTCAATCATAACAGTTACCCTCCGAACATTGACTATCTACTCTGTACACCACAAGATAATATGTTAATGTTATGCTAACAAAAAACGCATGCAGAGAAGATCCTTATGCATCTCTTAGCCATTTAGCCAATTATCCCAATTATCCCATTTGCTTTTAATATTCACACCGACTCTATACATGTCATGTGATAAGCAGCTTCCCGCGCCAAGACCCGATAAGCAGAAAAAAAAGTCGATAGAGATCAACTCCACGTCTCCTTATCACCAATTCTACTGCCAGATCTCAAAATGGGAAAGAAATCAAAGTCCCAGTCCAAGACGGACGATAAGTCCAAGTCTGCCGCTCTTCCTTTCGGAGGTGGTGCTTCTCTGGACCCAACCCTGTCCTCTCTTTTTGCGCAAAGTGTATGTTGATACCTGTGACTCCAATTGCAGAATATTTGACTGATAATCATTAGGCTGGACCTGTGCAAGCTCCTACAGTGAAATACTCTGAGCCTTTCCAGAAAGCGAAAAAGACCGAAGAGGATGCCGACGAAGACGATCTATCCGTCGGGTCGGACGACGAAGAGATGGAAGACGCCCCCGAGGAGAGCGATTCTGAGTTCGCAGAGGAACAGGCTACAGATACTCAGAACCGGAAGCGCAAGCGAGGCGCTGCCGGAGAAGATCTCGAGGAGACATATATGCGTCGCATCGCAAAGGAGGAGAAGAAGGATGAAGAGAAGAGAAAATCCGAACACGCCAAGCGCCAAAAGCAGACCGAGGCCGAGTCTGAATCAGAGGACGGTGAAGAAGCTGAAAACGCCGACTCCGACAAGGAGTCAGGATCCGAGGACAGCGACGAAGAGGAAGACAGTGCTCCCGCCCCGGTGCACGAGAGCTTAGCTGGTCCCACTCCCTCCAGCGAGGTCGAGAAGTCTAACCGTACTGTCTTCTTGGGCAACGTTTCCACCCAGGCTATCAAGTCCAAGACCGCCAAGAAGACCCTTCTCCGTCATCTGGCTTCCTTCTGCTCATCGCTCCCCGAATCCAGCGGCCCCCACAAGGTCGAGTCGATTCGTTTCCGCTCTGTTGCCTTTGCCAGCGGTGGTGGTATCCCCAAGCGTGCTTCTTTCGCCAAGCGCGAGATTCTCGATGAGACCACCCCTAGTACCAACGCCTATGCCGTCTATTCCACACTCCAAGCGGCACGCAAAGCCCCTGCTGCCCTGAACGGCTCAATGGTTCTGGACCGTCACCTGCGGGTGGACAGTCTTGCGCACCCCGCTGAAATCGACAACAAGCGCTGTGTCTTCGTGGGCAACCTTTCTTTCATTGACAGCGAGACCCCCGAGGAAGATGAGAAGACCGGCAAAAAGAAGAAGGTCCGCGCACCCGCCGATGTCGAGGAAGGTCTCTGGCGCATTTTCAACACCCACACCGGAGGAAAGGACAAGAAGACCCTCAAGAAGAGCGTTGAGTTTGTCCGCGTTATTCGCGACAGCACCACCCGTGTCGGCAAGGGCTTCGCGTACGTTCAGTTCTACGATGGAAACGGAGTCGAGGAGGCCCTTCTGCTAAACGAGAAGAACTTCCCACCCATGCTTCCTCGTAAGCTCCGTGTGACTCGTGCCCGCAAGATGGCTAAGAAGCGTGACTCCTCTGCTCCTGGTGCGAAAAACTCTCGCGCAGACGAGGCAAAGAAGACCCTGCAGGGACGTGCTGGCAGGTTACTGGGCCGAGCTGGTGCGGCCAAGGTCAATGCCGAGGCAAACAGCACCATTTCTGGTAACTCCTTTGTGTTCGAGGGTCACCGTGCTACTGAGGGATCATCAACCCTTAAGATGAAGGGCAAGAGCCGTGGCTCTAAAGCCAAGAAGAATAACAGAAGCATGAAGCGGGCTGCGGCATACAAGGCTGCTGGTGGCAGAAGGAACTAAAAGCAAGAGATAGTGTATCTTTATGGCGTTTTGAAGGGCATTTGAATATATCTTACAAAATTCGAGAGCACTGCATATACATCGGGTTTTAGGCGGCGCGACCTGGCTTTCCCTTTCCGTTTTAGTGCTCACCACTTGCCGCTTTTTGCTCACTGAAATAGAAAGTCAACAACAGGCGAAACATGACAAAGCAAATTAGTCATCAGCAAACACTAGGAAAAGAAAAAACCAAAATGAGCTTCTGGCACAAACCTACAGTATCACTTTCGCCAAGAACGAATAATGTCTTCGACTAATGATGTCGATTAAGTTCTTCTCCACTCTTTCAGTGAGATCCCTAGAGTCGAAGCTCTTTACACGCGCCTGCAGGAGCATATTTTCTGACCGTTTGATAGTTTTGGTTACCAAGCAACTGACAACTGACATACTCGAGATCAAGTTGGAATTGGATCGCATATACCCAGACTCGTAATCAATGTTTCTACCAGGGTTCAAGTACTGAGGAAGTATGTTCGCACCTTTTGATTATGAAAATGTATTCTCGGCGCTGTTGATTTGCAATTGAATGCAATGTGGATTTGGAGATATATATTTCAGAGGGAAAAAAGGTTCATACAGCTCTATGTTTGCCGCTCGCCGTTCAGAACGTTCCTTGGTGTCGTAGCGTAAAATAGAGAAGCTTCAAGGTTGAAATGGGCCAGACTACATAGAGCATATGAATGGATAAAAACTGGCAAATAATTCATCTCCAGCTGTGACTAAGAATAAAAACTGTCTGAAACATAAAAAAAAGCGAAATTCATCCTCATCCATTTTCACCTAACGAGCCCATCTGCTAACCCTTCCATCGCGCCACCAGGACTCATCGCCCGGACCTTTTCAACGAAGAGCACGCTCATATCCAGAACTTCCTTCGGAGATCCCGAGTTGCTGCTTGAGAAGGGCTGAACTACCCTTCACGCGACATAAAGTAGAAGTCTGCTCGTGTTGCTTGACAAGGCGCTCCCAGACCTGGAATCCCAGACCTGAGCCAACTTGCGTGGCCATTCCCATCTTCTCAAATCCGACGACAACAAGACAGCTTTGAGCACGACTCAATGCGACACAGCTTCTCTTCCGATCTGTGATGAACCCCAGACCCCATTGCCCACCTGGCCGAGTAGTTGAAAGTATCACCACAGGGCTTTCGGAGCCCTGTGAGGAGTCCACGCTTTTAACACGGACCTTTGAACGGCCGAGCTTTCGAAGCAGCTCAGATAGGACCCGGCGCTCCTCGTTGTAATACAAGAGCACCAGAATGTCCTCCTGCGGGAGATTGGGCACCTTCTTGGCCAGAGCATCAACGAGGTCAGCGATATGACTCACATACTCGGGATTTAGGACCGAGGTTCCTCCCTGACGTCGGATGACTGTTGTGCCAGATAGAGAGAGGAAAAACGAGGAACCTGGCGAGCACTTGTATCGAGTAGCCATGAAACTTGAGAGAGCTTTTGACGTCGCTCTATTCGGAGCTGACTCCACGGTCTCCAGAGTACCGTTGTAGAATTCCGTGCCAATGAACTTGCAAATTCCAGCCATCATACAGTACTGCGTTCGCAGTTGTATGTCGGGATGTCCGGAGAGAATCATTCTCTCGAAAAGCGAGACTTTTTCGATCTGGCCGCACTCGTTTTCATTCCTGGAGATCACAGTCGGTGGTAGCTGCGCTGTGTCTCCACTCAGAATGACCCTCTCCAGGCCTACGTAGTTAGCCATAATTGGGACCAAGCAAGTTGTCTCTGAAATATGCGAAGCCTCCTCAATCAAAACAAAGCGAGGGCGGAACCCACGAAGGATATGTCGCCCCGCGGTGTTCGCGGTACAGAAGACGACACGGGCCTTCTTAAGAAAGAACTCCTGGAGCTTTCCCCACAGCTTTTGGAAGCTGGCTTGCAGCTCTCGTTGTTCAGCAGAGAAATTGTGGGCGCTCGTGCTTGTTGGATCGATTGGCTCCACCTGCAGCTTGTCCATCATCCGTATGACTTGTTGCCAGCAAGCAAATTCCATGAGCAGTTCTGACTCTTGATTTGTTTCCCTCCCTGGCGAACCCTGCAAACGAATTTCATTCTTAACGCGGGTCATGATGAACCTGCCCAAGGAGAGGTGCTGCAGGTTTACACCCATGCTGGTGAGGGAGGCTTCAAGACTGCCAACGATTCTTTCAGCGATGTCTGCTCGGCTCAATTCATGAATAGCTCTTTTGAAATTTTCACGCAGACCAGACACCCGATCCGTTGTGAGCACCAGATTTTCTTTGAAATGCATATCCACTGATTCAGCGAACTCTGTTCCCAATCGGTAGACTTGGGAGATATCGGCATTGCCATTTTCGTAAAGAGACGAATAACGTTGTGCTACTACATCGAGACCTTGATTCTGTCCACAGATCACTAGGATTGGTGCTTGGGTAACGTAGCAATACCTGATGATGGCTGTGGAGACAGCCGTTTTGCCTGTTCCTGGCGGTCCCGTGATTAGTTTCATGAAGCCTCCATGGGGAGAAAGAGCCTCTCGGATTGATCTCTTTTGCAATGGATTTCGACTATCCTTCAGCCAACTGAGGAAGCTGGGGATTCTTGTATAATCAAGGTTTTCATTGTCTGGCGGCAAGAACTTCATGACGTGGTTTTCATGCGCCAAAAGCAATGCCTTCATCTTGCTAGATGTTGGTATACCAAGGCCTTCATTGCCTCACATGACATTCTGAATTGCTTTCCTGGCTGCCACTCGCGGGACATTTGGCTGTCCAAAGGCAACACGGGCTGTCATGTTCAAAACGCGACCTCGAGACATGTCATCGTGAGGCTTGTGGATCTTGGCAAACACAAGATTGGTTGGCGCACCGAGCGATTTTTATGTCTGCCAGGGACGAGGAAACGACGTGGCCGTGCCAAATTGGGGTTTTGGCTGCCTTTCCGGAATGGGATTTACCAAGGGAGGACTGGCCCTGTCGAGCGACAGCAGTGTGTTGGCTGGATGGACCACCGGATGAATAAGATTGCTGAGGCTTGCCGCTCATACCGACAACTAAAGTTCGTTCTCCACTGACCGATGGCTGGGCTCCAGATGACTTTGCGAGTTTCGGCTTCGGCCAGGGCCAAATCGGCTTATTGCTTTGCTTTGTGTCGCGTCCCTTTGGTGTGACTTTCACCGGCGTTCCCACATCTGGGAGTTGCAGGGTTTGCTCCGCATCACTCTCTCCTTGTTGGGGCTGGATTTCGAATGCGACATAGTATGTTTCAGTCGATGATGAAGTCGCTGCGCTTTCAACCTCAGAGGCTGGAATCATGTCGAAAGTGTAATCGCGATTGAATTGGTGATCATATCGACGCTCATTTGTAGCAACTTCCCGTAATAGCCCAATAGACGGTGATATGTTTATACGCGTCAAGGCCAGGTATTTCGAACTTATCGGTGAAGCAATGGCCCTCTGCGGTAATGTGAGACCAGCCTCGCTCTCGTCTTCGATGGTGAATTTGGACACGGAGGTCATGAATGTCAGGGATTTCTTCCATTCTCTCGAATCTCTTCGCCTGGGCATGCCAACGGCAATCATAGAGTGGAAACGGCGGGTAGGTTAGCATCGGCATAGACTTAAGCGTGTTCCAGTTTTCACGAAGAGCAGCAGCCCGGACCCGCGTGCATAGCCTGAAACGATCCCCGTATGCAGCGTTGATGAAGAGTTCGATGGATTCCTTCTGCGGCTCATTGAACCATTCCAGCGATGACTTGGCTACATCAAACCCATAGACGTAGGGGCCAACCTTGGATGCCCAGCGAGCCTGGTATCCATCTGCGCCGGCATTTCCTTGGCAAGAGCTTGCCTGCGCTTCCGTGAGGCTGATTGGTGTGAGACTCACTTGACGCAGTCTGGCGGAGAAGGTATGGCCCTCTGTTCCGGGGCCGCTTGCCCGTTCCGGAGTGGTTGTTTTGTCTCTCTGATGCAGGTCACTTCCGTCCCACGCGGTCCATATGATGGCAAGTTTCAGATACTGATCATTTTTCGATTTTGGATCGTCTTTGTATCTCAGGCGCAAATTGAGTCCCAAGTGGGGAATCTCCACACCACCAGAGATAAAGAAGCTCAGTTGCGCATCGGGACGAGAATGAATGTGGGTGGGCTCTTTCCCGCCAGCATACCAGAACATGAGTCCACAGACAACATCCTGGGAGAAGATCTGGTACTGGTGAAGTGTCTAGGCGCGAGCTCGAAGCTGTAACATACTCTTCCGTTTGAGGGAAGATATGCCCACTTTATGTGGCTCGAAGCCATCATACCAATTCTCATCTCCCTCCAGTTCGTTGGAAAAGTCGAATGTGGTGGTCGTCATGAAAGCAAGCTCCCTTAAGCTGCGTTGAAGAGAGTGGATCGTCGGTTATTTGGACGAAAATTGAAATCGGATGAAAGGTGTTGAGGTGTGTTGAGAGTCGTCCTTCACGGAACACTGCAGATCACAGAGGGTGCAGGAGTGGATCGCGATGCTCAGGTGACAAGAGCTGAAAACTAGATGAAACGTGTCAGAACTGGATCCAGACTCTTGTTGTGAGAATGTGGAATTGATGTGGAGTGAGATGGTCTGGAATGAAGCCGTGGTCCTTGAGATGCGCTCCCCTGCAGCTGTTGTTGTGCAGCTTCACCGAAGGCAGGGAGACAAGTGAGTCACAAGAGTTGAAGTGTACATGAGTTCAGGGTAGACAAAAAGGAATGAGTATGTACATACAAGGTCTGTCAGCTGTAGGTAGAGTTGAGTTGAAGAGTTGAAGAGTGATCATTGAGAGTGATGAAGAAGAAGAAGAGGAAGAAAAGAGGAAGGATGATGGGAGTGGGGGCTTTTATAGAGTGAGCCCAAGGCACCCAAAGTTGTCAACGGTGAATGGTAGGCTGCGAACAATGGTGAGTGAATACAAAGTCATGAATGACAAGTGAGAGGTAACTCGATAGAGGTCAGTCACTAATAGGGAGTGAATACAATACCACGTCATGAATGAGAAGTGAGAGAATGCATAAATAGGTGGTGAATAGCATATCGGACCAGTTTCCCGGGTCAACATATAAGTTTCTGATTTCTTTGCGGAAGTTGGATAACCGCAAGTTTGTGCCGTGATGATAACTAGCCGCCTGAGGGGAGGTGTGCCGTGGTCACGACTTGAAAGACTTAATGGTCTCCTCGGTGGCTTATGCGTCAGCCAGGCGTTGACTCAGCTAGGCCCGTCAACTGGGTCCTTGAGACAAGGGTCAGAGATTGCCACTGTCTCCCATGATGATGCTGGGCAGAAGGAGGGATTGAATAACACTTCTAGTGCCCCAAGAAGAGCCCAATAGAGGAAGCCTAGCGAGCTGGAGGTGTATGATGCGAAACTGGACAAAATTGAGCACAACAAAGCTCTACTAGCAAGCGAGGCCCTGACGAAGGAGGAATTTATTGCTGCTGTCTGGACTATTATCTCATAATACAACTGTATAGCATTTCTGTTGGCAGCCTTACACTAAGGTTACTGTACCATCCATGAAGAAAGAACTGCCGTAATTTCAGAATCAGTCATGCTGCAAGAACCCCTAAAGGCACAAAATGAAGTTGATACGAAGTTTCTTTAGTGAAAGGAGCTAGAAATTGATAGAAAGCGACACTTTGAAAACTGCATCTTTTTACTAATTTTACTCTTCGTTCATGTCCCGAGGTCACTACCGTTGCTCATGATTCTTCGCAGAGTTCGAAGCAACCGAGACACGAGCTGTCTCACTTCCCCCATCCCGACATGGCCATCCCCTTGCGTATTCGCCGGAACCCGCATAATACTCATATCCTCCTCGATATCATATAGCATCTCCCCCAACCGCATGGTGGCATGACGCAAAACCTCCAACATGATATGTAAAGGATATAGACAAAATGTGACGGTCATCGGACGCAATTTCTGCTTATACTGATCACCTCAAACTAAGAGGCACAGGATATTATGGTCAAATAGGCTTTCAAAATTTTACGCAATGTAAATTTGTCGTTGAATCGAACTAGCTAACAAAAAGATCCGACTCTCGCAACAAACAGGCCCTTTCAAGACTTATTCATATTTGACACAATCTTGTCACATAACGCATGAAGTGAATTAGCGTTGGCAATCTCCAGTGTTGTCAGTTCAACCTGTAGCTCCAATCGCGCCCAATTTCGGAATTCAACTGCAGCCAAAGAGTCCATCCCGTAACTGCTCAGCGGCTTGCCAGGCTCCATAGGTGCACTAAGTCGCAGTGTGACCATGAATTGCTTATTGACGGCCTCAATGGCGGCCCCCATAAGAGCCGCCTGTGGAGCACCATTCTTGAGCAGCAAAAGGAGCGCCTGCAGCTCTTTGGTCTCGTCAGCTGCAGCAGAGCCTCCAGAACCACTAGTCTGGTCTCTGAAACAGAGACCTGCAAATCGTGCATCAGCTAGGAGGCGCGAGTTTTCCTCCTGGGGGACGGCAATGCTGGTGATCAATTGACCATTACTGTGTGCATTCAAAGGCGCAATGTCTTGCAGAATAGCCACGCGAAGAATTTTGTTGAAAAGAGACTCATTGATGGGCGTCCAGGCTGCGGTGTCGAGGGCCACCAGTAGATCTTTGTGCTCTGACATGTATCCGATGTCGTCAATGGCGCCCAGGTCAACAGAGCAAGCTTTCAGACCCTGCTTGCGGCGGTACCGGGCGAAGTTGTCCAGGAAGACATTGGCAGCAGCATAGTTGGCCTGTCCCTTCTGACCAACAACACCTGAAATACTGGAAAGCATGGTGAAGAAGTTAATCGTGGATCCCGTCTCAATGGAAACATCGTGTAGATTCCATGAACCTTGCAACTTGGCCTCAATTGCCTGGTAATACTCGCTGATGGTCATCGAGGTGAAGACACGGTCCTTTTATATTGATTAGTTTGACAAAAGCGCAGGAATTAGAGTGGTATGGGGTTTTACCCTTAAAACCATGGCTCCTTGGATGATTCCTCCGATAGGAAGGGGCGCCTCCTTAAAGCATCGTGTCACATCGGCCTTCTTCGCCACGTCGCCGGTAACGAGAGTGAAAGAACACCCAATAGCCTTGAGATTTTTCAACACCGCCTGGGACCTCTCGTCATCGCATCCACTGCGAGAAAGAATAACCAAGTGTTTAGCACCATGTCGGGCTAGCTGTGTGGCTACGGTGCCGCAGAGGCCCTTAAGACCACCAACAATCAAGTACGACACATCTCCTTTAAGGATCAATACCTTTTGCGCAGGACGGGCCTAGTGTGGAGGTTAGTACTAAGCCCGGAGAGGGTTCATGAAGAGCATACCGCAACCTGAACATCTGTGTTCGGTCCATCAGAAATGACAATCTTTCCGATATGTTTGCCCCCACGCATATATCTGAATGCGGAAGGAATATCTGCAAACGAGAATGTTGTGATAGGGCCAATGGGTGTAAGCTGCCGCTTTTTGATGAGATCCATGGTCTGGTCGAGGAGTCTATATAAACAAAATTAGCAAACCACGACTGACTCATGTCTTCCGACCTGAGATTTGTTAAGCTCACCTCGCAATAAGAGTATCAGAAACATGAGCGTGGGACATATCAAAGCAGCGGTAAGACGCATTGCGACCAAAAGGTTCCATAGATAGGTAGTTTCTGTCCAGCATGTCCTTTTTACCGAGTTCGACCATAGTACCCCCGGCGGCAATGCACCGCCACGATTCCTCCATTAGCTCACCCGTCAAGGAGTTGAGAATTACATCAACACCCGCACCATGCGTAGCATGCATCAACTCACTGGCAAAGTCAGTAGAGCGCGAACTGAAGATTCGGTCCTCTGGGATCCCATATCGGTCCACTAGAAACTTTCTCTTCTCGTCATTTCCAACAGTGGCATAAACCTCTGCACCAATATTGTGGCAAATTTGAATTGAAGCTTGGCCCAGACCCCCTGTGGCGGAATGGATCAAGACTCGCTAGATTCAGTCAGACAATGGTTCATATATAACCCCGGAGGATCAAGCTTACATGGCCTTTTTGGGTATTGGCGAGATCCTTGATACTGTACATCGCGGTGAGGTAGACGCTCGCCAGGGTAGAAGCCTCCTATAGGCAACATTAGAACCGCGTTTCAGCAGTAGATAAGATGTATACTTACCTCGTATGACATCCAGTCTGGAATATGGTACGTTCTCTCGACCGTTGCTATGACGCGATTGGCAAAGGCACCCTTTTTGAAGACCAACACACGTTCTCCGGGCTTGAATTTGGTGACTGATGGATGGACTCGTCGGATGAGGCCGGCGCCTTCTAGGCCGAGCAGATGTTCGTTCTCAGGTACGATTCCCATGGTGATAGCCACATCCTGGTATGAAATGGTTAGTTGGCGCGACATGGATATTATAAAAGGCTTCGCTCACTTTGAAGTTCAATCCCGCTGCGAACAACTCCACCTCAACCAAGTTTTCCCCAAGAGGAAGCTCTGTCGGGGCCACCTCATTGTATTGAATGGTATCAATCGTGCCAACTCGCTCGCACTGAAGCCTGATCGTCGTCTCTGCAGAATGAAGGGACTGGAGTATGGGGGTCGCCCATCAACAACTTCTGCCTCGGCTTTGTTTATGACATTGTCTGGCAGGATTCGAGGGACATGAAGATAACCGCCCCTCTCGACGTATTCACTTTCAATGTGGTCTTTTGCTCGGGGACTTTGAATCCTTTTGAGGACAGTAACAAGAGCATTGAATGTCGCTGTATTGGAGACACCTTCCACGTCGAGCGTGGTAAGGTTGACAGATGGATCCTCAGCTCGCACAGTTCTTCCCAACCCATGAATCATGGCCTTGCTGGGATTAGTAACCTCCATCTGAGATCCTTCAGTTACCCACAAAAGCTTCATTCCAGAGCTAATAATTGCCTTAAGGGCTTCCCAGTTGGGTTCAGTGATTGTTGGCAGAATGGAATCACCAAACTCCACCACGATGCCGATCGACTCTGGATCGATATCGTCAAAAGGTGCTTCATGCTGGCTAACGTTCCATCCAGCAGCGACAAGGCTTGCTTGAAGCTTCAAACTCGCGATAACTGGCTTGGAAAATTGGAGTAGGCTAACAGACCCCGAAACTGGCTTGCGAATGGTTTCATGGCGACCAAGAACGATTGATCCGATGTTGCTGTCAATAGAAGGATAAAACCCCGCACCAAGACACGTGAGATCTTTTCGATCCATCAATGAATGTCGTTGGGCGCGGGGCCTTTCAGTTGAATCAAGGATCTCAAATCCGTCGGAGTTGCTATCACTGGTTCCGCCGTTCCCATGGAGAATGTCGTTGCCATTGGTATCTACAGACGTGGCCGTTTGCCCCTTTCTGGTCGTAGTGTGTTCATCTATTGTCATGATTAATTTGAAAAGTCTGGTCCAAGCCCGGAGGTCAAAGGCCTTACCATTCCCGTCGTAATCCACAACCAACAAGCACCCGCCATCTGCAAGGAGCTTGCGGGTGTTGTCGACAATTTGCCTGTAGTGCTCGTCGGTTCCACTCTAAATACGCAAACGTATCAATTTATGTTCAGGTTTGTAACCAAGGGAATCCATCGCGGTGTGACCTACCAACTTGAGGACGACGAGGTCAAACGTGGTCTGTCCGTTGGGGATATATCCCTCGCTAGCAATATCCGTGAGAACAAAATGTGCATTTTCGTGAGAGGAATATGTCTCCTGGGCGTCCAAAAGTGCCCCTGGATCTGCAAACATGACCTGAACGTTCTGAGCGGATCGACGAGAAGAACTGTCTGACAGACTTCCATCCAGCCAGATACTAGTTGGATCGTTGGACCTGACATTTATTTCTGCAACGCTCAGATGTGGCTTTTTGTGAGAAGCCATATCCACGATATGATGAACATCAGTGAGAGGTTCATCGCCATTGTCAATTCCTAAGAGCGTTGATATATCTGTGAAGTCAGAGAGCGAGGTGATATCCCGGTTCCATACCACTTGGCTGTAAGCGTGTCTTGAGTAAATCTCCTCACGAACATCCAACTTGTGATAGCGGAGTCCTGAGACCTGGAAAAGAAGTTGTCCAGTTTCTTTAACATAGACTGACGAATTCGACAAGTAGCTTTTGGTCTCATCGGGGCGACCTAGACCCACGTACGCCGAGCTTGAGACTGCTATGCCAGTCTTGGAGATTTCAGGCCGTTGGTTGACAATGATATCGTCAATAATGGCCGGGATCAAAACGGCATTGACATCGCTGCGGTTACCATTCCACAACGAGGGTGCACATGTCTGGAAACAGCCATCAATGCAGGCTGGATGCAGAGCAAAGGCTGACGGAAGGCTACTAGTATCGGGCTCTTCCAGGGAAACAATGGATCGACTATTTCGCTCGCCTGAGGTGCATTCAACCTGAAGCTGTTTCTGGAATGCAGGACCAAAATTATATCCGATGTCGTTCATGGCCTTGTACCATAACCGTCCATCCGCTGGATATTCCAGATTCCGAATATCATGAGCCGAAGCAACTTGAGAACTGTTAGCTATTATTCTGCGTAGTTGGAGATGGCGCACTCATCGTACCACGCTCAACTTGGTTGGTAACCTGAATCAGACCAGCACTATTCTCGCGCCATACGCCGTCCACCAGGGAAGAGACCTTGTAATCATGCCAGGCCGTGCCGCTTCCAGATCTCGGGGTAAGGGTAAGCATGACTTTGCACGGCTTACGTTCTTCCAACACGAGAGCCCTATTGAATGTCAAGTTCCGGAGTCGATAACTTGGTACTTTGGGACCAGGCTTTCCATCCAAAATATTCAATGCCTCTGTCTTCTGGCGAATAGCCTCTATAGCCATTGAGACAAACCCAGCAGCAGGGAAGACAATGTCAGGCCCCATCTGTGATTCATAAATATTAGCCTATGGCTCCCAGTCCTGCAATAAAAGCGCTACTTACTCTGTGATCCTGAAGCCACGGCAGGCTTTCTACTTCCAAAGTCTTCTTGAATGCAGGCTCATTCCAGGATGAACCCAAGATCTTGCTACCAAGGAGCACATGGTGCGGGAACAAGCGGTAGCGCCAATCCTTGCTGGCTTCATTCTCATACCAGTACTTGGTTGAGTAATTCCAGGCGTAATTGGGCAGATCAACAATCACAGCTGGGGCAACTTCACCTTCGCCACCTAGCTGATTGACGTTTGAGAGATTGACGGTACCTCCGGCTATGAATAGTTTTCCTGCAACATCGAATGTAGCTTTTATTGCATCGCGTCCCCGAGAAAGGGCAGCGGTATATTGGACGCTTGCAGCTTCGTTCGGGAGGGCCTTGACAATTTGGGATATTGGGCCAGCCAAGGCTCCAGAAGGCCCTATCTCAATCAGAAAATCGGGACTCGAGTCGACAGAGAGCATTTCTTGGACCGCTCGATCGAAGCAAACTGGCGAGGTCATATTTGCCTTCCAATAGTCCACGAATACAGGCCCCTCAAGGAGACTTCCAGTGACAGATGAGAACATGCGAATTCCCTTGTTCCCAGGAGATTGGGCTTCAACCTGGGCCGATAGCAAGGTATCATAGTCATCGCCAATATCTTTCATATACTTGGAGTGGTATGCGAGATTAACTTGGAGCAGGCGTGCAAACTTGTTGTCTCTGACAAGGTTCAGTCGGAGCAGTTCCAATGCTGGAATGGTCCCCGAAACCGTGATACTCTGCGGACTATTGAAGCATGCAATCGAGACGGCATCTTTAATACCACTAGTGTAGTTTGGGAACTCAGCAGCCGAGATACCAGCAGCGAGCATTCCAAGATCCTGCTGTGGTGCTCTCGTCGCTGCATAGCCACGATAGAAAGCAGCAATGATAGCAGTTTCCTTAGAAATAAGTCCTGCGACACAAGCTGCAGCAATCTCGCCAGAAGAGTGGCCGACAACGCTTTGGGGACATACACCCCAGTTTTGGAGAATCTCAACTATGACAAGCTGCAGTGCGGTCACCAGTGGCTGCGAGAACTCGGGTTGTCTCAGGGTCTCAGCGCTCCGAGGTTGGGTAAGCTCGTCTATCGCACATTAGATTCAACCGAAAAAGGGCGACTGGGTGCGGGGGAGATCCGCGAAGAAAGGGATAAGCGAGACCACCCACCTAACAAACTCCAGGCTGGGGGATCTGGAAGACGTTGGAGAACCAAGTCTAGTTGGCGCAGCAAGAGCCGTGCAGAAGGGAAGGTTTCAACCAGATCTTTGCCCATTTGGGGCCATTGAGCACCTTGGCCGGTGAAAATAAAACCAATTCTTGGAGGCTCCGCAGTTTTCTTGCCATGAACAAATGCGGTTTCATCTAGATTCGTCGACTGAGTGACAATGTAACCCCGGTGATACAACTTTGATCGGCAATCCGATAAGGTGTGCGCCAAACTAGCCATCTCAACCTTAACATTGAGATCCATGAGATGTATTCGAAGTCTATCAAAGTAAGACATGAGAGATTGATCGTCGTTTGCAGAGAGCGGAATGAGGAAGGGCCGTGTCGCCAGTGTATTGTCATCCTCATCAAACATATTATCTGCCTTCGTTTGATAAGACGAGACATGCTTGATGTTTGTGAATGAGCCTGTCTCTTCCACAACGACGTGGGCATTTGAGCCTCCATACCCAAAAGAGTTCACACTGGCCCGACGGAAAGGCATATCGGGCCACTCACGAGCAATACGTGATGCTTGGACATTAAGTCCTATAAAATCGACTGTTCATAAAATTAGTTGTGCTAACTCCAAAGGGTAGCAGTAAAAGAGGGACCAAAACAGAAAACAGATGAATGACATAGATATAAGATGGAACTTACTCTTCGGGTTTGGATTAATGAAAGTCGGATTGCCAGGAATCATAGCATTCTCAATAGCGAGTACCGCTTTAATCAGGCCAGAAATACCCGCTGCGGGTTCGGAATGGCCGATATTGCTCTTGATTGACCCAATATACAAGGGTCTGGCGCTGTCGCGCCCAGGAGTAAACACAGATGAGACACCACTGACCTCTGTCGGGTCGCCGGCCTAATCATCAACGTTAGCAAACAGGTCCCAAGTACATGGCATTGCATGAGGGAATTCACCTGTGTCCCAGTTCCATGACACTCTATGTAAGAAGTGTGGTGGAAGTTAGACAGTCCGGCATTGGCGTAGGCGGCTCGAATAGCCATTGACTGTGCCTCGGCACTCGGGCTTGCAATTCCCGCGGTATGGCCATCGCTATTAGTGGCACTGCCTCGGATGACAGCCCGGATGGGATTACCATCGCGAATAGCATCGGAAAGGCGCTTCAACATCACAGCATTCACACCCTCAGCCTTGATATAGCCGTCTGCCTTCTCATCAAATGTGTGACATTTACCTGAGAGCGAGGACGCTCCTTTCATTGCACCGCCTGTATTCACATGTTAGCTGGAGCTATGGTGTCTGCTGTTTTGCGCACTTACTATCCATGTTGTGCTCGGGACTTGGTTCCAATGTCAGTCTATATGTTTAATGCGTCGTGAATATGTATCTCTCACCTCAGGTACATATTGGCCCCCGCCACAATCGCCCCGTCAATCTCACCAGTTGTCAGATAACGACACGCAAGGTCTACAGACACCAAGCTGCCCGAGCAGGCAGTGTCCACAGTCATACTTTGTTACGTTAGAATATTTCGATATCTCGGCCTGTGTCTCAACGTACCTGGGACCCTTGATGTTAAGAAAATGACTAATGCGGTTGCTGAGAATTGCCCGTCCAACACCAACGGTAACGGTGGGAGCACGATCTTCTGGGTCACGAGATTGCATGTGCTCATAGTCTAGATGAGATATTAGGAACGGAAAATTGGGGGTTTAAACGGATCCTACTTGCCCACAGAATACGAGCCGACAAAGCATCCGACAGGGGCTCCATCCAAAGACTCCAGAGGCAACCCCGAGTTCTCGAGACATTCGTACACAACCTCCAGTAACTGCCTCTGCTGAGGGTCCATCGCAGTTGCATCCACATGCGATATACCGAAAAATGAAGCATCAAATTCCTGTGGATCGATGTTCTCAAGGAACATGCCTCCCGGTGATCGCATGGTCTTTGGCATTTTAGAGCCATCGTGGTGTCCCGCTATGTTGAATCGTGATTCAGGAGGTGTATTCTTCGCGACACCACCCTTCATTAAGAAATTCCATAACGCCTTTGGGGTATTGCTTTCACCAGGAAGACGACAAGCCATGCCCACAATTGCAACTGGCTCCTGCAGATATGCTTTTCTCGCATTGTATGGGGGAGCCAATGGCTCATCGTGGCCCACGGTCTTGTAAGGAACTTCCCTCTTGGGGTTGTCGATTGTCATAATTGAAAATAATAAATCGTAAACCCAAATGACTTTGTTTTGTGAACAGACTTAAACTGGATCTCCCACTTTCCTAGTTATATAGCTATGAGGAAGTATATTCTCGCAATCTCACGGCCTGCCTTTTTTGTCCTCCAAAAGAGCAAGGAAAAAAAGTGCCGATAGGGAAGCCATACCATAGTTTGGCAAGCCATCAGAAAGTAGCCGCTCGTGTCTTTTCGAACAAGTGATTTAGTGAACGGCAGATGGTGATCTTGTCAGCATTTAGTATCTCGGGTCCGGTAGCTTTTAAGGAGCTTCGATTGGGCGTAGTCACAGATTAGACAGCAAGTAGTTGCCGGCTTCGAACTGAGTTTTCTCCTACAATTTATATTGAGCTACTGGCAGAGGTCAAACTCGAGGGGGACATATGTGCGAGTTCCAATGAGCCTCGCATGTGTAGGAAATACACGCAAGATGCATTTCATCCTTGACCTGGTTAGACCCGCATAAGATAACCAATCCATTGATATAGTACTGGATAATAAAAAGTCCACGGCTAATAGCGTGAACTGTATCAGGAACGAAACCTTCTCCTGCGCCTCTCGGGTCTTTTGCGTTATCCGGGCCTATGCAAAGTAACACGGTAGAGAATCAGAACTCGAGAAAATATTGCTTTATGTCCCATTTTATTAGGCACATGAAGGTCCTAGGACCTTGTGGAACTAGCTGGGTTGTCCGCAGGTGGTATCGGTAGCCGACAGTTCGGCGACAATGTAGAAGTCCAAGCGACTCTAAACCCTTATATTGATAGACATCCACATAGCAGAGCAGAGCTAACAGAGACAGTCTACCATTCTGAGAGAGCTTTGTACACGAAAAGATATAAAAATGGCGCCAATTGTGGAAGATGTCAGCTTCAAAACCCTCGATGGGCTCACACTGGTCGGTAGACTCTATCCTGCCGACAAGCGTGGCCCCGGAATCATAATGACACCTGGAGTACGTTCGATAGTATTTCCACTTTGCTGTATATTCTAACCCTGCATCCTCAGTTTAATTGCGTGAAGGAGATGTTCGTGCCCGAGGTTGCCGAGCGATTTCAAGCAGAAGGTATCACGGCCCTCATCTACGATCCGCGCACACTGGGCGAGAGTGAGGGCGAGCCTCGAAACAACGTCGACCCCATGATGCAGGTGTCAGATTACTCGGATGCAATGACCTTTATGCGGAGCGTTTCTATCGTGGACCCAGAAAGTATCGCTTTCTGGGGACAGTCATTTGCCGGAACGATTGCACTTTGCGCTGCAGCGCTCGACAAACGAGCTAAACTCTGCATCTCAATTTGCCCTCTACTCAATTTCGAATTAACACCGGAAAAGTTTCCCCGCGTGCTGGCGAAGAGTATGCGGGACCGAGAGTCCCAAATTTCCGGCAATGCCGCTATGTATTTACCTGTCCTCACGGAGAAAGGGGAGAACCCAGCAGGAATGGGCATTGGTGCCGACAAAGAGGAATTTGATTACATGGTTAATGCAAAGTCGCGGGGGCTCCTAACCACGAAAATCATACCACATTGCAAACATATTACAAGATCGTTATGTGGCAGCCGCATGGCATCATGAAATATATGGATCCAACCCCTGTGTTGATGGTGGTGCCGGAGCTGGATATGATCTCACCACCGGAAGAGCAGTTCGCTTTGTTTGATACTTTCCCTGAACCGAAAAAGGTGCACATTGCGCCCGGAAAGGGTCATTTGGACGTCTTGAGTGGAGAGGACTTTCCGGCACTTTCAGCAATGCAGGCAGCCTTTCTACGGGAGCAGATGGCACTTTTGAAGGCTTGAGATCGAATCCATATTTTATCGCACGTTCATCCTTCACGCAGGGTTCGATCGACACCCCACGATCCCCCGGACTCGAGGCCTGGCCAATCTGGAGATCATCCTTGTTCTTGAACTAGCAAGTGATATCAATGAATCTGTGAATGAAATGGCTCTATAATTATTAAACGTGGTCTAAGCTACAAATACAAATGCACACAACACAATATATTCAGTCCCCACAGCACATTATTTCTCCGCCATGGCCTGCTTCCAAGAGCTGGAAATCTTATTCCAATATTGTTCTGGATGAAGTCTCATATGGCCCACATGGGACGAGCCCTCAAACATCTCAAGGTCAACCGAGTAGCCCAGAGTCTTAGCATGAGCGACATTCTCCTCCAAATCCTTGTAACCAATAATCTCATCTTCCTTAGAGTACAGGTAAACTCTGCTAGAATCGGTCGCAACACAGGACTTATCATTTATGATCCGGTCCGCCCAAACACCCGAAGATACGGAGCCGCTCAGGACTTGCCACAGGTAAACCGCCCAGAGGAAAGCATACCACAAACCATGAGTGATAACGAATGGCCAAGGGAAGAACTTGGCGGTGCCGACTGCCATGGCGCGCGCCCACCGGCTAGCCTGAGACCTGAAGTCCAGACTTCCCGGCGTGGAATCCAGAACCAGGAGCTGGTGCGGGAATGGCTTGTCTGTCCCATGGCGGCGCTGGTATGCGATAATGGTGGATGCAGTGAAGATGGCGCCTGTATTTGACATGGCATGCACGAGAACGCGCTCCTTTTCGTTTCCGCTGCCGGTTGGCGTTGGGAAGACGGTGTCCACGACAGGCAGCATGGCCTGGATTCTGCCTTCCTCGGGTTGGTTGGTGGCCTGGAAGGTACGCGATAGGATAACGATGATCCGCGCGGATGGGTAGAGCTCATGGTAGCCGTCGGAATACTTGGCAACGTGTTTCGGCATGCCGTCGCCCCAGCCGGAAATGATGACCGTTGTTGGCTCGTCGGCTGGGGCTGGCTTGGTCTTCTCGAGGCCATTGCGAAGGTATACCCGATCAGATATCGGCGTGAAGCCCGGGAATGAAAGGGGTTGTAAACCCATTGTGAAATGTGGGCTATGGAGTAATTGGGCTTTGCGCAAGGGGACGGATAACCTTGATTTAGCCTCAATTTTAAACTGTAGTAAGTTGTTGAAGTTCTTTTGCTGGCTCTGTCTTGTTATATGCCAGTCTTCTTAAAACATTCGAAAAAGAAAATCTCCTTCAGTGGCCACCCATTGTGGAAATTATCCCGCTGCAGGAGATATAGCATTGGCCCAACAATAACGGTTGGGATTATTTGATCTCCAGCACCGATCTCTTTCATGGCATGTGGAGTCGTTGGGAAGAATATAAGGACTTGGCGATGAGATACTTGGATACCTCGGCAATTGCCTAATTGGGCCAATTCATATGATTTATGCCTGAGGCATTAAATAATGTGAAGCAATAGGAGAGATCCAATTCAGTCTTGAACACATAGATGCTTGTAGAAATATCTTATTAGAATGGACTTGTGAATTATCAAAACTATAACTAGGTAAGAGCAGTCAGTCCTCACCGTACCTGACCTCTTTATCTTACAATCTATATCTCAGATCTACAACGTTGTATGCATAACTCTTGTCTCCACAAGCCGAAGTGCATAAATCTCCCGAAACCCGAAACCCGAAACTCAAAAGCTTAGAGACTCCACTGCCAAAATTCAGACCAAGGCCCAGTTCAGACCAACTAGGCCATAGGAACAAAGTTGCCCTGGTCATCCTTTCCACCTTGCTCACCCGGCCGCGGGATTTTGCCTCCCCGCTTCGGAATGAGGGCACACAAAAATGTCACGCCAAAGAGCGCAATTCCCATGGCCCAACTGCCGTGCAGACCATCAAGGTAGGAGCGTCGCGCACCAAGAAGCGCTGAGCCCGAGAAGACTTCTTCAAGCCCGCTTGAACCGGCAGCGATGACCTCCTCAGGATTGATACCCTTCATGTATTTGGGTATACTTTTCAGAAGTAGGTTGTTCATGATCGAATCCGTGGAGCCCACACCGTAAGCGGCCGAGATGAACTGGAAGACTATGAATGGGTCAGTGGGTTGGCAGTTGGTATCTTGAATACATTTGGACGTACATAGAACAGTCGCCATGGTAATGGCCTGGTCATCTGTTGAGCGCAATGCTCCTGCTACAACAACAGGGATCTGAACTGAGAGTCCGGTGCCTGTACCGTACAGAATTTGATATCCGATAATAGGGCCCAGACCGGATGTCAGATCGAAGGTGTAGATCAGGCCCGCGCCGATAGTGGCTAGTATACTGCCGGCTAGCAAGAATGGCTGGTAGTATCCGACCTTGGTGACAACGGCAGATGATAAGAAAGTTGCGATGGCTTTCTGTCTATTAGTTCAAGTCCCACTGAATATAAATGCAAGGAGACCGGAACTGACATGTTGAGAGAATGGTTGGGATGTTTTTGATCCCGCTGGTCATGGGAGAGTCTCCATTAATGGCCTGGAAATAGATTGGAAGGTTATAGATCAACGAGAAGTTGGCGGCATTGAGGCTGATTCTGTCAGATGTTGTTCTCGAGGCTTGATCGTGACGCAAAAGAGAGCAAAACTCACAAAAAGATAAAGGCACAGCAGGCGCCGATATTCCTATTCGCCAATAGTCGTGGAACCATCAGCGCACGGTCTTGCTGCCACCACTCGATACCGAGGAAAGCACCGGTCAGGACAACCCATAAAACAAGACAAGCGATGACGGAGCCGTCGCTCCACGGTTTCGTGACTCCTCCCCACTGTAGAGCCAAAAAAAGCAGATCAAACCTGCCAGCAAGACTACCAGGCCGATGAAGTCGAACTGTTGCAATTTCTCCTTTAGTGGCCTTCCCATTCCGGATTTGGCCTGGTCAGGGGTGCGGAAGAAGAAAAGCAAGACCCCGGCAGCCACGCCACCGATGGGAAGGTTAATGTAGAAGCACCAACGCCATGTAACATGCTGCGAAAAGGCGCCTCCCAGTAGAGGTCCTGCAATACTCGCTACACTGAATGTAGACCCCAGCAAGCCAATGAGTATGGGGACTTTCTTTGGGGGCGCAATGAAAGCTGCAATGGTGTAGCACCCGCCAGTGAGACCGGCTCCCCCCATGCCCTGGATAGCCCGTCCGACAATCAACGCAATACTGTTTGGCGCCAAAGCGCAGACCAAACTTCCAATCTCGAATATGCCAATAGCCGCCAGAAAAGAGCCGCGCAGGGAGAAGCCCTTGTATACATGACCCCAGGCAGATTGGAAAGCGGCAAGTGTCAAAAAGAAGGAACTGCCGTACCATCCGATATCTTCCATGCTCTTGAACTGGGTCGTGATCTTCGGGATCGCAGTGGAGATGATACTCTTGACTTAGAGTTAGCAGGGTATCTTGGAGATTGTTCATGATTCGGGTACTTGCCATATCAAGGGCGACCTGAAATCCCAAAGTTAGCTCGGTATTAGTATCTATAAGAGTATGCTATGGACTTACCAAGAACATGCTCAGCATCAATGCGATGACAATTATGACCAAAATTGGTCCCGATGGGTACTTAACCGGTGCCAGTTCATCTGGAGACTCAGAGGGCGTATCGGTTCTTTCCTCTTTGGTGTCTGTAACCAGGTTCGAGTTTGTCTCCGACATGGTTTTGAGTGAATGTAGCGATGCACAATCAATAGTAGCCGGGAGGATAGCAAAATATTGTTGAAATAGCAAGGAATCTCTGTTAAATACCCACTGAGCTTCAAGCTGTGAGAGAAAGAAAAGTACCCGATGGTTTACTATATAGGGGTCAGAAAAGTACCCGATTGGACCAATTCTGATTAGAAACCTAGCTAGGTCACCAGCTTTGGTACCATGACGAACCATGAAATATTGATGATGGGCCTGTTTTTTCTTTGTTTCAAGGCGAGATTTCCTTGGGGAGGCCATTATGCAGCAGTTAAACCTCAAGCATTGGTCATCAATCGCGGCGTTGATTGGTCTTTTGGCTACTCTGCTATATGACCGATGCTGGTCCCCCATATCTCTATTTGAGCATAAATCAAACGTTTGTCGCTGTGTCCCTGGAGATGCTTGTTGGCCTAGTCCACAGCAATGGGCGGACTTCAACTCGACTATCAAAGGGCGACTCATCGCATCAACTCCCATCGGGGCACCATGTCACCAGCCTCAGTATAATTCGACAAAATGCGAGGAGATTCGAGGAGAGTGGGAATGGCCTAGAATCCAGTTGAGTACCCGGACCTTCCTGCGGACCAAATTGGGCTAAAGGATAGCAGCATCAACTCTCCAACTTCGGTTATGAGTGCTTTCTTTCAGAACGCCGGCAACAATCCCTGTGATCCTTTTGGAGAATCCGAAATTCAATGCCACGTGAATGAACACGTCCAGATGGCTGTCAATGTTAGTTCGGTGGATGAAGTACACGCCAGCCTTGACTTTGCCCGTGAGCACAATGTCCGAATCATAATCAAAAATACAGGACATGAGTACATGGGGAAATCGGCACCGGCACGCGGGACATTGTCATTGTGGACTCACCATCTTTCTTCGTCTGAAGTGATTCCAAATTATCAAAGTCAAAACCACAACGGTAGTGCACTTCGCCTTGGTGCAGGTATTATGGGATCGGATGCGGTGAGGGTTGCTCATGAGAACGGGCTGCGCATCGTAGCAGGGTTCTGCCCAAGTGTTGGCATTGCTGGGGGTTACATCCAAGGCGGAGGACATGGTCCATTGAGTTCATCATATGGGATGGCGGCAGACCAGGCACTGGAATGGGAGGTTGTGACAGCAGATGGGCGACACATAATCGCTTCGCCGACTCAACACACCGAGCTGTACTGGGCTCTCGGCGGGGGCGGTGGGGGTGTTTTTGCATTTGTCATATCTGTCATCGTCCGGGCATTTCCCGATGATATACCCGTGGGAGGCGCCAGTATGGTCATATCCCGACAAGATCAGGCCAATGATGATGCCTACTGGGCCTCCTTTGCAGCCTGGCAAGAAGAACTCCCAGCTCTCTTAGACTGCGGGGCCACAGCCGGTTACGCCATCTTAAATGACACTTTTTTTGTGCATCCTATCACAATAGAGGGAATTCAGACTGCTGCCGAGATGGAGACATTGCTGGCCCCACTGAAGTCACGGCTCGATGACATGCACATACGGTACACATTGCAGGTCAGCTCAGAGGCCAACTTCTACAACCATTACCGCAAATACCAAGGGCCTTTGCCTTGGGGTGCATACCCGGTGGGTCAACTCTTCGGAGGGCGGCTGATCCCGCGTGTGGAGCTTGACGAGCGACCGCACTCTCTACTGGCTACCGTTCGACGAATCACCGAGGAAACGCATGCATTTCTTGGGTTTGTCGCTCTCAACGTTAACCAAACTCAAAAAGGAATTACACCCGTGCAACCTGTAGCAGACAATGCGGTTCTTCCCGCGTGGCGTCATGCAGCTCTGACGGTCCTGGCTCAATCAGTGTGGAACTATTCTGCCCCTCGCGCGGATGGGCTTTCACGTGCGGAGGAGATGACCCGGGTGGTTGGACCGGCGCTAAAGAGACACGCAGGGGTTGGGCCAGCAGTTGGGTCGTACATGAACGAAGCCGATTTCCAATTGGAGGACTGGCAAGTCGAGTTTTATGGGGCCCATTGGGATATTCTGAGTGGAGTGAAATATCGATGGGACGCCGAAGGATTGTTCTGGGCACCACTTGGCGTGGGTAGTGAAAAGTGGAGGTTGGAGAAGGGGGGCCGGTTGTGTAAAGTCGTCGGTTAATTAAATGGTACCATCAAGATGTGAGTGTAACGACGCGATAATATATGTATCTAGCAGAAGAAAGAATAAAAATGCAGAACGCTCATTTTCATACTCTGGGATGGAATAGAGGAGGGTACTATTGATCTAGATCCTCCTAGAGCAACCGTGTGGCTGTCGATCCTTGTCGTTATCGGTGCCATGTCAGAACTCTAGTTACTATCTGCACTATGCAAGTAAGCCTGCATAGCATATGCTATCTTCCACATACATCAAAGTGTTTTCACCGTTGGGGGCCTGAAGATAACAAGTACGTATACAATCATGGATTGATTGTTTCGCCATGCGACCCTATGCTAGAGGGTTGTTAAAAGCGATACAAATACTAGTGCGTACTGTCTTGTATCATCACTACCTACTAGGTACCTTGTATGTGTGTACATGTAGTGTCATTAATATTAACGTATTTCCCAAGCGAGCGCCGCACCCCAAAACACATTGTAAATGCGATAAACTACAGGTTTATATCTCAACAACCATGGTCTATCGGGATTATTGCTTGTAGGAATATGCTTTTTAGGTGATATCTAGCCTTTTTAGGAAGATTGGGGGATTTTTACAATTCAGTGACTAAGATATATCTGTTTATAGCTTGTAATTTTCGGTAATTTTGAAATGATGATAATATAACTTTCCGATTTCTTTGAAGTCCATATACAGTGCTAATAGCTCTTATCAGTAGCTATTGAGCAAGAACTAGATAAAATAGAAACGTGGTTGTCGGGATATAAGTGTAGCATTTACTATATATTTTGGAGTGCGGCGCTCGCTTGGGAAACACGTTATCTATCGGTCGAACAGTCCTACCCCCGCGCTCCGTAGGGGCGGTTCATAATGCATACTCTGTCTTTAGCAACAGGTCGACAAATGAGTCTCCCGTGTGTGCGTCAGATTGCATTAGTGCATGTAACATCAAATCCTGTAGCTTGCTAGCGCCTTAATATAACATACATATGTAATATTTGTACGGAGTGCACATGAAAACAAACTGATGATGATAATTATATAGTTTGCATATGCTGGAGACAGTTCGTAGGCTGCCTTCAATGTCGACAGGGCATAGTCCATGGCCGCTACCTTTTGACTTAATTCCTCGCGAGGTCCACAGATACAATGTCAGGTCCTAAAGTTGTTAACGTCTGCAGTATAAGATATTCCATATCAAGTGGGTGCATTTGGGACTAGGTAGGCAGTTAGCGATATACTATCAGCCTTATTATTCACAACACTATTATTACCAATTATAGGCTACTTCACCTTTGTAGACGGCCAGCTATAAGTCTGTCATACTGACATACCTTCTGGTCTCTGTTTCCCTTGTCCTCGTCATCTCCTAAAGTTGACCTCGTAGATCCCTAGGTAGATATCATGGGGCCTTACACTATGCTATGTATATATTGCCATTCATCCATGGAGGCTTTCGATTACCACATTACCACTCTTATACATAATCTAAACAAGATGCCCAGCCCTGTCTCCATGGGTACCTAGGTAGGTACCCAGTTAGGCGCGAATGGAAAGCCTCAGAATATGGTGTCACCACTTTAGTATAAAACACGCAATTCAATACCTTGACATAAATCAGTATTTATCTGTTTTTTTGTAACAGAGATACATGGCCAGGAATAGAGGGGGCCGTTTGAGGATGATGCCACGTGACTTCTCTCATTTCTCTATTAGTCTCTCCTGGATAGTTCCTTTCTCTCCTCACGCACTACAGAGACTCTTTCAGGCCTTTGCTTCTACGGTAGTCTCTAAATTCTCTGGTCTCACAGCCCATGCACGTAAAACTGAGGAACAAAGCAGAACCGGATACATTGGGCTACCTTCCCGAGCTGGGGGCCCAGAACATATTTGTCAGCAGTCTTCAGAGCCCTGAAGGTCGCAGCTTTGGAGACCATCAACCCCGCTAAATTATTGACCTGGTGATCTCCCGAGGTCTCTATGAAACTTGACTGAGCGTCATTATAAATCACCCGATGCTGTTGTTCTGGCCCAATCATGTCTTCCCAGGCACGACTTCGCACGTCGTGCGACGCCTGCCAATCCTTGAAAATCAAATGCAGCCAAAACAAGCCCGAGTGTGACCGCTGTGTGAAGCACGGACTTCATTGTGTATATAGCCCACTCCGTCGCATGGGAAGACCTAGAAAGCGAGATGCTTCGTCTCAGGGTGCTCAATTCCCGAGTGGAGATTCGGATGCCCAACCTGCCCAGACAGAAGACACGGCTCCTCTAGCCACGGAAGAAGAGGATGTTATGAGCCAGTGGCCCGATTCAACCACCGCGATTTCATTATCTTTGGCTGATTCTATGCATGATACTCCATTCGTATCTGACACCACTGATCGACTGGCGAGCTCTGTGAGCTGCCCCGGCATAGCCTCCCAGAGAGGTGACTTGGGCAATATATACCAGGATGCGTTTATGGAGGACATTCAATCCTCGATCGACTGTCAACTTCCGTTCTTACCGCGTCAGTTACCCACCGCCGCTCCACCTAGGCGGAACCCGAATGAGTTGAAGAGGAAGAAATTGGGTCTGGAAAGCGCCTCTTGGCCAATGACGCAAAATATTGCTCCGGCCGCTACTACAACGACTTCATATGCGTTCAATGAGCTTTTACCTTTATCAAGTCCCCCAGAAGCAGCCATGGGACGGCGCCTCAGCCTCCAGGATTCCCAGTCGGAATTGCCAGAGCTTCTAAATAGAAACACAAATGACACCGCCAATTGTACTGGCAACTCACAGTCCGCTAGGCACCATTCAAGGAGGGATGAAGCGTCTGGGGATACGGCTGGACTTCGCGAACCTGATTTTTCCAGTTTCGCTTCATCCTCAATCTCTCGCCCGGCCATATTCTCATCATCAGACCTATTTGCGGAACCATCAATTCCAGCGAATTCTTCATGGCCTCAAAACCCCTCAATGCGCTCTTCACAGAATTGGAGACAGCCTGACGATCATAGCAGACATACCTCTCTCAGCAATGATCGCGACCGAGAAATCGGCTCGCTCGCCACGCCAAGCAATCGAAATGGTAGTCTCAGTTCACGCAGCACTACCCGACCAGCTTCCGAGTCCGATGGCCCATGTCAGGGTCAATGCTACTTAACTATTCTCCGTCGTCTCGCCTGGCTCGAACATTCTCGTGGCACGGACAAAAAGCTCCTAACAATTGATGTGGTCATGACAGCCGAGCGGGACACTCGCCTACTCAAAGAGCAATTGTTTAAATGTGGTAGAGATGTTCCCGAAGACGAAGGATGTCTTTATTCACGGCCTACCAGCCTGATGGCCTTGAGCTTGCTTGCAGAATGTGTTGTCTCCCTTTTCGAAGATCTCTTTCGCCGAGCAGCGATCTCCGCGCACGAGAGGGAGCGCATTTTTCGAACTGCATGGCCAATAAACTCCAGTCCCATTTCCCCCGGCGGAACGAGGACTTTATCTGCTCATCAGTCTGCTGCTCGCTTTGAGCGCTCTATACGTGGCGCGTTCGATCGAAATATTACCTGTCCCGTTCCGGAGGCAAACTGTGATCTATTCCTGGGAAAGTTTAGAGTGGGAAGCGAGGCCAAATCACGAGCTATGAGACAGATCTTACGGCGTCGAATCGGGAAACTCTTGGCTACGTTGGTCGATATCAGGAGATTTGTCGGGCCCGGAGGTGGTGTTATACAAGGATCTGCAAAGCAGATCGCCGAAGACCTTCACCACCGTGTAGAGTCCTTACAAGGAAGAGTGGAATTGGCGGAATAATAGGAACTTGCCCTGTTACCATCTCGATGTGGCTGGTTTGATAACGATATGTTTATTTTTCATGCTCCAAACGAACAAACCTGAATGGCTTTATGATTTTATAGAGGGTCTCGTGAAAAGAAGACCACTATGCAAGATGATTTTGTTTACTTACTGCACATCAATATAGGGGATTGATAAAACCCCTCTACGTCTGAAACCTAGTACAGCCTTCAAAGTTCCTAATTGGAATCCTGTCATAACTTCTGCTGCTTTATATATTTTATGCCATATATAGTTAAAAGAATCTACGATCGCAAGAGTTTCATATTCTTTCAGAATCAGAGAGCAGCTATGTTGATGATTAAATTGATAACGAAATGGATGAATATGTAACTATGAAAGAAGTAGAAATTGCCAGTGGGTAGTTAACTAGGTAAAATTGAGTATCAATTTTTGAAGATGCGATAGGAGTAACTTGTTTTTGTTAGCAGTCTACATAGAAAGTGCAAGTACCTAGAGTCGGCCAGAGAGGCGGTATGCAAAGTACATACGTAGGATTCAAAGTAGGAGGCGAGGAAAGCGGTGATGTGAAACCTTGCATTTTCCGGAAGGGGGGTATCAATCCCCTTGACACAACGTTTTCGTTGATGTACACATTCCGATTCGCCTGGACCTTGCCAAACTAATTGTGACTTGTTCAAACATCCAAGCTAGTATCCGCTCCTTTATTGACACACTAGAACAAACCTACATGTGACAGCCAAATATGGCCAAATTTATGCGCGTCGGGTACTTTCGAACATCGTTGATTGGACAGAAAAGTACCCAACAAATAACCTTGGAAGAATTGGAAAGTACCCGATGGATGAATAATATGGAAAAAAGGCCCGAGGAGATATGAATAAGTGCCCGACCAAAACCCGAGGTCCCTTTCTTTGTCTTGGGCCATTCTTTGTTATGGTCCTCTAGTCAACCCCCTGGCCCCCGGCTCCTGTACCGAATACTACATCATACGATACCTCTTTATGGTGGGGTGTATCCAAATTGACGTCTGCCGCAATCCCAGAGCATATATGCGTACCATGCATATTTCTCGGAAGCACATAAGTGTCCTAAAGCATTAATTGTTGTTGATCGGCAAGGTAATGGTCAGTTAGTTGGCGTTGCCAAGTCAGTTTCCTTTGTACAAAACCCTTCAATTCCAAGTAGTGCGAGGTAGT